TCTGCGCCTCTGCGCCTCTGCGAAGGTGATACGCGCTCCATTTTCACTGTGCTTCCGTCATACCGTGGCTTCCTATCTGCCGGTTTTGATGCCCCGTCGTTTCTCTCTCTGTGTACCCCCTGTACTGGATATCCTTGTAGCCTCTGCCCCCTACACAGCACAGTGGCAGATCAGGTCTGATCAGCACTGGCCTGCCAGCACTGGCCTGCCAGCACGAGCTTAAAGGTATTACTATTAGAGGTCGCCTTTCTTAGGAGGTCTTCAATCGCCTTTCTTCAATTTCATCAGGGCGTCTCATGCACATGTAGCCCTCGTAGTAGGTACCTCAAAAATGGCTGCCATTATCTCGACCTGAACAGCAACGTTCGATATAGCACAAGGCGATTACCGGGTTGAGTCAAGATGAGCCACCAATCAAGCAGAAGAAGGTCTCGAAGCGCCCTCCCACATGCTCAGCTTCAAGCTACAGCCATGCCAGCGGCAGAATCAGCCAAGCCAGAGGGCTTAGAGCTGCCAGCAAAACGCAGGAAGCGGCAGGCATCGATTAAGAACACCGTACTTGAGCAGAGAAAGTTGACAAGCAAGGGAGATAATAGCTCAAAAGCTGGAAATGCTACAGCCACTAGCAAGTTGTCGGTGTCAGGTCAGGAAAGTACCTTGGGGCATGGGCAAACGTCTCAGCCAAGTGTGGAGCTGGGAGAGGGTATGCATCAGCAAGGCAAAACGACTTTCTTGGCTTTCCTGAGGAGCGTGAATGTGGGGAGCCACAACCGCTTGCCCATGGCAGAGCTCCGCACGCTGCTCTGTGGCCTTGGTTATGAGAACGTCAGAACCTATCTTCAGAGTGGGAATGCGATATTTACTGCCCCTGCAGACACCATCTCTGAGCAGATTGCGGAGAGCATAGAGTCTCGAATCAAAACAGAGCTTGGTCTCACCGTGGTTGTCGTCGTCAGAGCAAAAGGTGACCTCGCAGATGTTATTCTGCAAAACCCATTGGAAACAGAGGCTAAGAAAGATGGCTCAAGGTTCTTAGTCCTGTTCTTGTCAGACCATGTTGGTCTATCTCAGCAGGCTATAGGCGACAGCCAGTATCTCCCGGAGCGCGTTGCTTTTGGACGTCAAGAAGTATACGTCTGGTGTCCGAACGGCGTGGCCGCAGCCAAGCACGGGCCAGGGTTTTGGGAGAAGCAGTTGGGCGTTGCAGGGACAGCTCGCAACTGGAACACTGTCACCAAGTTGCTGGAGATGGCAGGGAGATGAGAGCAGAAAGGTGCGGTGGGAGTATCTTCCGGAGCGCTGTTGTGAAAGGTGAGGTATGTCTGGCATGTACGCTTCTAGTATGCAAACCACACATTCTTTGCAGCAAATGTTCTCCTGCTTCCCTGAAGTCTGGATTTCCATACCTCCTTGTGAAGATCGGGATCTTTCAGATTCTTCAATGGAAGGGCTTCAAGGGATTTGCACTTATCCAGTGTGAAGAAATCCTGCTACTTTGACGGTACAACTAGCTAAAGGGTCTATTCGTCCATTCGTTTGTACACAGATCATGCTTTCCGATCGTGTGCCAACCCTTTCTGACATAGGTACGTGTAATTTTGTTCCTTGACTGCGTCAAATAACTGCTTCAACATGAGTATACGTAATTTACAGGGGCTTTTTCGAACATACTGTTCACGATTTTCTCGATGACTGTCAATGAAGTTCAAAGGAGACCAGCTTACTTAGTTCCTATTTCCACTTTCTGCCAACCCATGTATTTCTGGATCTTAGTACATCCAAAACTGCCCGAATTCTCACCCGCTTTCGTACCGCAGGTTGCGATGGAAACGCTCCGTCTCAAGGATCGGGAGCAGCGGATCGGGAGCAGCGAATGGTCGTCACAGCGCCGGAGGCCCTGTGAGATGCCATTTTGGGCAGCGTGGCGGGGGATTCCGTCAACTCATACGGGGCCAGGAAGGTATTCCCGGAGGAAAATGTGTTGCCCCATAAGCGGCTCCTCCTGTTTTGGCACGCTGCAGGCATGCGACGGATTCTTCGCAAATTTCCTCAAATATGCATTCAGACTCAAATGCGCTTCTTCGTCTCTCCGTGGGTTGGCCCATCCTTCCACAGGTCCGCAAAGGTCCTTGTTCTGTCCGACTTCGTTGCTTCCCGCCTGCTCGAGGGCCTTCCGCTTCGCCCGCTCTTCGCCAACAGAACCCACCCCGGCTCTCCTCAGCAAACAGTGCACCATCAGTCACTGCCTCCGGATTTTGGAAAGCCGTGCTTGAAGCACCTCCCTTGACCAGTCACCTCTTTCACTTACCTCAGATCTTCCGCAAAGTGCATCCTCGGCCGCTTTGCCCCTGTGCACCGTAATCGTCGCCGCAATTTTATTGACTGCGCACCCGGGTTGGCGCTTTGGAGCCCGGTTTGCTCCACTGGGGATTGGTTCTCTAGCCATTTCCCTCAGCCCCGACTCTTCCTTCGAGGATTCCGTGCAGTCAAGATCTGATGTGCAAATTCCAGCCGGAGCCATCTTAGAGCTTCGCAGACGTCTGATAACGGTCCAGCTGATGAGTCCCAATTTTGTTTTAGACCTCTTTGTGTCCATTAAGAAGTTTGAAAGTCCGTCCGATCCCAATTTATGACACAAGCAGGGAAAGCAGATCATAAGCTTCCTGTAGCTTTACAAGAATATTCTTCAAACACCAGTAATTGCGAAATTGCAACTTGTTATATGGTAATCTGGTAATGATGCCCAGCGCTGGTAGTTTGTATGTTCGCATTCTCGAGCAAACACAATGCAGGGTGTATGTGATCATCAGCTAGCCTGCTCTATAGGAGCTAATTACTATCATGATATAGCGCTATCGCGTGCTTCGTGTATAGCTCTTCAGTGCCCGGCCGCTACATGAATCAGCCGTTCTTACAACCATGCGTTATGCATGATCGACATAATCGCAAACGCGGCGCACCCAATTCAGGTCACCTAGCTATGCCAAGTTTGATCAAAACGAGGAGTGTCCCGTGAAGAACAGGGTAATGGTCGAATTTGGGTCTTGCATCACGTTCAGGAAGGCCGCCGCGCGTTCATATGTAGCCTGAAGACTCCTTATGAAAATTGCATTTTTAGAGGCGCCCGTACTTCTAACTTCCAGTACGTACTGTCTGTTGGGCGGCCGGCAGATTGTACCCATAATCCCTCGGATGGCACGTCGAAAACCGTCGATGTATACATCGAGGTACCACTTCATATTGATCGACGGCTCACGAGTAACATCTTTTATGCCGGCCGGCCCTTCGCGCAAAACCCGGCCTAAGATCGTCGGGACTCGGTTCAAATAACGCCGCTTCCAACTGCTTGGCGCCACGTACTTCGGTCTGCATGCATGCAAGCCGACACTCTCTTCGTCGTGCTCCTTGCCAATTGGCTTCTGCTGACTGCCTGATCCCAGAATGGGAGCCATGCAGGGCGCCAGGGCACTCGAAGTTCCCGCCTCCCTGACGCGAACCGATAGCCGGCGAGGTGGCAGTCTGCGAACAGGTTTGTCGACGCCTTCGTAACGGGCCAAGGGAGGAAGACACGCCTTTTGTTAGCGGGCACTGCTGCTTGGCCCTCTGAGCACAAGCTTCCGAAATGCAGTTCATTGAGCTTGACTGCGAAGCGAAGATTGTTCGTAGTTTTCTCACCCAAACGGGTCAACTTTACGGAACGCTTGAGCTAGCTAGCCTTGTTGGAAAGTGTGAGTTGCCAAACATTCTAAGCTTGGAAGGAGGGGGCCCGATTGCAGGGAATTACAGTATCTTCCTAAACGCGAAGTTTAACTTGTGCTACCACGAGTTGGAATCATGGCTGCCAGCTATGTTGCCGTGCGCTCTGCAGCTTTGGCTGCCCCGAAGTGCATTGTGTTGAGGAGAGACTGCGCTACGTGCGCGCAGCCTCAGAGTGCATTTCTGGGTGCTGGGCTTCCCATGAAGAATGGGCCATCAAAGGCAGCAGCGCGGCCAATGAAGGGTGTGGTGCGTGCTGACGTCGCCAGCACAATGCCGAAGGAGGTAAGTGGTTGTCGCAGATGTAAACCAATGTATAACTAGACTGGTTGACATTTTGAGGTCGAATCAGATTCGAGTTAACCTGTACAGTTGTGACACTTGCATCTTGGCATTGAGCTTTTTGGTTCACGCTTTTCCTCAAGCGAGTGCATTGAGCTGACTGGGTGACCTCTGTTCTATAAAAGCTTCACATCTGTATCTGGACATGAGATTTACACAGCTACAACTTTGAGCTTTCTGTTTGCAGCATTCTCGTCCAAAACGACCGGATAGCTCGTTTTTGTTGCACACCTTAGCAGACAGTCTCTTTTCAATCAGGTGCTCTAGTGTGCTACTTCTTACCCTTCAGTTTACAACTTCAATGCGAGACTTCCATGATGCGAAGGCGATTTTTCTGTAGACACACCTGCATTAGAGATTTTGAAAGGCTCAAACACTTGTGCGAAGCAGATTTGTTACCTCTTTCATTGATGAACAATCTCGCTCTCTTCTCGCAGAGAGTGTCTGATGCGGCGGAGCGTCTGGCCGGTGGTCCCGCCAAGAACGATAAGGACCATGAGAAGTTCCTCCATATTGCTCAAGAGGCCAATGCGAAAGTACCTGGGCTGACCGAGACTGTGTGGGGTCAGAAGGTGCAAGGGCCAAAGTACCCAGCTCTGGACAAGGATTTGAAGGTCGACGTTGTTGTCATTGGGGCGGGTATCAGCGGGCTAAGCATTGCTTATAACTTGGCTAAGGCTGGGAAGAAGGTGGCGGTGCTCGAGGGGAAGAGCAGAGGTAGGGCATTCAGCTCTCTGCTTGAGTGTTCACTTCTGGACTTTGCTCCTTCTTACTTCGTTCCGAATTACATTTAGATAGTACGAACCACATCAGAGAAGTCTCTGTTTGGTTGCATTTGACCTTGTACACTCTCACAAGAAATGCCACAGTCTTTGCTGCGTCTTGACGTCTTGAATGAGTGGCACTGAGGTATTTCGTTTGCACTCTTGCGCGAAGAGAACAGTTGATTGCGTAGTGAGCTTATTTGCTCAGGTTTCCTAAACCCGTGACAGCTCGAAATACTTCATAATCTCGTTTCGGAAGTTTCAGACGAGTTCGTCTTTTGGAGTTGTTGTCCGGCTTATACTTTATTTGTTCTGTCTGAGCTGTTTCCTTTACTCGAAAGAAGTCCGAACCAAATTTGTTTACTCGAAAGAAGTCCGAACCAAATTTGTTCACCAGATGCACCCGGAACCGACGGCTAAGTTGGGCTGCCAGTTTCGCGTTTACTTCAATGGCATTCTCACGTTTGTCATTTAGGCCTTGAGAAGGCGCATTGCGTGAACCTTTCTTCTTTTTGCACGCAGGCAGCGGGCAGACCGGTAAGACAACTGCACACATTATGCTATGGAATGACGACTACTACCACATGCTAGAGAAGACGTGGGGTGAAGAATGGATGAAAAAGGTGGGAGAGAGCCACCGGGAGGCTGGGGACTTTATTGAGAACGTCATCAAGGAGGAGGGCTTTGACGGCGGCTACACTCGGACAACCGGGTATCTGGTTGCCAACGACGAGGGGGTGAGTTTATTCAACTACCTGATTCGCAAACCTGTTCTATGCAACCTTTGATCCTGCGAATTCTGGTTTAGGATTCTTTTTTTTTGGGGATTTTTACATTGCGAAGTTTGCGAAGCGGGCAGACCTTTGATTAGTCCTACGTGCGTCCAATTAGATCAGACGTTTGGTTTCATTTCTTCTAAGGGGACTCGGTCGATTGAGCTCCAAGGTGCGTTCGATTTGCATCAGGCATGCGGTTTCCTGTTCATAAAGGGAACTCGATCGGGATACTCTTAGATACGGCTTATTTGAAAGTTCATTTTGAGAGCTGCAAACGAGAAAGATAAAAAGTCTCAATGAAGAGCTGCAAGAGAGGGATTGTCATTCTCTTGTGGGTATCATTCTAAAAGCTTCGCATCTGCAAGTATGTCTACTGACCCTGTTCGCCACTGCGGCAACTGCGGTGGTAAGCGCTGATGGATTGAAGCCACCACTCATTACACCTTGCGGCGATCACTTCTGCAAGAGTTTTGCATCCCCGACTCCAAGCCGACGTGCCTAAGCGAACATATTCTCAATCTCGCTCTCTGCAGCCCACCACTCTGGACATGCTGCGGAAGGAGGCGGACGCGGCCCGACGCGCGGGCTTCGAGGGTGCGGAACTGATCGATCTGAAGGGCGATCGCCGGCACGGGGGGTACTTCTCGGCGATCCGTTGGCCCGCATCCGCGGAGATCCAGCCGCTGATGTACATCAACGGACTGGCCGACGCGATCGTGAAGCACGGCGGACACGTGAGTGATTTGTGGCTCGGTACTGAAAGAGAGTCTGCGTAAGTATTGCGAACTGGTGGACAGAAGTTGGTTCTTTATTCTGCGAGGGTGTGCCTTTTACTCAAGAAATTGAGCGGCCGAAGTCTTGGCCATCGTATAAGAAATGTTGGAATGTTCTCTGCCCGTCTCCTCTTCCATATGCCCAATCTCCCCTGCAGCAATCGAAGTACGTAGATGTCAGTTCCACGAACGAGTCACGGCAGGCATTGGCTCTTTCGAATGCACTTAATTCAAACTCCTGCCCCTATGACCTCTTCATTTTTCTGAGGCTCCTTGTCCTCGGCTGGTGCAGATATACGAGATGACCCAGGTGTCGGACATTGACGGTAACCGCGTGGCGACTAAGACGGGCCACTCCGTGACCGCGGACGCCGTGGTGGTCGCCACGGGCAGCCCCATCAACCACAACTTGGCGATTCATTCGCGCCAGCATGCCATGCGCTCCTACGTCGTGGGGCTCAAGCTTGAGAAGGACTCTGTCGAGTAGGACTGCCAGTTGTTTGGTTTCTGTGTTTCGTTCTTTCGTCCTACCGTACCGGCACAGGGATTCACCACTTCTTGGTGTGAAATCATCCTGAGATTTCACCGGGCACGACGAGAATACTTTTAAATCTCACACAGATATTTTTTTGTTTCTCCACACTGAAAACAGCCGAAGAGGACCTTTTCTTCATAAAATTGTGGTTTCACCTTTTTATAGTCGGGGCCACATTTATATTTAAAATTTCTTCGAAAGAAGGATAGAGTCGACCGTTTAGAATCGTGAATAGCGTTTCCTCATGCTGCGCGAGCGGCTTCCTTCCGACAGTTCACCATTTGTTGCATCAAATGCTCGTAGAATGTGCGACATCCTCTAAGGATTGGGGGCAGTGCCTAGCAGCTGTTTCCTATCCAAAATACCATACCGGCAAGGGAAGTCAACTTGTATCAAATCATTCGGGGTCGGTGGGATTCATGAGTAACAGGTTCCAGGGGACATCCGGGTCTTGTTCACGTGTCCTCTATACCTTCTCTTGTTTGTATCTCTCCTCATCTTGAATCATTTTTCGAAATTGGGTATGCCGTCTCTGTGTTTCCCTTTCGACTTAAAACCTCTTCTGCCTTGTTTGCCCATAAGCGAAACGGCTCCTTCATCGAGCGCCGTCCAAGCACCTGTCATCACCTCTTTGTCAAATCTCAATCGGGTCGTCTTTATCTGCAGGCGCGCGTCTTGGTGGGATACGATGACTCCCTACCACTACACCCGCGTGGAATCGTTTGACGACCACGACGTGCTCGTGGTGGGGGGGTCCGATCACCCCACGGGCCAACACCCCAGCGAGTACTACAATGCGTACGCTCAGCTGGAGCATTACGCGCGCGAACGCTGGACGCAGGCAGGGGAGACGCTCTACCGGTGGACCGGCCAGGTGCGATGGCAGCCGTTTCTTGTTTATTCGTGCTATCGGTCGAACGTTTTTACTTTCCATACATTTCATCATGATTACACATGTTTTGTAGTCAGAACGTAGTCAGTATGTACAGGAGATGAAGGTGCTTCGCAAGTGGAAGCTGCTCAACACAATCCTCGTTTGGAGCATTATGTTTTGCTCCTCGCACTCGACACGCGCCGCAAAGTCTGGATTCAGCGGTCCAATTCATGTTTTGGACTTGCTAATGTCCCAATGCTGACGTAATCTGTGTTGCCGTTTGCCGTTTGCAGTTGATGGAGCCTGACGACCAGTTGGCGCTGTACGGACGGGAGCCGCTCGACGTGTCGGGCTGCCACTACATTGCCACGGGTACGTTCGGCAAGTTCTTTGTGCGAGCAAGAGTTACACTGTGAAGACAAAACCAATTGACATTTGCTTCTACTCGTTGGCCGGGCAATACAAGGTTCAGCCAGACAGAGTTGGCAGCTAACGTAAAGCAGTTCCAGGGCACCAAATTCTTCCGCAAAATCAGTAGTCCGCCGTCCGTTCTATTACGAGGCCGCACCCTCCATAGTCCTTCGCATTCATTGCGCGGAAACTTCCAACCGCTGATATCATGCTTACCGCCTTGCAGGCGACAGCGGTCAGGGCATGACGGGCGGTACTATCGCGGGGCTGGTCATCTCCAGCCTGATCCTCAACGGAAACCACAAGTGGGCGGAGGTTTACAGCCCATCTCGCATCGCGCCCCCCAACGAGATCACCGTTACTCAGCTCGCCGGCTCTATCAAGACTGTCACGCAGGTGCGGCGTCGCTTTTTCGCCTCCTTCTTTTAAATAATGAAAAACGTAGTCTGTAGTTTTCCACTTTGTTTTATTACTTGACGCAGGTGTGGCGTTGCCTTTTCGCCTCCGCTGTTGCGACGTGGTTTGTAGTAGATTCATGTATAACGCTCCAAATTGTGGGCTTGTTCTATTTGAAGTTGGGCTACGTGTACCCACCTCTCTTATTGTTCTGCTTGAAATTTCAGCTTGAAATCCAAGCTAGCTTAGGGCTGCAGCGGATGTTGTGAAATCTGCAGGGCTATCAGCTTAAAGAACAAGCTAAGAGGCTTCGAGGGTATTGCCCTGACGTTACATGGCGACTGTAAAGAGCGTCCCTTTGCGCTTATGTCGCCTACCTGCCCAAGGCGGTAACATTCCTTGGCGCCCATTTCGCTTTTTATGGCCGACCGTGCAATGAACGTTGCGTATTGCCCCCGGTCATGCGCCTTCTCAATGACAGAGCCATGTTCTTACAGGGTCTGGCTGAGGCTGTCCTTCCCAAGAAGCTGAACAATGTGTCAGACGTGCGCCCCGGGGATGGCGCCGTCATCCAGACCGGCACCAAGCAGGTGGCCGTGTTCCGGGACGAGGACGGCAAGGCGCACACCTACTCAGGTGCGGATTGGAGAACATTCGGGAAGCAGAGATGCTGGTTGGGGTTCTTTTGTCATACCTAGTCTGGAATTAAAGAAGAATCTGACCCGATCTCGAAAGCCTATCCTCTGAAATGTAGAGTAATCTGCGATTAACCCCTTTTTTTAGTTTACGACTATTGCCTAGTCTGGTCTCAACAGATTCGGACCAGATGTTCGAAATCCACCCTTTGAAAGGCAGAGCAATCTAGTCTTGAAGCTATCTAGTCTTGAAGCTTTTACTACAAGAATAGGCTGTATCTGTCTTTTTTCCGCATCAGGCCGAATATCTGGCCGGGGTTTGATCGGTGTTTTTTCTTAACGGTCTGCCGTGCTAGTTCAAGAAGACGGCTCTTTCTGCAAAGGAGTAGTGTGTAAAACGTGTTTGATAGAAGGTGACTGAATTTGAAAAGCGCCGTCCTCGTGCAGCGATTTGCCCACATTTGAAGTGCGAGACGCAGTGGAACCCGAACGACATGACGTTTGACTGCCCCTGGTAAGTCTCCTGGGGGATTAATCTTCAGAATATTCCTACTGATATACGCGCAGACGACATGCCTTTCCTCTGCAAATCCTTTGCAAATTGTGGTAAAGAAAGTGGCAGTCTGATTAGCAAGCGAACGAGGAGAGATTCTGCGTTGTACACTTCGAAGTTTTGACATCCAGATTGTTGCCTGTTGCTCAATTCCGTTCCTGACTCTCGGGCCGCTCCTTCCTTTTCATTTCGATTGATGATTGTCAATTTCCCTTTGTATTTGCAGCCACGGGAGTCAGTTTGACCGGTATGGCAAGTGCATCCAAGGCCCGGCGAAGGAGGGGCTGCAACCACTTGAGTTGTAGAATTGATTGAGACGTTCAGAGTGAGAGGTATTGTAATCTGGTACTACGCCATTCTTGAGTTGTAAGTTTTGATCGAGACGTTGAGGTGAGAAGCGTTGTAGGTTGGTATTACACCATTTTTGCAGTAGGGAAGGATAATCGCGGTGAGGTTAAGGAGGTGTTGTGACAGCGCAGCCAGGTGTTGCGAACCCATTTTTGGTGCGTTGCTTTAATGAGCACTTGTACACATTTGAGAACTATTGAGAGTTGGAAAATGCATTGGTTTGGCCGTGAATCATGTGTCCTGACCAGCGTACTCATCTTCCAATTAGTTTGTCAGTCCTCGGGTTAGAACGTCGTGAGACACACGCTCTTGTACTGAATCGGAATGCCTATCTTTCCAGCCTTTTTCGGTTCAGAAGTTTTGAAATTGCTCAGTCGATAATTGCAGACAAAATAAAATCTTCGTGTACGTCATCTTGCAAGGATGTTGGTTAGCAGAAGACAGAAAATTCCATACAGAAGGCAATCGAATGGTGTTTGTCTGATCAACATTTCTCTTGCGGGATCACATCATTTTGCCAACTCTCGGTGTATGTGTTCTAGTCGAAGGATATGAATTACCTATTACATTGATTGAGTGACAGCTAAAATAAGTTTATTTGTGGATCTATTCTAGACAAGGGAAATAAATTGCGTGCGCACTCGAGTCCGCACGTTCCGACCTCTCGCACCACCGCACCCGTCTTTCGAGCTTCGAGCGTCAGGCCAGTCGAAATTATACGAACAGTTGCTATCATTGCAATAATTGAATCGCGGTTACAATCGAACAAATTGAATGGGTCGGTTGGTAACAGTTGGAAACGCATCGTTAGTAGTAAGTGCGAGCATGTGCAATGTACAAATGGCCACACGATCAACACTCCTGCAGCATGCCGGTCTGCACGCTTGGCATGGAAATAACCTGAAAAACATTTCGCTGCATACACATTATGCGGAAACACATCCATAATATATACCCGACTCCATACAACATCAAACGATAATTTCAATTACGAATTACAAATGAATTTGACGTGCACTGCGAATCTGGGCTATGTCTCGGCGAGATCATTCGATATACTAAGCAAACCCCTTTCCATGCAAGGTGACACCCAAGCTATGACAATTGCGTTGGGTTTGTCCAATCTCTACGAAAAGCGTCGGGGATCGTTGATTGTCCATTTTCCCCTCCAGTCGGAACGTTTGGAATACCTTCATTGTTTCAAACTGTAAATCGATCGAAACGATTACATGGATAATTGTCGTTTAATACCACACATGGGAACCTGAATTCCAGAATTTTGGCAGTCAACTTAAGACTGCAAGTCTTTCTTTTCCAAAGCTATTCAACAACCTTTGCGAGCTGGACGCCGCTCAGGACGTGTGCAAAGTGACCACCTAATCGATTCTATTTCGCTGTCAAGGAGTCGCGCCTATCGACCGTGATAAGGTACTGCTTTCCAAGCAAGCAATCCAGAGCTGTTTACGAATCTAAGCCTGACCCCCTATGTACAACCGCGAGTCAAAGAATCGCGTGCAATCTGCGTTACCCCAATGATCGGTATGTTGTCAAATTCGCGTGCGCTCTGCGTTATCTTTGACTAAATCTAGCGTAGCCCAACTGCTTCGGATGTAACGAATGAATGTATGAATGCCAGCAATTAGCCCAGCGTCAAACTAGACTGCGAAGCTTTGCCCAATCTGCTTAATCGATGCGCGTGACTAGGTTGCTCATGCTGCCAACGGGACGAAGGAGCCGTGCAGCCCGAACGGCACCCTCTGCGGAATCGCGAGACGGGCGACGGGAGGCTCCGAGAAGCGCTGCGCGTCCACGATCAGGAGCTGCGGATTGAACAAGAACGGCTACAATCAGAAGCGCGCAACATAGAGACGCGAAGATCGAAAAAAGCTCCACTTTTGAGGGGAGAATAAATCGCCGAGTCGTGAAGAGCAATCAGAAGACGTAAGAGTCGGGCACTCTGTGAGACATGCTGAGATTCAAAATGTTCCTACTTATGTACCCATCTAGACTTTGGTCTAAAGAGCCCGTCACTCAAGCGCTGAAGGACTCGACGACGACCTGAACATTGGTACGCTGGAGAACATCCATCGTTTGAGGAATGCGCAGCAAACCGGACCCTGTCTCCGCGATAAAAGTTGGTAGAAAAAGTGACCGACGAAGGTGCCGATTGAAAGCGGGGGACGCTATTTCAACATCTCCGCTAAAAGAGAGTGCGAATGAAGGCGGCGCTTGAGAGGGGTGCTAAGATATCCAGCAGAATCGAAGAAAGCTTCGCACAAAGCGCTGCCGTTAGCGGAGCAAGTGTCCTCGCTGACGTGAGCATCTAACAGCTGACATATGTTGTGGCGTGCGGCCTTGAAGAGGAGTGTGTTCTCACCTCTGACGTGTCCGTGTTCCGGTCGTATACGAAGCAGACGAGCCAGCCGTCGTCCTCTTCCGTCGCTCCGTCCCGCGGAACGAACGACGGCTCGGAACCGAAGCGGTCGGGGCCGAAGTTGTGGAACTCCATCTTGATCGGCACCTGCAAGTTTGAAAGTGGCGGATAAGCAATTCGGTTGTAACAAAGAAGAGGGGGCGAAAATCCTTGCGAAATTAGGACGACCCCGCAACTAAGAACCTTATCACAAACTCTGCAGACTTACGATTCACAGGATGATTGTTATCTTCTTTCCGTTCGAGCGGAGCAGATCTCTTGAGGTATCGCACAAGCAACTACCTTGAGCCAGAAAGTTGTTTTGTGAGAGAAAGGAACGGCATAAGCCATTCTCAAGAGCAAAATGCATCCTTGCGACTCGCGGCTTTCACCCCGGTTCTTTTCCGCAATACTCCTGCTCGCCTCCACGTTATGCACAAGATGAGGACCCACTACAGTACTTACAAGATTACCAACCGTTTGTGTCGAAGCAGGGATTAAGCAGGGAAAGGCGGGCGCAGCCAAGTGGTTTCGTCTCAATGCCCTGAGCCAATTCTCAATTTTGATCCTCGATTTTCAGTTTTTCATCCTCAAATCTCACCTGCGCGTTCTTCTCGTCGGGCAGGTAATACTTGACGATGCTCGTGTGCAGCGGCATCCCCTCCCGCACCGTAGCGTCCGTGTCCGTCACTAACCCGTACCCAAACCGGTTCCTAAACCCGGCGTAGTTATCGTTGATCCGGGGCATGTCCGCCGAGAAGTCCAGGGGCGTCAGCATCTTCTCGGTTACCCCCCCGGTCTTCAGGTTAATCCGCCACTCGGTTAACCGCGCCTTTAACCCGCCATCCGGCTTGCCCAAGTGCTCGGCGAACCACTCCGAGGCGGACTGGTCGGGCGGGGTGCTGAGGGCCGGGTTCTTGGAGGCGCAGCCGTACAGTACAATCTGCGCAGCAGAAGCAGAAAAAAAAACTTTTGCGCTCATTGAAGTACTTGTCATCACTCGATTTTTGTTGCAAAATCGTCTTGCAGAAATCTAAAAACGTAAAAAAAAGGGCCCAGAAGACTACCAAACCAGCAGAAAAGGCCGTGTGCCGGGCACCGGGCATATCCAAACAAGTCGGCCATCGATAATCGGATGGTGCAAGGGCTGCAAAAGGAGAAGGAAGATAAAAACACCGTAAGCATTGCCAACAGTGCTTGATCCTTCTTGGGTCACACATAAAAAACGTCGGTCTGATTCTCAGTTGACGATGTCAGATGCCCGGAAAATACTGAGCCCAACAAGTTATCACTTCCTTGGGAAGAAAGGCGGAGCCAATGAAGAGACACGCTCGTATGACAGATACTGGAATGAAAGGGCAGGAAAGAGACGAACACTACAGGCTGCGCACTGCAAACAAAGTCGGCTTTGGCTAAGTGAAGCGAAGCAGAAAGAACTCTGAAGAAACGACATGATGAGCGGAGGACAGGTCAGCTCGTGACGTACCTCGTTCCCGTCCTCGTATGCGTTGAGCGTATGGAACGCAAAGCACGTGGCCGTCTCGAACCAGCGCACCGACTCCCTGCCACCGAAGCGCGGCATGACGCCAAACCGCGCGGGCTGATCCGGCTCGAACTCGATCAGCTCCCCCCCGCGGAGCTTCCGCTGGAAGTCGAACGTCAGCGGAAAGTCGAGGATGACGTTGTAGTTCTCCGTGATCGCGAAGTCGTGCATCATGGTCGGGCGCTTCACGTCCAGGGGGGTCTTGTGCACTAGCTCGCCAGTCTTGGACGCGACCCCCACGGAGCAGTACGGGGGCGTGACCGCGTAACCGAAGAAAACCATGTCCCCATTTCGGGGGTCTATCTTTGGGTGGGCTGTGAAGGGGAAGTCGAGCTGGCCGTCGAAGTCGTAAACGCCGACGGTCGTGAGATCGTCCATATCAACTTCGTGGGGGGGGCCGGCCTCCATGAGTGCCAGCAGTCTGCCGTGGTGCCCCACGACGTGGGTGTTGGCAGTTTGCTGCAAACACAGGGTTAAGAGAGTCGGGAACTGTTCTACAGCTGTCTGTGGGTTTGAAGGAGCTGAGGCTACGTGCAGGGTTTCAGGACCGTTTCAAAAACTACCTGTGAAACTTCAACGAGCTGAGGCTACATGAGAAGTGTTCGAGCCAGGTAGAAAAGACAAAGGCTTCGTCACCCACACACGAAGCCTGTGATGATAGGTTCAAAGATTGGGGAAGCATGTCACGGTCCGATCCCTTGATGAACGGATTCTACCAAGTCTTTATCCAGATTTCCAAAACTCTTCAGAACTAATCGGCACATCCTGCTGATTCAAACAACTGTTGCCACCTCACCTTGAACCCAATTCCGTGCAGCACCGAGTTAACCGCCATGTTTTCCAGCAAGTTTCCGGCCGCAAGTGTACCCATCAGAACTGGCTTCCCCGCTTCATTTTCCAGCTTATACCCCTCTGTCCCGACAAACTTGTTCTGATAGCTAGGCTTTCCGTTTTGAAACCGCACCGCGTGCAGCATGCCATCACCCTCGAACCAGTGGTACTTGGTCAGGCTGCCCGTGAGCGAGCGGTATGTTTTGGGCATGAACTGAGGGTTGGGACCTGTGAAGAGGAAAGCGTAACTTCGTTCGGGAGAGGACATCCCCTTGTTCCATGACAAATGCTCCATTGGGCTATGAGCCGTTCGAAAGCCAGAGTATGGACTATTCAAAGCTTAGATAATGCTCGAATTCTTTGGAAGAGTTCATCGACTGGTTTTGAAGGAGGCCAACTTGAGCATGTTCTTGCTGAATCATTCTTTGGCCGTTCCTGTACTGGAAAACGATACTTATACATAATTCCGACACTTGTGCGTATCCTGGGGGTGGCTCTGACTGTAAGATGCTTGTTGCTGCTAAAAAAATATCTAGATCGAAAGTAGCCGGCAGAAGTGCCATGCAATTGCTCACAGAGCCTGGTACGCAATCCTTCCTGCCCAAATGCATTCTCTCAAATACCGATGGGCACAGCTTTCGGCGGCGCGCAAGCTTAGTCTTCTGTCTGCTGTACACCACACTAAGCGCGTTTTAAAAGGAATGCAGGGTCGTGCAATCGAAGAGTTTACTGACAATGCTTGAAAGAAAAGCGAAGCCACCTCGATTCCATGACACTCCAATCCTTTTTCCCTCTGACAAGCCAATGAGATGATCAAATCGGGATATGCAACTCACCATTGCGGACATACACCCCATCCGGAAACCCGCTGGGCACGGCTCCCTCTAGAACCCTCACTGGCATCCTCCCCTCCAGCTCCGGCACTGGTGCAAAGTTGCCCCTCAGAGCGTAATCCACTTCTGGCGCCTCCACCCCCCCAGGACCGACCTCCCTGAATAAGCCCGCCCCCGCCGCCACAGCCACGGTCCCTACTGCCTTCTGCACTCCCTTTGCAATTGGATTACCAAACGCCAATTCTCCAACCCAGTCAAACGGACCCTGCTGACGCGGGGCCGTCTTCGGCCGCTGCCTTGCGGCCCTGCGAAGTGCCTCCACCCGCTGGCTGGACATTTCTTTTGGGGGGGTGTACATTTTCCCTGGGTTTGAAGCCCCCCGCTCGGTCACAGCCTGTGTCCCCTCCCCTTTCTCTGCAAGTCCCGCCCCCCCTTTTGATGCATTTGCGGCGACGACTCTCTTTGCTGGCTTCCTATCGTTGCTGATGTCAGCGCGCACCGTGTGCCCGCGTCGACTCTGACGTAGGGGGTAGAGGGCAGGCTGGAAAGTAGATGTTCCTGAGCCCCCCCCGCAGAAAGGGCTGCCAGCGCAGCGAAGAAAACCAGGGGTGCTGCTGGGCAGTTGTTGGATCAAAGTGGATCCAGAAACTGTATGCAAACATAAGAGAGACTGCATCAAAAAGTGAATGAATAACAGCTGAACGACACTCTCTCTCCCTCTTTTTAAATGTCTAAACAAGAATGTCTAGCTTCGCTCCGCACTTCGACCTTCATTTTCTTCCTAGCTGGATCCTTGTTCAAAAGCTGATTCAACAGAGCTCTTACTTTGCTCAGGTTGTCAAACGCAATGCACTTGTGCCAGTAACGTTTCTGCTGATCTACTGTACATGTTCTGAGGCCCAATGCAGATGCACAACCAGCAACTGCTTTGAAGGGGCACCTTGCCAAAGGTCTGTCTGCTAACTTCTGAAACATCCAAAGCACAAGACAACGAATGCGCCACATGGAAGATGGACGGGGTGACAGCACCATGGAAAGAGCAGAAGGTTATTGTAGAGAGACTACTGGCAGCCAAATCCTATCCTGTTTTCTCTGAGCTTGTCACCAGCCCACCACTTCATGCATGTATCCAAGACCAGGATGATTTGCCAGAAGCGGCTTGCACACTTTTCATGAACTCATGCAGCTTGGCAAACCAAAAGTGATACCAACAGGTTAGATAGAAAGGCCCACTAGGCCTGGCCATGCGCTGACAGCGAATGTATGACAACACTCCATCCCAGGCACTGGTCACAAAATTGAGCCACCACCCTTTAGGACAGTCAACAAAGAAAAGGCAAACGCTCAGTGCCCACCTGTCAACTGAGGCGCCATTCTTCTGTGGAGAATGCAACTTGCCAAAAGCAATAGAACTGGTCACTTCACCTCCTCAACCTCAACCTGCTGCTTAGTGTCTTCCCTCCAATGTGGCGGCGCTAGTCAAAGTGTGGTGACTGAACAATCTGAACAATCCAGCTCGAAGGAAGGCAGTATGGAAAAAGGGTGTATCCAGAGGAATATGTATCGGCAGGATAGCTACTAATCCGTACTGCTCGCTTGCCGCTATACCTTTGCAATCTCAGCTCAACCTACAAGGTGCTGCTGTGTCCGCCCACCCTAATTCAGCCCCCGCCCCAGCTTCGAAAGCGAAGTGCCTTGATCTGCACGGCGCACGCTTGATAGGAAAAAGCCTCCTCTTGAGTTCAATCTCGATTCTGCAAGAGACAAGAGTGGGGACGAAAGCGTCGCGAGATACCCAGCATGGCAAGCACCCCTTGTGCTTCCAGATCAGATCTTGGAAACACACGTGTGCAAGCTGCGCTGTGGCTTCCAAGTTCCATGATGACGAATTAAGGAAGTTCCGCGTCGTGTTTCCAGCAGTGCTCGCCTAGCACGAAGCCTGGCATAGACTGTAGTACCTAGTAGCTATACCAATTTAGCGATACCGGCTTATGAAGTCTCACTCTCAGTTCAGTCTGCACTGGTTCTGGCGAGTTCTGGCGCAGTTGCCGCGAGAAGTGAAGATACGGCAGCCCAGGTAGAGGGCCCAGAATGAGCCACGTAAGCGCGCAATCTGCCCTCGTGGCTTCTAGTGAGCGACGTCCAAATACAAATCTGCTGATGCTTCTGACAAGTCAGCAAACCCCCTGGCGCGCTGATTGCGCTCAGGAACTGGGCAGTGGGGTTCAAGTTTCTGACACGCACGCAACTAGCAAGCGCGCTTTGCGCTCGCGAGCACGCCCAGTTTGATTGGAGTCTGGACTCTGGACCCCTTTCTCCTCTGAGTCTGAGAATCTAGATTGAGCCCTGGAGGCTGGAATGCCTGCTGCCTTCGTGAAGGTGGTGGGATTGGAATTTGAGAGCTCCATGAAAATTAAACTTTGTCCATTCCCTTTTGAGGGCACGGGTTGATGCTTCCAGCACAATATTCGCGGCGCTCCTGATAGTGCTGAGTGCCTTTGCTGGTTCACTGGAAAAAGACGATTGACGTTGCTGCAGCGCCAAGAGCGGCGCAGGTCGCACTCAGTGCCGGCATCTGCTTCTCTCAAGCACTGCACCCATAGCTCTGACGTCCAGCCAGCTAGTCAGGATGCAGAACTGCGGCGCGCGGCATTGCAACATCAATGGGTTCAAATGGGGCACTCCGAAGCCGCATTGCAATGTGGGAGCGGTGTCAGAGTCACGCAGCTTCCTACGTGGACTTGTTACATCAGCCCGTATTTGTCGTCGAGTTGGCCAAAGAAGTGGCAGGTACAGAGGTCCAGATAGAATACAAAGCTTTTGCCACAGTCTGGTAGATGGGGCTGATGGAGAATCTGCCCATGTCTTACACCACTTTTCAAAACAGCGAGTTTGCATTCAGAACCAAGGCGACAGAAGGATAGAGAGGGGCTGTACGTGCATTACAAGAACGCGAGCCGCTGAAATCAGGGGTGGTGCAGCTTCATCCGATCATACGCTTTCGAACTCTCTGCTTCTGGGCAGAGCGGTTGCAGCCAAAGCAGTCACTTACAAAGATACAAATAGTACAGTTGAGCCCGTGTTGAACCCAATCTCGACTTCAGCGAAAAGCGAAAGGAGAGATCGGTGGCGCCCCAGCTTTGCCTGGCTGCTCGCACTCAGTCTGCTCTTAGGAGACGCCAGCGCACTGGCGCCAGCGGCGCAAGCCTTTCCGTTCTTTGGGCCGTCGCAGGAGAAGGACCCAGTGGAGCCGTTTGTGATCTACGGAACTGTGGAGTGAGTGCCACTCCTGGTGCGCGCATGCATTAAGATGCTCGTTTGATGCGCAGAATGAGTTCCTAACTGATGAAGTTCTGTTGATGCCACACCAATTAGAGCAAGGAAATGCAGAAGGGTTGTTTGATGGTGGAGCTTCCTGTCACAAAGAGGTAAGATTGAGGGAATTGACGAAAGTAAAGCTTGCTTTGACATCTATCAATCAATCCGCTTCTTTGTTTGGAAGAGGGATGTGATCTTACACTCGTTAGCTGACCCGCAAACTCTAATTGCAGGAAGAAGTTTCTCATTGAGAAAATCGAAGATGGGCGCATTGTTGGTCGTAAGAAAGGCTTTACGGCCTCTGTATGGTGAGCCTCTTTGCCGGTCGATGCGCACCTTCAATACCTCACTGCGGTGTTCTCAACCTTTTTAGCTATCTACGGGGGCATGAAGCGGAAGCTTTGCACATTACCCAGCGCACAATGTTTCATGAGTTGCGGCCAGCCCTGAAAGGTCTTCGGCCAATGCAAGGTTCAAATCTCTCATGATCCAAATGCGGTTTGGATGGTGTCGCTGTCAGGGCATTCACTCGTTATTCAGGTATCTACCTGATAGCTGTTGCTCCTGTCTAGAAGTCGTCTGTTGATCCTCCCTGCAGTGCAAAATGCGTAGGGGCCAACGCGGAGACTCCGGAGTTTCTCGGGCTGCCTACTGGCATGAAGGTATGATGCAGTGGGTACCTCTACTTCTGACTTTCAGCATCTGATAAGCCTCTCTTTGCGTACCAATGGCGTGTGGATTTGACCAAACGAGAAGGCGCCCGCTTCCCCATCGACCACAACTCTGCTTTGCAGACGAGGGAGAGATTCAGAGTCACATGGGTTTGAGGTTACCCTTGGCATGAAGTTTTCTGGTTCATCGACGGTGGACCGATTCAGGGACCATGCATTCGAGTTCAACTGTGCATGAGCATTGCGGTAGATACAGTTTCGCTCTTGGGCCCGATAGATTATCCACCAGTCTCTGCCGGGTTCCTCCCGGCAGTGTGCTACCGTGGTAATTGGAAGGTTGAACGAACGGACAAGCTACCTCCTGGCTTGGGGGCCTTAGAAATTTGAAACCCCGAAGACTCTAGCAAGTACAGACGGCCAGTAACTTTACTCGAGCGTTTGCAGCACCCCTGCCCAGAAAGTCGTGCGTTCATCGAATATGCTCGTGCCTTCCGGTTCCCCTGCTGCTTGCTGCGATCTGCACGTTCGACCTGGGACTTTGCATCTGTAACGCCTCAATTGGTGAATTCTAGATGCAACTTTTGGAAGGCCAATAATTTTGGAACGCAGATGGAGGAGGCCCCTGGGGAGCAGAGCTGCAGCAAATGGGAGGCCGCCAGCAAGGACGAAGTGTGCGCAAAACCGTGCAAGCTCTCGTGCGACGACGCGGTCGCGCGGCAGGTTCGGCTCGAGCGCGCATCTACGGGGTACGAGCTCGACCCGGGGGATCGACAGAAGGCGCTGCGGGGCTGTGCGGCGGCCTGCGAGAACGAATGTGAGCCGCTGATTGTGGATCTGACGGCTCGGATGGGTTGAGAGGACGGGTGGGACCTCCTTGGTCTATTCTGGATGCACGGTTTTTGGATTTCAGCGAATGGCGGTTCCCTATGAAGTATAGACCTGCGAGAAGAGCATGCGACATACGGGTACTCTATGACTGATACGAAGGAGTCCAATTCTGCTTGATATGATCGTACCCGCTCGCTGGCAGGGGCCGCCGTGTGCGACTCTTGTTGACGGTCATTACTGGTTCAGATTCGCTTTGCTTGGCGTTGCTTTCCCATTGTGCTCTAACGGCCAAGTGATTCGACCAAGAACATTGAATGTGAAAAGCGCACCTCGGCAGCGATGGGATTCCGCGCTTCAAATCAGCAGACCGTTTCTGCCACGTGGCTTTCAATGATTGCATCTTGGGCCGTTCCCAACAGCGCCCTGTGGATTCCGACCATTACGGGACCTTGGAAAGCGGCTCTGTTCCTGTTCGCCATACTTCTGCGCTACTCCGTTATATTGCTCCTGCCTGCCTACCTTCAAACCTGCCCACGCTTACTTTTGTGAGCGCGCATCTGCTGACTCTGGATAACTTCAGTGTTGAGTGCACTGCAACCCGTGAAGCTCTTCAGAGCGTCGCTCTTGACTTCTTCCACCATGCTAGTACAAGATCCTGCTACGGCCCTGAGCTCGCCACAAGTTAATGGCATAACAATGGCAAATCGTCGCACACACGGCTACCCAAGCGCAGATTTCCCGCTTTTCCCGTCCGGGACCCGCCTTCTATTCTCCGCATTGCTAGATTGCTCACATCTGAGTGCTTTGGAACAAGGGTCTCCACGTTCCTCTGGATACTCGCATCCTCTAAGACCGTGACATTGCTCCTCCAGGTCAGAAGCCCGGGCGGTCGTCGGCCTTCGTGGTGCCCATTCGGCCGTGAGCGTCCTCTGACGTCTTTTCGCATGCAATCTTCGCCGAGCTCTTTAGAGGACGGATGGGGTTTCGCTCCTTGACCATCGCTCAGGCCGCCAAGTGCGTGGGAAAACTACCCGGTTATTTGGAGCGCCGATCGCCCAGCAGATGTCGCTCGAGCAGAGGACTTCCCTCGGACTACTCTGTTTTTCAACCTCGCTCGCCTAAGACGGGCCGTCCTCGCAAGTGCACGCTTGACGGAGCTGCGACGAGGGGAAGGCATCTTTCAGCGAGTAATACTGTCTCGACTGAGGCTGCCCTTTCAATCTCACTTAGACCAATGTTCTTACTCGTGAGCTTCTTGACAAACGAGCTGCAGCTGGCAGTGGTCCCATTGTGTCGCCAACTGGCACTGATTGCTCATTGCATGGCAAAGCTTGAGCGCGACCTTCTGCTAGAGCCATGCGGGGTCGTATCTGGGAATTGTGTTTGAAGGCGCCCCTCCAGCGTGATGGATCAATGGCCCATGTTCGCGCGGAGCTAGTGGTATAATTCAATCTTGTCAGATGCTGCAGAGCACGAATTACGGTCATAAATTGAAACCGTCGCACGAGCCGCTCAGCAATTGTGCTATAATCCAGTGGCCCATACTGCACATGGCCCAAGGCCCACATGCGCAGGCAACCGCGAGCCTGGCGGCATATGCACGATGCATATTGTGCGCAACTTAGATTGTAGAAATTTGAGTCGATCCCCGGCTCGGATGTGCCACGGTGTGAGTGCACAGACTGGGTCCATACATATTTGCCGTCAATCAGCATTCATTGAATGCCGATCAATGGCTTCAGGCTACCTGCATGTAAACTTGATGCGGCAGCTGTTTTATTGTTCGACCGATCTTCCTCTCTGATACGTTAAGCATAGCACAACTATCCAACAAGCAGATAGCTCCTAAAAGACTCTTCAATCCGTACCTGGCCCGCACAAGCAGGCTCCTTAATACCGTCTCAAGAAGGACCGGGCGTTGAACTGCTAGACGGCCAGCCTGGCCCCAACAGCACATACAGCTCTTCGTTAGAAAAAAGTAAAGGGCGCCCATTTTACACTGATTAGCCGAGCAAACACTAGACTGTCGCTGATCATTCACAAGCCATCAATGTCACTGTCCACCCACGACCACCAGTCGGGCTGCGACATTCCGGCCAGCATCGCATCTGCCGCCGTTTCTTGCGCCGCCGCGACGGGGTAACACTCGCCTGTGTGACCGTCCGGTCCGTCGTCTTTCCGCTCAAAGTTTTGCGGCTCCTCCAGTCGCGGCGATCCACCCCACAGCCACCAGTCCGGCTGCGACAGCCCCGCGAGCATCGCGTCCGCCGCATACTCCTGTTCCGCCGTCCATTTGCCATGTGCGTCCTCATCCTCCCCTTCTCTAGTTTCTACCATTGGCTCCGCTTTCGGTAGCTCGTCGAAACTGACCCCCCTCGCGAACTGCTCGTGACCTCCCCCTGTCGCCAACTCGTCGACCCGCTCCCTCCTCACAAACCCGTCGAAAGCGCCCCCTCGCTGCGTTTCGTCCGGGAGCATTGCACTCGCCGTGCTCTCCGGGGGTGTCAAACTGCGCTCCAAAGCGGCCCCCACGAACGCGCCGCTAGGCGACCCCCCCCACGTCAGCGTGGCACCCCCAGATTCTAGGGCTCGAGCACCCCCCCCCCTTCCCGCTCGCCAAACGACGACTCCGCAAATCCTGGCGACCCGCCTCCCCTGAAAGCCCCTCCAGAAGTCGCTCTTTGTTGCGAATTCAGCCCTTCTAGCACACCAGGATGAAGGCCCCCGCTTGCGGCCTCCTGTTGGTGGCTTGCCGCCTCGTTTCGAGGCGCGAAACCGCCCTGATCCGCGCGGTCTCTTTCCGTTCCAGAATGCGCCGGCTCGCTCAACCGCCAACCGGGCGAGCCCCCAAATCCTTGCGAACCCGGCGAAAGGCCGTAACCTATCCGGTCCAAACCCAGAAATGACCCATCTAACGAACTTTGCGCTGCATGCTTCTGTTCCATCCTTACAGGCTGCCCCCCCGAACTTGAATCCGAGGACTGCCCCGCATTCCCAGACTCACGAAAGAGCGCTTCTAAAGTTTGTTGCAAGGCCCCCGGGCGCGGCACGTTTTGCAGGGGAGCGCTGTGAGTGCGCGTAATCGGAGGAACTTGCGCATTGGCCCCCCCTCCAGCAGACGTGACCGGTGAGCCCGGGTTAGAGGCTACGCCCCGAAGTGGGTTGTTAACCGGGTTACTAACCCCTCCAGTTATCGCCCAGGCAAGCCCCGGGGATCCGCTCTGGAACTCCGTCTGGGCGTCCGGAAATTGCTGATCGGTTTGTGACCGCCCACCAAATGCCTCTCCCGCACCAAGAGACTCCCGCGAACCCTCTCCAAACTGAAATCCGGATGAGCTAACGGCTGGGTTAACCACGGACCTTAAACTTTCGGAAACCGGCCGCTGGGCTCGAATTGAATCCAAGAACTGCTGCTGTTGAGTTGAAGGTTGGGCGCTGCCGGTCAACCCCTGGTTAGCCGTTCTCTTAACCAGGCTAACACTGCGGGTTAGAGTCTCTAACTGCGGACTCTGCTTTGCAGCCAGCACGTGCTCCAGCCGCTCTTCCAGGGGGGACTTTTTTGCGCCCGGGTTCGCCCCCCCGGCCTGCTCCAACACGCACTTCTGCAGCGCCGAGAGGTGAGCTTCCGAGACGAGCATCGGCGCCGGCCGAGAGCTCGCCAGCATCTTCCGTTTGGTTTTCGGGCGGTGCACTGGAACCGTCCGTTTCGAGAGGCTCGCGGACAGGAGTTGACACAGCGGGAGGGCATTCACACCAAGGGCGCTCGCCACCGGGTCCGCCTCAAGCGAGTCGGATTGACACTGGAAGTAGAAGCACGCCTGACTGTTGCTCGCGAAGCCAAAGCCGGTGTTAATGGCGTGCGTCCGGGGTGCGGGCCCTCCTGCGCCGAGGGCGACGATCAACGGCAGGAGGTGCTCGGGTGTGGGGTGCGCCAGATTGGCGAACGGGGCCTTGGTGCGGTAGTTGACAACGTCCTCGTACCTGCAGGCGGAGGTGTCATGCACATGCGTCATCAACAGATTATCTACTTGGACCGGCATATGGTCCAGCCGAATACTCCGATTCAACAAGCCCCAACACTTGGACAGGTTAGCTTCTCGCAAACACTTCACTAAGGGCTGTCACAGCAGTTCCAAAAGTTCTACCTGTGCCTTCCTTCCCTACGAACTCTGGTGCTGATCCTTAGTAACGCAATCGGAATCCTTTGCCGACAATGCGTCGTTCCTTTTAGCGAAATAATCCCGTCCTTGCCTTCTTCTCGACATGCGCAGTTGTGACATTTGCGTCCTGAACGCCAACCTTACATCAAACGCTTTCGATTGTTGCTCAAGTGCAAGACAGTCTGAGAGGAGCAAGCAGCGAATCGACCAAGCACAGACTGCGGGCCGTCCTCCTCACCTCCCTTCCAGCAACGCCGACCGCAGCCACTCATCGAACGCCTGCGCCCAGATGGGGGCGCCGCCCGCCACATCTGCCCTCTCAGCCGCATGCTTGAGGTTATGCACCGCTAACCCGGAGCCCATCACCAGATAACCCTCCTTGGTAAGCGGGGCCAGCGCCTGACCAATCTCGTAGTGGTGCGCCGCGGGCTTGGCCGGCTGGACGCTCATCTCGACGACGGCGACGTCACCGGAGGGGCACATGCAGCGGAGGGGGTCCTGAAACAGTGACGGGAATGATGTCACGATGATGGTGTCAAGCAGTCAAGACAATGGCACTTTTGAGGTCAGGGCACCTTTGGGGTCAGTCATGCACAAAGAATTGATGGCTTCAAAGGTACCTCAATAAAGCCCGACACAAAACGAAGAAATCGAGGAGCATGCTAGCTTGTACGAGAGCTACTGAGATCTTTCGGTTGTCCGTTTGAGCTTTCGAAGAGGAGGGCAGAAGCGCCCACAGGGAAGAACTTGCTGGGCTCGCTTACTCAGATAAGCACTGCTCGGGTCTATCACTGAAGGCCCCGATAGATCTTCGGGCCAGCCGGAAAGATGATGCAAGACGAGACTCTTTACCTACCATCTCCGTTTGTGACTGCGTTTCTAGTGATTGCTGCCTTTCAACTCGAACCAGGGGCCCTTGTTGAGTGATTCCAGCAGTGTTCTCTTACAACGAAGGAGATCTCAGGCCTGTCATCATAATCAGGCTTTGATCTCAGCAACCAGTCTCAGACAACCAATCCAACTGGCAAATACTGCCAAGGACAGGTTCTGACACTCTGCTTACCCATACTGCATGATCGATGCCCCGCGTGTGATTCAGCGTCACCTTCAGCCCCGCCACTTGAAGGCACTCGGCCGCCCGCCGCGCCAGGTTTGAATCCCCGGAACATCGAAAGTCAATCTGCGGATAGCGCCTCAATCTTTTAGCTCAAAGTGTTTTCGGAGGTGGGGGGTTGCCACAGACTGCCACACAAAATCAGGACTCTTTTCAGCTTTGCTTCGAGAATCGTTTCACCAATTGAGCCTTTAGAGGTGCGGGCGGTACTTTCGAAGGTGTGTAAATCGAGGAACATCTACAAATGAAACCACCTGAGCGGACATCGATCTCTGAGGACTTTGTAGGCGGATCAGGAAGGAATTGGGGGAGGACGACCACACAAAGCAAACCAGAACTAGACGAGCCAAACCCACGACGCACCTGTGCGGGCCCCGCAGTGCCCTCATAGTCGGTCAGGGTCTCCGGGTTCCGTGTTGCCGTCAAGCATGGCTCGGCGGTTTCCCAGTGAGATGAGATGCACAGAATTGCGCGTGGCCGGGGCAAAGTCTGGCCCAGTCTAGTTAGGAACTTGTGGACGGGGATGCCGCCCTCGAGCAGGCTGGGGGATCCGTGAGCTGCACGACGCCGAAGAACTACTTCAACTTTTCGCTGAATATTGATGAGCAAAAACAGTGTTTTGTAAACTTAAGGCATGTGATGAGATAGTTTTGGAGGAAAGAGAGAGCTAAAATACTGAGCGGCAGCTGAAGAGACAACACAAAGGCGAATTGCACCACTGTTGAGGGACAATCTGGAGCGAGAGAATGAAGATCATCATGATACAAGCAGCGAAAACGCGATGCAAACTCTTCGACAATCTGGGCAGCTGGAGTCCTACGGCCTTCTGCTTCCCGAAAGCACCTCTTTCATGTCACTAAATGCAACAGATTAGGAAAAGCAATCACAAAAAGCTCACAAACATCTGCAACCGTCTTCAGCAGCAATATGCAAGAAGCTGATGAACAGCGCAGAAGACCCACCGACGAATAAGGTTCCCCCAGAGGCGCTCGACATGAGGCCGTTACAAACGGCGAGCGAGCTGGATTAGTGCCCCATTTTCCAGCCAGGCTTGGTGACAGGCAGGTCTTCAGGGTCTTGTGTCGACATGATACCTACAGCCCCAAAGCTGGCTTCTGGATGCCCTTCTGCACTTAAATGATACCAGCTTTATGTATGAATCATGAAGAACTCTGCAGTGCATGCGCCAGAGTCACACCCGCACAGATCCCGAGTCGGCTTCAGAAAATGCAAGGAAGATGTTGGGCGTTCCGAAGATTCAAGGCGCGCAAGCAGGGGCGAGGGGAAACTTCGCTCGAGATCTCGCGCCGCTACTTGTTGCGCCGTTACCTCCACCGGCAGGTACCGGGGCCTCAGAATCCGATATATATAGGAAAAAAACTCCAGAATAGGTCCCCGGTAGAATGCCGGTTTCACAATTTTCCTGGTAAAGGTCTGACCTAGTTATGGTGCAGGAATGATCCCGGAACGCCCTTGACACAAACTTTGGTGGCACCGCTAGTTCTGTAGTTCAACGTCCATTTCCCGGGCCAATGATGCAGGCAGGGCCTGCATGGCCGCTCATGCCAATGGTCGATTAGCAGCTCTCGATGGCTATGTTGAGTTAGATCATGCCCGGGGGACGGGTGGGGTTGGTTTGGGGGTTTAGGGTGGGTACGGGTGCGTCGAGCATGTTAACTTTTGGTTTAGGTTTTTTGTTTGTTTGAGCCCAGGGACTGATCTATAACTCAACATACATCCAAGTCAACATAAAATCGAAACTTATCTGCCGCCGTACATCGAGCCGCCCTAGCTCAATGTGAAAGACGAATGCAGAACGTGATGGGGCCCGACGTGATACGGGTTGCAACCAAGCGTAATAGCTGCCATCTTAAAGATGACGTATCTTGGGCCCGACAGCGATCAATGTTTGACCGTACATTGCACGTATAATTGGAGGGTCAATGATCGCATGTACGCAATCTTTAGATCGCGGCCGAGCAACACTTGAAGGCGCCGGGCAACAATTGAAGGCCCCAGCCCATTGGCAACAATTGTATCGGAGTATACTTTGGCTCTCTTTTGCAATCAACCGAGCGCGAAAGCATTCAAAAACTTCTTAAGAGATGTTGCATGCCATGTATAAGATTTAAGACCTGTCGTAACGTCACATATCGTACTAATCAGCATTCTCACATACCACTATCCTATGCTTTCCAACGTAAATAGGAGGCAACAGAAGCATCACAGGCGCGACGCAAGTATCTCAATGTCAACTTTCAGCATTGTAATCAGTGAAGAATAAGGCTGTCCATAATGTTACGATCAACACCAACAACGCACTGCTCTCTCCTATCCGCAATGCAGAAGCTCCGTTGTCCAACTGAGCGTTGGCCCTATTCCTGGTCGATGCCGTTCCTAAAACAGGGGGGCCTACCGGTGCGAAATCTCCTGTAACAACCAATGCATAAGGCTGCGGGCCTACGGCTACTGAGGCTCCTGCTATGACTAGACTATAATTACCTACCGAAGGAGCTTGGACTGCAAAACAAGGCCCGTGAGTTTGTCAGTCCTTCGGTCGGTTTGCAGAAGTCCCTTAATCTGGCTGCCCGAGACAGGATCAGAACCAGCCAATCGCAACGAGGTATTACTCGTTTCCAAAACGACATAAGAACACTGCACGTACGAGACATAACAGTTTCTTTTGCACACAGTCGAGAGGAGCACGACTAGCCAGTCGTGGCGTGCAAGAACGCATGCTCCGGAGCTCGTCTAACCTCAGGCCAGCGCCCCCAAAGCGTGCTTTCTCCAAAAGACCGTTGAGAAGCACTCCTCAGCACCTCGGGCTGAACAAATCTCAACCTGACACACTCAACGAGATCAAGACCCGACTTAGATGACACTAGAACAGTGACGTCAGAACTGTGACGTCAACCCAAAGCCCCGCTTACTTGTGATCTGTTCGACGTTGTTTGACGTGTCGGGGCTGCTGCGGCCGTTTGCGAACCACGTGGTCCCGTTTGGATCGACGATGTTCAGATCCAGATCGTGGATCATGGGGAACAGGCTGTTGGGCGCGGCAGCGGGATCCGTCCAGACCTGCTCGGATGCACGTTGTTTGAGGGTGCATATTTCTTATCTTCCATTATCTTTTTTTTTTTGGGCTTTCCCACTCTCGTAATGTTTGAAAGACGGCCGGACTTCTCTACGATCGTGGTGAATATTTAGAAAAGCGGATCAACGACGAATCCAAGATTCCGAAGGGCGTCCGTTTGAAGCGCAAGCCTCTAGTCGGATCACGGCGCCTGCGATTGATATGACCAAGGACGCCTCTAGACAGCGTATTTGTGAATGATTACAATAAGAGTCTAGGCGTGTCAAAAGTGGTTGGCCGATGGGACATGAACTAAAAGCGAAGCGTTTCGAAGTTGAACCCTAAGGTTGCACGTTTGGAGCTTGTCTAGAGGGCAGATATCAGCGAATTCAACAGCCTCGTTCCTCAAAATACCCTCCAGAGACTTGTTGTGAAAGTTGTCAAATCTTTCTGATACTACCAGTCAAGCAAGCTCATCGAACCCCCTCTACATATGTGCACCTCTAGCCACGGGCAAAACCGCAAGCAGAGCAGAGGACGCCAATCCCTCCGCAAAACTAAGTGAATGCAAGCCAAGTCGTAGACAGGAAAACGCCCTGCGTTAACAGAGAGGTCGAGCTTTCCAACAACACACCAACATCTCGGGTACTCAAGGACGATACGAATCAGACGCGAGAATGCTTCTCTCACCATCGTTGCCCTTAGTGCCTTCTTGCTGCTCCTGACTGTCACAATGTAGGTGTGCGCCTGTCCTCTTGTTAGCACGGAACCGTCGGCCCCCCCGTTTCGAACGTATGTTGCGATCGGCTGGGCGGCGGTCGGCGTGGCCGCGAAAGCGAGCACGGTCTCAAGGACGGGTCGCCCGAAGCCTGGGTTTGGATCAAGGGTTAGTGCTGACCAACGTGGCTCTTTGAGTTCTACAAACAAGCAATCTAAGTTGGTCATACTATTGTCCACCAACAGTCACACCCGTTGCGTTACGGCATAAGTTGGCAACCGAGTCAATCTTCAAGTCCCCATGCTGAGAGCTTATCCATGTGCTGCATTCAAAAGCATCGTCGAACTAAGTTGAAAATCGCACCCTCGTTTCCAGAAAACTCCTACATGTGGAGCAGAGTCCACTGCAATGCTGAAGCCTTTGAAAGGCAATTTCCCTGGCGACGGTAGCGATGTGAATGCGCTCACCTTGGATCGGGTCTGGCGGCGTCCCCAGCTGTCGCAGGTTGCTGCTGGGGTCCAGGTACTGGGTCATTGCAACGCAGCTGGAGATGAACAGGAACAGCAATCAGAGGCTGACACGTGGACAGAGATCCTCAGATGCTCGCCACCCAAGAGGCCTTTCTGGAATCTGATACGACTCGCAAACCATTGGCAACGTCTTCAGGCTTTGGTTGTTTCAGAGATTTGACGGCTTAAAGCACTCTCTTTGTGTCTGATGTACCTCGCGCTTCGCAACGGTTCAGGATCTTTCCAACGGCACAGCAAACCCCAGTTGGCGGAAGAGGAACGGAACGGTAACGGGACAAAAACGGATCTTGTGCCCCCTGTCCCAGAATGCCGACTGATGGACCGCTTACCTGTGGATGAGCACGGCTTTGACCAAAGCTGCGCTGGGGCCAAGACTGGATGCAGGGTCAGGGGAACCTGCACACAGGGGAAAAGCATGGGCTTTAACTATTTGCTGCATTCACTGCTGCAAAACCGACTAACATCAGCAGGACGAATGCCGGTCACCGAAGAAGGATAATCAGACAAGGCGGCAACTTCTAGAGATCCTAAACTGGGTTTCAGCAAGCTGTATTCAGCGGCTTTCAGAGGGAGAATCTCTAAGCGAAGTGCGGAGGCACAATCAAAAGCTACGGGGCAAGCCAGGGGCCGCTATGCAGCCCGACGAGCCTTTCAACCGCGCCACAGATTATATGATCTTTAAAAGGATGATTTTTGTAACATCCTCCAACAGCGAGAAGGATGTGACGTGAACGGATGTTATCCCGAGACCAGAGCCCAATGAAGATGCTCGAGAAGGTGCGCAAAGCAATGTGAGTCACCTGAGGGGTAGTAGCCTTCCCGAAAGTACTGCCGCACCAGCGCGGCCAATCCGGCAACCACGGGCGTCGCCACTGACGTCCCCTGCACGTCGGAAAGGAGCGGTCAGCACTGGAACCTTCACTACGTCACATGCTGGCAAATGCCTCAAATTTACTCGATTCATATCAGCTCATGAGAGACTGCTCTCCTTGCTAGCTTCTTCGCAGAAAGACAGTGGCTCAACCTAGATCGCAGATTTCGGGCGGGACGGTGCTCAGATCGAATCCCAAAAGTACTTCCCGACCGCCTCAAGTCACCCATATCAATTGCTTTTGCCAGAGGCCACGAGCTCCAGTAAGAGATCAAGAACAGCAATCTTGTGTAGGGCACCCCTGCTTTCCACCAACCTTGCGCCGACAGAATGAGGCCTAAGAAAGGACAGACACTTGAGAGTCGTGAAAGCCGAGAAGGTTGTCTCTGGAAGGTAACGCTGAGCTGGCCGGCGCAAGATTCATCCAGACGGACGTCCGAACCCCACCTGCTGCGCGTCCATCTGACAGTCGGACGCCGCTGTTACGCCCGGCTGGCCGTACGCCGAAAAGATGGGCATCCCCGGCGCCACCAGATCCGGCTTGATGCGCCCGTCTGTGGTGGGGCCCCGGCTGGAGAACGGTGCGACGGTCCCCTGGTCTAACTGCTGCCCGAAGCCGAGCCCGGGGTTCTGCTGCTGGAGTGCCGCGAGCTCGTTGAGGGACGCCCCCACCTGGAAAAATGACGACAGCGGAACAGCAGGTAGGTACATGCCCGACGTTAAGCTTTTGGAACAACGTCAGCGGACAAACGGACTTGGTGCACAATCGTCTTTCTGTCGTTCTGTATGCTGGCCCGGGGCGTTCTGCTACCGAAGTGCCGTGTGAGGGTTCAGGGACGCTCCCAACTGTGAGTTGACGTGAGCGGATTAGCAGGCAGTTAGCTCAACAAAGAACAGAATTGGGCGCACGCCTATCAACAAGGCGAACAGCAATGCGCAACCTGAAAATGTAAGAAGCGCAGCAGCATGTCTTAGACGGACGAAGCTCGTACGAGGAGTGTGTGATAGCGTCTGCAGGCGGACCAACACGTTTGTGGTTATCATAGCCGCCTGAAGATGGGGAAGGTGAGTCGTAAAGCCAGAACATATGTACGTTTCAGAAACTTGTCGACTGATCTTTCGACTGGAATCCTCAGAGAAGGCAAGCAACAAGACTCACTCGACCTGTGAAACCGATTCAAAGATTCGAATCTCACCGTAAGGCAGTTCTTTGCATTCCCAGGGCTCGAGATCGTGAACGTCCCATTGTCGCCATCGTTCCCCGCCGCAAACACCGTCAAAAAGTCTGGATTCTTGTACATGTAATCGTCCACATCCCGGGCGTCCGATCCGTACCCCTCGAAGGAGGACCCCCAAGAATTTGAATGCACGCGCGCGCCCGCCTTGAATGCGAACGGGAACAGGTTCTGACGGAGGGATACAGGGGCGGCCAGCGTGCTGGCGGAACCGTAGCCCATATCGAAGAACGCTGCAAAGAGATGCGGCAACCTCTTAAAAAAGGCCTCAAGAGGGAGGGTTTGCAAAACGATGTAATATGACCAAAATGTAAGGTAAAAGTATGAACCGGGACCCTTGCAATATCATGACAACACCACGACGCTGTCCCGAGATAGATTGTTTCGGGCGAGATGTCTGATCTGCTTTGCCAACCACGAGCACTTTATTGCCTTAAGACCAGTTCTGCATTCGTAGGCTGTCTGTGGCTCGAGGTAAGACGGCTTGATTTTTAAGTGCAGCTTACAATGTCAATCTTCTTCATCAACAATACTGAAACAGTTGCTGAAAAACGGGTTACGAGGTGGTTGTGTCCGCTGTTTAGCCTCATCCAAGGCTTGCATTAAAATGAAGAGACGAACGCAAACCCCAGGACGGGCTTTGAGATGTGGCAAACGGCTGCCCTCCAACCGAACTCATGGCAGTCCGGCCTCCTACGAAAGAATGCAGGGCATCCACTATAGCACACATACCAATCACCCAAGTATGAGTTGCCATACGCACGGACCTCCGAGGACACTGTTCTCGTAGCCTCACCAATCTTCGCCCCCGGCGCCATGCCCGCATATGGATGCAGTCCCACAAACGTGTTCCCCGCCAGTGTTCCCGCAACGTGCGTGCCATGCCCCCCCGCCCCGCCATCGGTGTTGTCATCAAACGTGATGTATTGGACGACCTTCCGGTGGAGCGGGTCGATTTGGTTAAACGGAGTGGGGCGGTCCTCGTCCAGAAAAAAGCAGTGGTTCATCTCAATGCCGGTGTCGGCGAGGCCGATGACCTCGCCCTGGCCGAGAAGGCCTGAGGAGAAGATGGGGGTGGAGGCACCGCCGGTGCTCTGCACGCGACGGGTAAAAGCACAGGGGATCAGACCAACATAGAAGAGCAATTTGACGACTTTGGAAAGATAATTCAGGTCTTGACTTATTGGAGAGCCAAGAACACTTCAAAGAGCAATGACAGCAACAAAGTGGTACGCACTGAGCGGTAAGAAGCATTGTGCCCCGTAGGAGGGGACGCTTCGTAAGACTTTGCGTCCAGTCTTCGCAACCGGGTTCCATGCGCGTGTCCGCAACTGGTTGACTTCCAGCTGGAGTTAAGCACCCTTTTTGCTGTTGGCAATCACAAAGCTCGTTTCTGCGCCACGGCCAACCTAGTCGCTGAAATAGCAAAGGTGCATATCAAGCCAGTGCAGTGCCCAAAACCACAGCTTTGAGCAGGATTCAGAGGCCGTTTCTACTTGATTCTGGCGAAGCGACCCCCTCCCCCAACAAATCCCAAGGAAACTTTTTCTGAAATGGTACTCAGTTGTAATGAGGCGTCCCAAAAAACGTCACCAAGGACACTCCCTCTGCTCCAGTAGATCTCAGACATACCTGGACCACTTGCTTCGCCCACTTGTTCAGTGGCTTGAACGCCTTCTTAATCTCAACAGCCAGTGACTCTGGTCTGGCCGCCAGCCAACTAACCGCCGACTCCAACCTTGATGCCAAGACCGGTCCGCAGACAACCGCATCCGTGTCTTCCGCAGAGCACGAGACTAGGACACCATCGCTACAGGCGAGATCCCCCTCCGGCGTACAAGAGAAGTCCCTGGCAACAGCTGCGCCTCTCAGGGCATCTTCCCAAGCACCCGCCCAGCTCTGAGCTTCTTCCAAGCTGGCTACTGCCCCTTCTACTAAGACGACCTTCAACGTCTCTGGCTGCTCTAGCAGGGAGTCAGGCTCAGAGCTTGGTGAGTACTCCTGCAGCGCCAGTAGCTTGGCGCCCAAATGAGATGGCTCAATTTTCAGGGTCTGGGGCACTGCCTGAACGTGCTCCACTGCTTCATCCCGTTTCAGTACCTCTGCATCCTTGCCTGACAGATATGCCATGAACCAATGCACGTCTCCTGGGCCTGGAGCGGACAAATGATGAGCACTCCGTCCTACCAGCTCAAGCACTCTTCCGGTGGAGTTAGTGTGGCTGCCAATCAGGTACAGCCACCTGGCAGAGGACGATGTCAGCTGCCCTTCCAAGTCAGCAGTTTCTTGAGCAAGCGCTCGATGCACGCGGTTGACTAAGGTGCTGGGCGAAGTCCTGTCAGCAGCCGAGATCCTGCTTATCAAAGCCTCCCTGACATGTGTCTCTGACCAGCCTGTGCTGATGAGGGACCCCCACTCTGCGGCGCTTAACCTTCGGCGACCAACCGTTGACTCCCCCAGCTCTCCTGGTGCTGCATACAGGGACAGAAGCAGCACAATTGCGTGCGCTTTTTGCAAAGCAGTTGCTCTCCAGCAACTTCCGATGGAGATACACATGATTGCAGTGTTTGCAGCTTACTGATCAGTACAATCTCGTCAGAGGGATTGGAAAGCCCAAAGCCTCAGGACGCCCATTGCACATAATCTGCATCGTATCGACTTTTGGAGAGGCCAGGTAGAGGATAGCCTTTAGAAGAGCTGCGCCTTCAACACGTACGCACTCTTTTTCCCTGCAAAGCTCTTGCAGAGGCAATGCAAGCGGGTAGACGGTAGGATAGGCACTTGTCTGGCGCCTGACTTGTGCAGCCTGGATCTTGCTGAAATCAAACAGCCGTTCCTCGCTAGTTCCGCCGGAATGGAGTTTCGGCGGCTTTTCACCGGAATCCGCCTGGAATACTAGTATGTAACCCGGCACGCGAAGTCCGGCGGCGACGCACTGCTGGCGCGCAGCTTTTCCTGTCCCACATGTCTCTTTCTTTCTCTCAAGTTCCGATGCTCGACAGCTAGGCTCTTGCAAACTTACTAAAGCACGTTACACAAGATGTTGCCTTCTTGCATGTCGGAAAGGTCTGATTGCAACATGGAAACGGTAGCATCCTTACAAGCGATTGGTGGTTGATCGATCAGGTTTTGATCATGCACTTTGCAATCAGTATGAATTTACTGTTGCTTCCGGTCCAATTCGATGGCGTCCTGATTCACCTACAACTGGCCAACTTTCTTGCAACGGCTGGCAGGCTGCTGATGCACCGCACGTAGACTTGCCCTATCAGAAATGACGAATCGCTTGCTCAACAATGTTGTTGCAAGAGGTCAATGGGTGTGACTCATCCACAACAATACGAATGAGGTAAATTTGCTAATGTAGACGGTCACGTTCTACTCCAACAGGAAACGACTTCTATTGAAGGGACGCTACACAAAAGTTAATCAATAATAATCTTTCCTAATTGGGATATCTATCTTCCCATTATCCAAAGCTTTCGACATTTCAACACCCATGGTCTGGATTCATCTGGAAAACAAGCGCATGCTCGAGTCGCTAGCCAAACTGAATGTTCTCAAGCACGAACGACCGTAAGCTAGACGAGAGAGATCGTGCTGGGCCCCCCTGGTGGATTCTTGGCACCCATCAGGTCTCGCTTTGGCGGTACTGCGTCACAGAAAATGTCGTTGCCACCTAGCTCCTTGCGCTTCGGATCGCTGAGCATAATTGAAGGACCAGGACTGCGGCCATCGTCGAAGATATTGTTGCCACTGAGTTCTGCCAGCTTCGAATCGTGCAACTTCTTGGCCACCGCTTCAACAGGACCATCGTCACCAAAAGCAACCTGGCTTGTCCCTCCTACCGCAGGTCCCTGTAAACAGAAACGAGATGCTTGGAAGAAAAGTAAGCAAAATGGAGACGCTCTGAGCAGAGGCTCTAGAAGAGTCTGAAAAGGTCACCTCGCCAACTGCTAGAGGACCCTAGCGCCTCTCACTTAAGAGGTCGAGCTCCTTGAATAGTGTTCTCCTGAGCAGACAAAAGATGTAACAAGCTACAAATCTGCTTGGAACTTGGAAACTCTCAGCTGTACGTCAGTCGAATATAGGAACCGGCATGAAACTGTCATAGAAGCACATGGTTTATCAGGGAACGCCTTCTCAGGATTCGCACCTGAGTCTGGGTCTCAGAAGGCTTCTCCTCGTCCCTCCAGATCTTGAAGATGTGGTCGTTCTCCCCGGCATGTGCCTGAGCAAGTGGCTGTATCGACGGCCGGAAGGGGGGGGCCGGCCCAAACACCTTGGAGTCCAGCAGCTCCTTCTTCTTCTCGCTTGAGGGCCGCCCCAGATACTCGCCAGGACTGCCTTTTTGCAGCTCTTCCTCCATGTTGCCTCGGATTTCGGCGAACTTAGCCAACTTGTGAGCCGGAACCTTCTCAGGGGTGGTATCGTAGCCACCACCAAGGGAGATCTGGCTGATTCCCCCGGCAGGCTGAATCAAAAGTAAGACCAAGAACAATAAGCATGAAGACCGACTTTCATTTTCAATATGCTTTAAGTGATTCTCAATTACACAAACCACGCAAAAACTGATTGTCAATTGCACAAACAACACAAAAGATGCCCTAAAACAAGCACCTCACATTCCACAAGCAAGTGCAGGTATGCCTTTACAGAACGGCATTGACACTGACCGACAGACTTCACATTGAGCTTGCTACAGAAAGGAGTCATCTTCTTGAAACTTCAAGTGCGAAAAGCGGACAGAGGGACCATAACCCTCTGACTTGATTTAGTGCTAACAAGTATAGGCAGGTAATGATATATGAGCTTCTTGAAGTAGTGCTGACACAAAGTCAGGCAACCAGAGTCGACTGCGCTCTTTCCCTGCAAGAAAGCCAGTGTACAATGTACAAGTCGTAAGCGAGCAGCAAGCGAGCAGAAGGGTGCACTCACCTGTTGAACACGAGTGCTTGGCCTGTCTGTGATGTAGTTGCCATTATTCTGATCATTGTTGTTGGCAAATGCGTTTGAAGATTCAGAGTGGGGGCCCTTGTCGAAGATGCCACTGCCTGAGAGCTCTTTGTGCTTCTGTGCAGAACCAGGTCTCCTGCACAAAATCAAAGAGCAGAGTGAGCCAACAAGGTACTTGGCTTGCCATACAAGTCATTAAACACGGGACAATGAAAGCTCCTCACTGCAGCAATTAAGTGAATCAGGACGTTCTTTGCATACTGCCCCAGGGTCGGCTCTCACGACTACCATTTACATTTTTGTCCAGAAGATGTTTATGATAACAATGTACTTGGACGGCATCTAAGTGACTGCTGATCCTGCTTCCATATTCACATAAAGCGGACACCCAGGATACACTTGAGTCCGACACACTACAGTCAATCATAAAAAGCGCCCCGAAGAGGCCACAAATAACAAATCACAGAGCCTTCCGCTTTACAAAGCAAGGACCAGATGATGAAGAAGCTATACTTCAGGTGGCTAGAATAGTCAGATAGCAGGGCCTTGTAAGTTGTGAATGATGCACGAGACCAAATGGGGTGCATGAAACTCCCTCATTTGCTCTTTTGATTGAAGGCGACTAATCATCCTCCTCCTGAAACTGGAGGATCATTAGAATGGCGGCCAAGGGTAAAAGCAGATAGCTAGTACAATGTCCAGGGGTGCATGACCTTATACAATATCACTGATAGCGCTTACGTGGGAATCGTCTCATGCTCAATTGGCTTCTCGTCCCCGAAGACAATCTTGCTTCCACTCCCTGGCTGCACGACATACAGAGCAAAAGGTAAGGTACAGAAATGAAAACCAAACTATCGAAGCCAAAGAATCAATTTACAACACCACCACAAAAGTGCCTGATAAAACCTCCTTCCATCCTCAAGGCATGAATCTAGAAGCACATTGACTTCGATGCTGGTCTTTCGCTCCAATATGAGTTATGCTTCGCTGCAAGTTCTTCATCTGACCAATTCTTTCAGATTTGCGGGGTCTGACTACGTCGAAATGAGGAAGCAATGATGCTTTTAGTATCCATTTTTACACCAATATCTGATGTCAAGGCACCCAAGATCACCCAGACAATCAAGCAGTTACCAATGGCATAGGGTTACAGAAGATCGTCACCAGACAGGACAAACAGCAACCTCCTCTACAGAGAACAGACCTGCCAAATTTCAACCTACACCCACACTTCAGGAGCGAGGTTGCCAATTCTCGAAAGTGATTGAGAGCTTCCATTGATTTTATATTTTCCTTTCCTGGCAACTTTTTCCCGGAGCAGGCATTTCCTTGCTGATTGTCAATCTCTATGAGAACACCTGGTACAGATCTTGGATGCATTGCAACAATGTTGATTGACAGAGGCTCTCTGGGATGCTTCCAACTGCTACATTCTGCAACCAAGCCGCAATTGCTTTGAAAATGTCGACTTGATACACTTTTTTTCTGTCGCCTTTGGTCGCCTCGCTCAACTAAGCCAAAACTTGCAAATTTGATCAAGCACAGAGTATCGATATGCTCGAAAGTTCTTCTGAGTGACCCGTTGTGGCAGAATATAACATCTGAAACCAAGGACCGGCGAACTTCCAAAAGCTCTGAAAGGAACCTAGGACGCAATTTACCATCCTCGAACTTAAGTGTGTCATGGTGGTTGCCCTGAATGGTGTTACAAGCAGCATTGCAGACTTCCTGCTTTGAATAAAACAAGCCGTACACTGACAGGCTGACAAAGCAGGAGAAGATTGGCAGCAAACTTACAGAGGTTCCTCTTCCCCGTCTGACCCCGGTGATAGTGTCTGGGGTTGGAGGTCCCGAACTTTCACTCCAATCGAAAAGGTTAATGCTCTGATCTCCTCCAGGGGGTATTGACAGTCTTCTTTGAATAGTCCCTTCCGCCATTGTGAACTTCTGCTGAGGATCACACGCTCCAGATGTTTGCAGACCACCTTCAAATCTCTCCTGTGGACTTTTTGAAGGCCTTCTATCCCCAACTCAAACACCTGCCTGGTGAAATCTAGAGCTCAAGCGGTCTTCAAGGACACCCCTCGACGATCAACCAGAGGGTCCGGGGCACTGCTATAGCTCATCGAACCGTCGCTCCTCGCTAAGTACCCTCCCATAAACCGACTGCCAACCTCGCCCTGGGCCTAGGACCTAGGTCCCCACCACGCTGTTGAAAGGAGAGCCTCTTGAAGGCGGTAGGTTGGCTTCTAGAAGAGCTGATGCCCAGCTGCGTCGGACTCCTTGAGTCCTGCTTCTTTCCAACGTCAACTTTCTGGAAGTCTGCGAAATCCAAGGCTTGTCAAGACCTGCACAGAGCAAAGCGCAGACTGAGACGGCGGACTAAGATTACAGAGTCCCGACTCCCGAGCCTCCGACTCTCTGACACAGATCAAGTTCCACAGATTCGATTTGAACCGTCACGGTGCTTCTTCGGAAGTGGTAGGTACCGTGCGCTCGTATCCGCTGCCCGGTAGCTCATACCGGGTCAGAAGAAGAGACCTTCAACTTGAAGCCCCGAGGCCAAATGCGCGTCATGGCTCCCCCGGGGGCCGTGGACTTGCAGGGTGCGATACACAGCGGTACCAATTTTCCCTCGCATCTCATGGGACTCCCAACTTTAATTTGTCACCGGAAATCGGAAATCCGAAATTCACTGCCAAGGCTTTGGCATTGCCTGCCGCGGGAATGCAAGCAGCAAAGGGTTTCTTCCTCTCATTTCTAAATTCGTGGTACCTGTAGCCTGTTCAACAGCTGAGCTAGATAGGTACCTGGTTCTGCATGGTGGCGCATGTTGGTTTTGTGTTGCCACTTTACTATTGCGGTAGCATATCATAGGGGATGCTCACAGTTTCAACAGGTTTCTCTCCGATACAGTTGTGTTGCTTATCGAACTGAAAGCCCTCTGTCCTTGATGCATTCATGCGAGCGATAAACATCATCTGGTAGAGTTTGCCCTTTGCTCAACTGGAGTGAAGAACTTAGTTGAACAAAGACTATAATACAGTGAAGGTAGTAATGGCATTTCCCGACTTCGTTGCGGATAAGAGTTGGGCAGACTGGCACAACTTCGTTCCAGGAATCCTTATGGGCTTGCTTCTGGCTTGGATGCTTCGAAAGCTTACCACAGTGAGAACTAACCTAGTCCAGGCTGTATTTATTCTTCCACTTCAAGCTTCCGTTCTTCCTTTCACTGGCAGAATTTGTCCAATGCAATGAGGCTCTACCCCTTCAAAACTCCCTCTACTTTTGCCGACTCCAGAGCCTGGGCTGTGCAGTGGAGTTGGTCCCAGCAGGCCTCAAAACCTTTGATTTTTTATCCAGCTTTGTGGCTTGAACTTCAGGGACTAATCAGCAAGAGGTCCTGCCTGCAATGAGCTGACAGTATCAAAATAGAGAGCATCTCGTGGTGGTCAAGGCGCTGGCTTGTGTTCTGCTGAATGTGATCAAGCTTGGTTTCCACACCAAGTTTTTCAAGGGAAAACGAGTGGATTGCAATTTCACTTCCCTGGACAGACTTCGTGACTCAACAACTGCTCTTATGGGCACCAAGTTGTCTTCAGGCGAAGTAAAAACTTAGGACTTGCGAACCTTGATTGAAAAGTTTGTGGGTCACATCAAGATGTAGGTAGTAGGCAATCAGTCAAATTGGAGCGGGGTTTTTTTTGGAGAGCCTAACCTCTGACTGAGCAACTAGGCTTTAAACTTGGTCACTAGTGCCATGTTGGAGCGGTTTGGCCAAATAAACTCTTCAAACTGGTGAGTTCTTCTTGTTCTATGATTGGCGGCAACCACTGCGGCTCTTTCGTTGCAGGTTGTGTCAGACTTCAGTAGCGATCAGAAGAAGGTTGAAGCCAAAGGTGGTCTGGACATTGGTTCTGGAGATGAGAAGGAAGTTGAGTATGAGGATGAGGTGAGTGAGACCGAACCGGACGTAGTTGGAAAGGGCAAAAACAAGGTGACCTGAGTTGTTGAGTAGGTAGATGGCTCAGTGCGAGCAGATAGCAAGTTCTGTGAACATAGAGATGCTTATGAGGGAGACTTGCGCCGCCCGTGTTGCGGTCAGCATAGCTTTTGCACTGCCTGTAGGTTTAGGTTCCCATAGGTCATTATTTAGGAGGACCCTGCTCTGTTAGTCCTTTCGTCTAGTTGACTCTTATCCTCGTACGGTGACTGCCAATAGCTTGTGAGATATGTGTCTGCTTCCTGTACATAAAGACTCGCTCACATGGAAGAATCCACCGATGGACATCTCTGTCATGTCATGTTAATTCATCATCACAGACAGTCGTTTTTCCTTAATCAGGATTAATATGATCATCGCAGGGTGAAAGCTCAAGATTGCAAATCATTGGCATCACTCTGCCAGACATGGCCCATAAGGTTGTGCATCTAATGATCGAATCAATGCTCGACACAACCACAAAGCATCAAGTTGAATGGTATTCCTTTCCAAGTGGACCGGACGCGTGCATGGCTAGCTGCACCGCATGGCAAACACTTTTTAGTGTTTTGATATGTGCAGTGCATGTTCCAATTTGCGATGGCCGGAGTCTGTATGGCCATATATATGCGGTCGAACATCACATGCATATCAATGTGCGTACATGAATGATCGCGCTTAACCAGTGATAAGTTCCGAATCCGACAACTTCCGATTCATGGCTTAGAATTGCTTATGAGCTTTTCTTTCACTAGTCAGAGTAACTTTAAGAGTGCATGCACATTAGACTATACCGGTATATGAGTCTGGCAAGCAACTTCAATCTACAAGCGCCGCAAAGCCGGGTCTCAAGTCGAAGAGTTCGACTACAGTTCAAGTACTACAGTTCGACTACAGTTCGATTCAACATCCGAAAGCGTGCATGATGCATGTGACACTGATTCAAGTTGGACGGTCCACTTGTGAAGATTCAAGCCTATGATTGAAGCAGATGCAGGCTGAGGTTGAAGACGGCGGCTACTTCTATGTACAGGCCCTCGTTGTCATGAAGTCGTGCTTGCACGTTTTAACCTTCAGTGCACTACGGAGTGACTCCGATACCGATGTACAATTTTGTCTTCTACACCGTTGCGGTCAAATCAATGGTTAGCAACCCAATGTCTCGTCACTTCGCTCGAGAATTAATGCGAAGGCTTGAAAGCATAGAGCACAAATGTAAACCATGTTAATACTATGATTGACTTAGAGCAGACACGATGATCGAGCTACAAGAATTGGTCGTATCAATCAGGCTGCCACAGGTACATTGCCCTTTGGTACAAACTCGTACGAAGTCAGGCCTAGAACCTTGAACTCCCAACTGTCGTGCAGTTGTCTTGCCTCGGCGTCTTCTCCGGCAGCTCCAAGTGCCACGTGGAGGGGTAGGAAGTGCTCGGGAGAAGGGTGTGCCCTCCGAGCGTGGGGAGCCTTCTCCAAATACGAGCAAACGTCAGAGAATCTGCACGCAGCGAATGCCAGCTTCAGAATGCGTGTCGTTCATCACAAGAGACGACGGTTAAGTTGACGGGAGAAAGGAATGCTCCGCAAATCGTTTAATAAAGTAAAGTCAGATTACACAGTCGGTCTTTATGGAGGAAAATATCGAAGCTCTCGAGAACGGGCCGTGCTTGGGCTGTTATACTTTGATTCATGATTTCGATATGATGATCAGTTCGCCTGGCCCAATGTCCTTGCTGTATTCTGCTCCCCATATATAACCAGCAACGGCTGCCTTTCCGTCTTTCTTGACGCGTCCTAAGTCCCACTAAGAGATTCAGCGTCAAAGCAAACTTAGTACCTCGCCTCTCCTCTCAAGAAAAATAAGGAGAGGAACTCGTTACCTCGCCTCTCCGTTTATAGAGACAAGGAAAAGCAAAGACCCTTTCAGGTCGACGAGAAAGACCCCCCTTCCTCAAGGGAGTCCTTCGATGGCTCGTATATTCCTCACAAGAGCCACTCCGTCGCCTCACCTCTTCTCCATGAGCGCCAAGTCCAGCCAGTCCGCAAAGTCTCTCGCCCAGTTGCCGTCGCCCTTAGCGGCAGGGGTACGACCAAAGACCTCTCCTAAGTTATGGACGACCCCCCCGGAGCCCATCACAAGGACTCCCTCCTCTTTCAGGGGGGCAAGAGCTTGCCCCAACCGGAAGTGGAAAGCGGCGTCTTTATCCGGCATGACCGATAGCTGTCATCGCAATGATGATACGTAGTTTAGAGATCGCACAATCTGAAAGTAGTTTCTGAAGTTCGCAACGATGAGCACGTAGAAGTTTCAGAAGGTGAACGAAGCAGCGAGACAGCCTGGGGGAAGGACGAGTCAGAACCGAGACAACTATTCAGGGAAGTTGTCAGGAGCCAAGACCAAGGTTTCAATGAGCCCAGAGAGAATCTCAGATGACAAAAAGCGATCGTTGAGTCGGACTCGGTCGTGGATTGAATGAGTAGAAACTTTAGGTGCATGAGGCGAGAAAGAGAGTCCGCGTAAGCGAGAAAGGATCGTTTCCAGTAAGAGAGAGAAGTCACTTGCAAACAACAGGTTTGGGATAGGTAGAGAGGCATGCAAGCTGAGGAGAGGAGCTTTATGGCCCAAGATACGAGCTTCGTAACCTGGGAGCCAGTCAAAAGGATTGGACTGATCAATCAGGGGAATTCTCAGACGTCCAAACGCTGCTGACCATGACCAAGTTGAGGGATAGACAGGACCTTCTCTGCTGAACCTTGCTCCTCGGTTGAGTCTCTGCTGACCTTAATCCTCCGTTGAGTCAATCTCAAGAAAGCATGCTGGAAAGGGACTCCAACACGTGTCGTAAATCTTCCATCCTAAGCACTTGTCCTCACCTGCACCACTGGTATTTGTGCCTCAGGGTACATCAGTTTGAGGGGCACCCAGGCCCCGTGGTCCAGGCCCCTCTTCTTGTCTTCTCTCACAGGCAGCCCCGCCGCTCTAAGCAAGCTCGCGGTGCGGCGGGCCAGCTCAGGAGCGCCAGGGACAGGGTATCTTTGCTGCATTGAAAAAGAAGAATTGTATTTGTATGAGGAAATGTTCATAGTGCGGTCGGGGCAACGATCACACTTTTTTAAGGCTTCATCGCAATATGATACATCTACGAGTCTCTTCTGCCCCTCTTGTATTTAATAGCATGCGGATGTAAGACCGCATGACAAGCTTTGCTGTGACAACATTTCGTTTTCATCTCAAACTTGTGCAAGTGTCGTTCAATCCAGACGAGCGAGACAGTCAGTAGCCCGTCTTTCATTCCAGAAGAGAGCGTCAAGATCAGTCCTTCCATAGGTTCTGAAGCGGATGCAGATGTCAGACTCTAAGAATCCCAGGTCTGGTCCTAGTATAAAATTTCCCAGCCAGCGATAAGTTCTATTGACAGGCACTGAGCCAACCAATATGCGCGGAATCACAGCAAGAGTTCTTTGATCACCTCATACAGCACGGCAGGGAAACCATAAAAGTCGTGAATTGTCTCAGGCGCATTTGTGAGCGTCACGCTCGGCTCTGACGTGGTCCAGTGCGCAGACACCGCCAGGATCGCCTTTGGCACTGGCGAGATTTGTCTGCCCAGCCCTTCAAGGAACGTCCTCGTTGGGGTGTCGCTTATGGGCAGCGTCGGAGACCCGTGGGAGAGAAACAGTGGGCTTATTATGGTCGCGGGTGCTTTGACGGCTGCCGCCATTGCAATGGGGTTCTTGTGGGTCTGGGGGAGTGAAGCTGAAAACCAAATTAACAGAGAGCCCAGGATCGCTGTTGAAAGAAGCAGGAATGTGGCAGCGGGAGAAATATAGAGAATCTGTGGCCACAAGAAGGGGCGTCCACTAGCTCTGGCCTGCTTGCCTCTTACTTTGAAGGATGTTGGTGCAGTCCAGTGTGCTGGCATTGAAAGTTCAATTTTGGCTATTGAAGCTGGAATTCAGCAGACTATTGGACATGAAGCAAAAGATTCCCCCATTCAACCAGAACTAGAACTTGGATCAAGCTTCTCTCCGGCCCTCTCAGAAGCTCTGGCGTCCTTTGATTACACGACACGGGTCACAAGCTCGTCATGAACAAGCGCCATTTTCGCGTCCCTTCTACATTCTACTGTAGCGGCCATTGCAACAGCTTGCGGAAGTTGATTGAAACAGCCGCCATGGCACATTCTGGCAAATTTCTGTCGCACATGTGGCAGAAACTTCGATGACAGGTTCCACGTGTGTTCACGTGGTCTGATTTGTGACGCAACCTTCAAACCATTTACGGAGATGGTTACGTCACCAGGATTCTCCGGGATCATCCAAGGAATCCCGATGCACCATTACCGCCTGCTCGTGAACCGTTAACATCCAAAGTTCTGACATCCAGAGTCCACGCGCGTTCCTAGGTTGAGCAATTGGCCAATAATATGAGAACTTGAATGCACGCAACTTGGAACGTTGTTTGCGCCTTCAGTAGATGATGGTACATCTGCTTTCTGGATCCTTTTAACGCCTCAGGCCAAAAACCTCGAAACGAGGCGGCGGTGTCAGAAGTCTGCAAGTCCAAGTGCAGGCCTTTTCCGTTAGAAGCAAGTTTTCTGCTTGCAGACATGGCGGTGGCAATCGCGGGCTCTTTTTCCAATAAAGCTTGATCAAGTCTGCAAGCCGAAATGGGGGAGGAGAATGCTGTGAAAACGCCCGGTGATATTTTAGGGAGAGTCTCGGAATATACTTCTGGTCGAGGAACACACGTGCGGGGAGATCACATCTGTGCGTCCATTGTGGGCCAGCAAAGCATCTCGGCGCCCGCAGCTGGGGCCTCCGATAAAGCGCAGGTGAGTTATGTACGATCTCAAATTGTGGCAACTCTGTCCCTTCTAGGGCGCTGCCTGCTTTCAGTGGTCGTAATTAGATGTTGGAGAAAGACATCGAGTCACTTAACTGGCAAGCTTGACACTGGCGCATGTAAGCACAGGTAGAGATCGATGTGGCAGTCGTGGAACAGAAGCGCTCCTTGTATGTTTGAAGGTTCAGATGTTTGGCAGCTTGTTCGTCTGTGAATCTGTTTTTCAAGAGTTCACTTACTTTTGGGGGCCCTGAAAGTGGGCAGGATAACAGGCCATCAATGCTCCGGGCAGGCTTGCATTGAGATTTTCAAGGGAAGGGCTCAGTATGATCACTTCAGGTCTACCTACTTTCTTCAAAAATCAACCACTTTCTTGATGTCCTGAATGGGGCGCCAATAAGCAATGTGCTTCAAGTGAGCAACTGTGATGTGACATGAAAACTCAGCGTAATGACTAACGGGACAGATTATGACGCCCCTCTGCTGTGAAAGAGAACACAAACTCGCCATACCATGGTTAAGCTCACATTGTGTGGTAAACTAAACCGACCGCTCTTGTTTCAAGATTAGAATAACCTTATGCAAAGACCTTTGGACTTTCTTTATGATGGATCTCGAAACTCCATGGACACGTCAGGGCAACGCGTTGGCTTTTATTGAGCAACCACTTATGAAACCACCTAATCTAGATGCTTTCAAGTGACCCCCAATTTTATCTTTCGAGCCCGTTGAACACGGGCTTGCTTGCAGACCAGCCTTAATCGTATCTCTTAGAACTGTACTTTGGACTTGTCAATTGTCCACTTCTATCCAGTGATGCAGGCTGTTTGACTTGGTAGAGACTTATTTAGATCAAGTGTACACAATTCTCTGAATTTACATTATTCGGACACTTGTGCTATACTCCAGTACACAAAGGCGTCTTCTCTGGTTGCTGCAGCTGCCTGTGATCGAAGTGATCAACGGCAAGGAGCGGTCAGCGGTGCCTGAGACGGGGAGTACAGTCACGGCAAAAGTGAGTGGCCAGGAACGATCCAATGAGGCTGTGCAACTGGGGTTGGAGCAGCACGATACGTCAGCTGCTCGTGGGTAGAGTCAAGTTCGTCTGAGGGCCCAAATTCCCGCAATCTGCATCGGGTGCAGAGATCGCAATCCCCGAAAGGAGAAGTTGAACGTATGGTTAGATTCCTTTGACGTTTTCAAGAAGTAGAATCTGGATCTCTACACTGGTTGGTGTGGATCTTTCGCTCTGGTGCCTTCGAAGGCGCTGCAATAGTTGGGGCGTATTCTAGTGCTGGCTGTCACAGGCCTGAAAGTTGAGGTATCAATATATTCGACGGTGGCCGAAGTCGCGTATGTGCTGGATGGAATCCCGGGAGTCCTGTTCGAGTCCTCTAAAAAACAGCCGTTGACAATTCTTCTTCCAAACGCGCGTACCCATTGTCCGCTTTTTGGAAGGGGGGCACTGATGCTCGCACTCACCTTCATTCCGTTTTTAGCACACTTGACGGCTCGTCACTCTGATGCAATCGTGCCTTGTGCTGCAATCAAACGGCTGCATACCTTGCCTGTTCTGGACATTCTGCACCGTGGATCGGAGGGGACGTGAGGGGTCCCTGGACGGGGGGATCCTCGGTCTAACCGTCCTTTCATTTCGTCCAGGTTGTGCGGATAGACCACAGAAAGGCCACCGCCGACATCCTGTGTGTCGGCCTGCGTGCAGTGACGCAAAAGTTCACCGGAATCATTAGGTAAGTATTCTGGCTCTGGGTCCAAGCCGATAGGACAGTTCGAAGCTGACCGCTCATGTCTGGGCAGTTTCTCCCCCATCTCTTCTTGAGATTGGCGCTTTGGTCGATCAAAGCGCCAGTTGGACTGCACGCCTGTCTTCATTCAAGCAAGCTACATGCAGACTTCGCTTCTCGTTTTCCCTGCACCACTTGCGCATAGTCGCTTCTTCGTCAGGTGCTTCTACTTCTACACGCGGCTGTGCCAGCAGCCAAGAAAGAGATTTGTGTGTCATATTTCAATCGTCCGGTGTTGACCTCTCGCTGATCCAATCGTGTGTTGTTTCTGCAGGCAGCAAGACGTCCGAGCTACGGAGATCGACAAGGTCGAGATCGCAACGTCGTTCCGGCCAGGCGACATCGTGCGGGCAGAAGTCGTATCCTTTACAAGCGTGCCACGTGTCCTGTTACTTGTATTTGCACTGCAGTTTTCTCTGTCGAGTCATGCCCTGCACGACTTGTTCGTCTCACGAACTTGTTCGTCACACGATTCGGTTTCGTGTAATCGCATCTTTGAAAACTGGGTTTTTCTTTGGTCCTTTGCAACTTGCGACCTGCGAAATTTTTCAAGTTGCTTGGCCTTGCAAAAGCGCAAGTTTGATTTGGTTTTCTGCCAGGCCATCTCACCTTCTTTCTCGTCTCCGCGTTGCGGTATCCCTGACCACGTCTTGCCAGCTGTCCTTGGGCGACGCCCGCGCCTACTACCTCTCAACGGCCAAGAATGAGCTGGGAGTGGTGTTCGCCAAGAGCCCAGCAGGTGGGTCTCCTCCGAGGGGATTTTTGATGCTTATCCCAATATTTTACTAACCCAATGTCTGTTGTTGTGTTTCGGCGATTCAAAAATTTGAGTTTTCCAATCAGTCTTCTTCACACGTTTCCTCAAACGGCGCACCGATCCTGTTTTTCAATGGAAAGCCAGTTGGAGAGCATGTTCGACCCGTCCGAACATGCTTTGGCCCGTGATTGAGCATCAATGTCTGAGCACGTAATCTAACCTCGTCTCTGTTCCGTCGGAGCTGTTCGCCGCCCGAGTTGCTTTACGAGTCTGTGACTCCATCAAGGAAAGCACTTTGGTTGAGACAGTCAGAACGTGAGAGTATCTCGCTGAAGTGCAAGAGAGCGCCCGGCGACGATGAAGCCTTCCTCGACTCGCAGCCTGTACTTGATGTTTGCCGTTTTTTCGTTCATGTCTCTCACCATCAACCAATATTTCCACGATCTTCACAACTCTCCTAGAGGTCCTTCGTCGATCAACACCTTTTTGCTTCACAAAGCCTGCCAACGAGCAGTCACCTTCTCTTGATTGCTAATCTTAGACAAGTACAGACGTGAAGTAAACGACGACTGTGTGCATCCGCCTAGTTCGAAAATGGACCGGACGCCGTTAATCTGGTGATCCTGCTCCTTCTCCTGATGTCTCTTTCCTGAGGTTAACGCAATACGGACGGTGCGTGCAGGCGTCCGCATGGTCCCCGTGAGCTGGGAGAAAATGCAGTGCCCAAAAACGAAGGTGATCGAGCTGCGGAAAGTCGCCAAGACATGACGAACAGGTGGTGGCAAGTGGCACGACGCTCCGAGCGGAGAGGCACTGCCACGGCACAGCCGGAAACAGTAAGATAAAGCAAAAGGACCCGCGTTTTTGAGGTCCCAACTTGCTTCACAAGGAGAGCCGCTCGAGCTCACGCCTGTGTAGCCGCGGCGCTTGAATGTTCGCTCACGAAGCTCAAGTGCTGGTCACTGTGTTTGACCAGCTAAATTTTGTCCAAAGATACGTACATTCAGGACTCGTGCTTTTGAGCTTCTGATATCGACCATTCGCTGTGTGTTCTTTATTTGCATCATGTATGCAACTAAAATCACATGATGTTCGGTGAAAGCCCACATGCGGGTGCGGTAGACTGTAGGGAGCCGGGGCCAAGCTGGAAATTGCTGACCGTTGAACGAAGTTTCGAAACTTGCCATATGTGGCTTTAATGTATACCACATTCGCTTTATGACCTAATCGTAGCGGCAAGTTTTTATTGGCGGTCAGAATAGTGCTGGATGTGCGTCGGGCCATGACGGCCAGCTTGCACTAGTGCTTAAGGCCCTTATTTAGTTGATAGAATCTCTGGCATACAGTCGATCCGAGCATGCACTCGTGTTGAAACAGATGCGCAGCATTTGCATAGTTCGACATCTCCAACCCTTGGTCACGATCATGCTGCCTCATACAATGATTAAATTCTGCGGAATCGAGTCCTTGGTAACTCGAAGCATTGCAACTGGACCATTCATTCAGCAAGACATTGCCACGAGTTGGCCCGTGGAGAGCAATAACACTTTGAAGCGGAGCTCCAGGGCAGATGACCACAATTTTTGTGTGGGCATGCTGATTCACCCGCTGCCTTTTCTCAACCTGACAGATGGATGATACTCAGTGACCACCTTGCAGGCTAATCTACGTAAGTCTACCAGAAAATGTTTCCGCTTTACAATGTACAATAGTATTGCTCCTTTGATTAACCAGATGAGCAGTCTGGTTCGACTTTGTCAACCGACTTGCTCACCTAGGAGTGTGAAACACTCCGGCCAAGGGATGGACTGCAGGCATGTATAGACACAATGTTCAAATTTGGTTCCTTCCAATCTGTCCCGTAAAGATGAGTCCGAGTACCTAGCCTCTTAGAGGTCGACGGCTTCACGTGTCATCCCAAGCATCTACAAGCACGGAAGAGCTACCTATGAATCTGCAGCGGGGCAGCTCATGTCCCGTCGTCATCTGAGCAAAGCAATGTAGCGGATGAGGATACTAGCCACGCCTTGCTCAAATGTCTCAACGTCAAGCTTGCGTTTACTTCTGGCCCCAGAATTCAAGTACCGTCGTCATCTGAGCCAAGCGATATAGCGGATGAGGATACGAACAAAACCATTGATCAAACGTGAGAGATGACACTCATTACTAAAAGCTACTCCTGCTTAGATGCTCTGGGACTCGACATGACATTGGCGACCGAGAAACCGCCAAGTGAGGAACTTCTGGCAGCCAGTGAAGAGAAGAGGTAAAAGAAACCCACAGCAACAGTTGATTGGAATCTCCATTACATGAACAATCAAACAGTCATTCAGTTGGAAAGCCAAACCGCGTTTGCACCAGGGCAGCTGAAATGGGTTAGCGCTGCTGAAGAAGGCAGAAGAAGGCAGCTTAGGGAACGTGGATCAAGTCAGATCCCAAACCCGCTCACCTTGTTGCAAAGCTGTATGCTCGCCCTCCACTCCCAGCATCGACACTAACCGAGAAGCCGCCACGATCGCATATCGCGGGTACAATGAGCGGGTTGCACAAGGTTTTCGCGACGCACTGCAGACGTAAGAGCTGACTGAATATGTCTCAAATCTTACAATGACCTGCAAGGGATTCCATTGACCTTGTTCCACGCTTTTGGCAGTGGAATAAAAGAGCAGAAGGTACTCTTGATTTAGCTATCTCTATGTCTGGCAAAGTCTTGCAGATATGTGCGCTCTAGGTCAAGTCTGAATGAAAGAGCATTGACCTGCGTTTCCACAGAAAAGCTCCTTCCTGTGACTGGATGTGCTGCCACTGGTCACCATGAAGCCATAAAGGGTACACAATGCTGTCAACTGACACCATTGGCAAAGCGGCAAGGAGGTGCAAAGTCAGAAACTTCCAGCAGGCCTTAAGGCAGTCAGACAGGAATATTCTGTGCAAGGTCATCCGAACAGATCTAAGTTGGTAATGGTGGTGCAAATCAGACGGGCCAGAGCATAGTCCACATGATGTCAAGAGTGCCTTGACCACTTCCCCATCACAGCGCCAAGCGCGCTTCATGACAAAACTGTGGCTTGAATCGTACCTCGCAAAACTATGGTGCATGCTGCCTTCGCTCTCAAACAAGCTCGCCCTCGGAACCCGCCCAGAACTTCCTACATTCGCAGGCGCCCCACGCCTTGCTGTACCTTTACAGCTTGTGCTACTTGCACTCTCTGCTACATTTCCCATGCCGGTACTTCCTGCCCTTCTCCCCGCGGTCTGTGCTGCCCCACCGAAGGACTTGGCAAACTGCTGAAAGCGAGACGCAGCCCGAAATCCTGCGCCGCTTGCCATAACACCCTGCTATGCAAGTCACCAAAGGCACCCGCGCATATTCCAAGTGCTATCTAGAGCCAATTGAAGCAACTGCTGGCACTCCTCACGAGCACCACCCACTACACACCTTTTGAGGCCTGCTGAACCGCCAAATCGCTACGCAGGGCAAGACAATGGATTGACCCCCAACCTGGCTGTGATCGACCTTCCTCCTCAAGCTTTTCGAAGCGAGACAGCGCGGATGATTTGGCAGAATCTAGACTTTTCAAAACCTCGCACAGAAGCTTGAGCAGGCTTTGCGGGTTTGCCCTCCTTGAACGTGCTGGCCGCGGCCCCCTCGTCTCCTTCCTCCCTTCAAACAAACCGCCCGAAGAACACGGAACGCTTGCGGTCCTTCTCCTCCGATGCCACTGATATCAGATCCTGACCGTAAGATAAACTTATCAGCAGTTTTGAATCGTCCGATGAACGCCAACCGCCCCGTCGCATTCACCCCTGCCCTTCTGTTCATTCTTCGCAGAGAGTGCTTTTGAGGGAGGACGGCAAGAGAAAGAGGGAGCCATTCTCGGCTTGGAAGGGCGTTCTTGAGCTGCTTCTTCCCCCAGGCAGCTGCTGATTGAGCTTCTGAGCTGGTGCCTTCTCGTTCTTTGGTCAGAGCTCGATTTGCACTTCGTCTCCTGCGCACGTCTGAAGCACAGGCACTCTGCCTCATTTCTTGCCTGCGAGAGCACCCTTTGAGGCCGAAGACAAGTCTCCATTGTCAAGCTCGTTGCTGTCAAAAGTCGAGTCCCTCAGATTCTGGAGAGACCTACCAATCTGAAGGATGGCGCAGCCAACTCCTTACTCGTACTTCCGGCCTCCTGTGCCTGTGGACCCTGCAAATGGCCAGAAGGGCCCAGTGTTGACCCCAATGTTTGACACACTAGGCATTCCGCTTGCACCTGTTCCCACTGGACGGATACAGTTTGAGCCCCCCAACTATGGACCTGGTAAGCTAGTCTCGCGGTTTTCTGTAACTTGGTTAAGATGGCTGCAGGGGGTTGGGAGTCTGTGCAGTGGACAGGAAAGAGTAGATGGATAGCCTCCGCTTGCATCCCTTTGCAAATGTGCTTTTTGATGATCGTATACAGCTTATGTAATGCAAGTAGAAGTTCAGCGGAGTAAAGTTTACACTTAGATGTTTCTCAGCTAGTAGAGGGACTGCCCCAATCTGCGCATATTTCCTGCTCATATTCTGCACAGATGCATTGGCTCAGACTTGATCATTCAAAGTTGCTGGGGAAAGACTGTTCTGATCTCTCGGGAGCTGATGGAGCGAACACATATTGACCTTAAATGGCCCAAGTATCCATGGGCTGACTAACCGCCGAATTTCAAGGGAAAAAGTACACAGATACTTAACACTGTGTCTGCAGACGTGACAGTGGTTCCGCTTGCCCCTGCCCTTGAGAACCCCCTGCTACGGCTGCCCCCCATGGGGGCCCAGGCATCATATATTGCTTCCCCCCCAAGGGGAAAGAGAGGAGAGGTACGCGGAGAAGATTCAATATTGTGGATAAGCCTGGTCTCTACTTAGTAACATCTGAATGCCGCATCAGTGCCTTTTTGCTTATTGATGTGACAAACATCATGAATCTTCTTTATGCATGCTTTTCAACGTTGAACTAGCTTTTCTTTCCTCTTCGGCCTTGGAACACAAACGGGCTTCTGAAGGTTTGCTTGTGCAGTGTGCTTGTGCTGCGAGATTCTTGAGATGGTATGTATAAAACCTGAAAGCTGTACGCTTGGCAGCTTTGTAGTTCATCTGGTCCCTTCATAGATGCACCATTTGGCAGCTTTGAAATTCATCTGGTCACTTCATTGATGCACCATGGAACTTGTGTCAATCATGAAGCAGAGGATGATGCAAAAGAAGGCAGATCTAACTAAGCAGAGTTAACTGGAAGTTGTTGTACTTAAGCGAAGTTTATAATGATTCCTTTGCTGAAGTACAGTATCTGCGAATCCAATTCATTCCAGTCAGATTTTCAATGTCTTTTAGCTTGCAGAGATGGATGATGAGGCAGTATGGAAGTGTGGCCTCACCCGCAACTTTCTCGGCTTTAACCCCAACCCCAGCCAGATCCTTAACTCCTTAGCAAGCCTCTATACTGGACTGAAAGTAACCCTCTAACCCGTTCGTTCATATTAATGTATGGTTGGGAGATGTTTCACAAGGGTGGTCGACCAACACTTGTCACTGCTGTTGACCCCTTGTCAGGACAAGGAGTCGATTAAGGTCTCAGAAACATCAGAAAGAGTGCTTTTTGGCCGCCGCAGGTTGTCCGGCCGCCAGAGGACCGAGAGGAGCGGCAGGCTTATGAGGAAAAGAAGAAGTTTGCCATCTCGCTGATCAAGCGGTTGCCAATGGACACGCGCAAGCTGATCTGTGTGGCAGAGTACTTTAAGCACATGGAACAGGGGAAGCTCAGGAAGCCAGAGGCGTTCAAGTGAGCGAAGTTCTCGTAGTTGCCTGTTTGACCGTTTCTTCTAAGCTTGATAAGTCGAGCTAGGGTCAAAAGAGCGAGCAGTCATCAGGTTGATAATCTTCTGTGATTGTAATCTGCTCTGGATCAACCCAGTCACTTTATCACATTCCTCAAACGCAGCCTCCTAAAACCACACTCAAACATCCGTCGGAGGTCGACCATGCTTTCGCCGTTCTTCTCAGAGGACTCCGAAATGTCTCTATAAAGTAGATGACCAGTGGTGGCAGCGATCTCGTACCATCACAGAGTATTGTTCTCTTTCCGGCCGAGTATTCCTCTAGTTGCAGACAACTATGTTCACCGGGTTTTAGTCCGACTTCTTCTTCACAAACGGTATCTATCTAACGCAACCGTTGGTCTGCTGCACAGACTTTTACAATGTTTCGGTGGTGGAATCTCGTGTGACGGGACGTGTTTGCTGACTAGATTGTATTACAAGCAAGAGTCCTTGAATCATTGGATAAAAATGTTGTTGCCATGCTTAATTTCGTTTACACTTTCACCTTCCTGTTTTCGTTCCTTTTCTCTCGTCCGTTCTTTTTGCTCTGCTCGTATGCTCCCGTCCCCCTCAGCCGTATCGTCTTCGTTCTCCTTCCTCCGGTCGATCCCCATACCCACACTGAAGCCGATTCCAATTCTCACGTTTGAAGTGTTCTTAACTCTCTGCAGGGCGGCTGGCGAGTCCGCAGGCACCAGTGCAAAGTCCGCGATGAACTGGGTGGAGGACTTCACGGCGCGTGGCGACGGGACCTTCTCCGAGTCCAAGCGCGGGAAGCACGCCAAGAGCCCGTGGCTGCTGCAGGCGCCACACCTGCAGGCGCGCGCACAGCAGTGGCTCAAAGAGCAGACGGCGCCAGAAAGGGTCCCCCAGAAAAACGGCTCCCTGTCCAGGTAAGCAAACAGGGGAGGTCATGACTCGGTCCCCAGAAGCAGCCATTGTTGGATAGTCGAGGAGAGATCTGGCTGTGTTGATGGACGATAGAAGCGGTTTGGCCAGACCGTTTGTGCAGCTGATGCTTTCCTGGCGTGACAACTGTTGCCTTCGAGTAGCTCGCAGCGAGTCCACCAGAAGGATCCCGGGCGCTTGCTGCTCACCAATCAAAGCCAGCTCGTTCTGATGCTTCCGCTTACTATCGAGCTCATTGGCTGCTTATAGTATCTCTAACGGCGGATTTTCAAGCACAACTTTCTCTTTAACTAGGTTGTCGAGCTGTCGACGGGCCAACACTGCTGCTCTTCTCTAGCAGCTTCTAGCTTGCTCACGTTGCCGCTAGTCGTACAGCAGCAGGTGGCAGATTGACTGCTCTTCTGGAGTGGTTCGGTATAGCTCGGGGATCAGTGCCAGAGACACTTAGATGCTCACTCCGCTTGATGTGTTTGTGCAGAGCCTTCCAAGAGTACTGCAACAACGAGCTCCTGATTGACGCGGAGGTCCCAAAACCAAAGAAACGGAAAACCGACGCAACCGAGGCTGTCGACGAAGAAGCGCCCCCTGATGCTTCTGGAGCGCGAAGGATCTCGCAAAAGACCGCGCGAGCATGGTTACACAAGCTTGGATATGATAGCAAGCACAAGGCCATGGCCGGGGACGTAGACAATGAGCTAGATGTGACCGTTATTGCGGGGCGCTTGCCGGGCGTGGATGATGGCCGGGATCCTGAGGATTTGCCCATCGTGCAGCCCAACCAGTCGCTGCAAGAACAATTACGGTCGTAGGGTCGTCCCTTGAAACTCAGATTTTATGTGGGGTTCATGTGTACATAGCGTTCGTGTATGGATTCCGTCTGCCCTGTCAGATTGGACGCTCGAACTTCGGATCATGGGTTTTCCATTAAGTTCGATCGCGATCGACGTAACTAGGAAGGCAGCATGCCAATCACAACTGCATAGTCGCATGGCTACGGATATCCAGTACGTACGAGCCTAATGAAGCGTTGTTGGATCGTCGAATCTTTGGCTGCGGCCATATATACAGTATGCATTCACGATCGACGGGCACATGTATATGAAAGGGTCTGCAGCAGGTATCGCATGAGCAGCTGCATGCATGCTTGCCAGATTGCTAAATGCACACTGAACTTGCGGACCGCCAATAATCACGTACGTCACGAGGCGGCCGCTCACCTGCATTCACAATCTAGCACTTACCTGAGATCGCAATTTCCGCGTTCAAACCACAATCTGTATGGAGCGGCAGCTAAGTCGAACAAGTCGTTGATGACCCATCATAGTCCGCGCAAGGCCTGTCTGGTCTTGCAGTCTGCAGCGACTGGTGTTCACAATGAAAACGAGTCTCCCGCAGCAAACTTTTTCGACCAGACAACTTGTTCTCAGGCAGAAAAAGCCGCAATGCCGCCAAGTGCTTGATCCTGCTCACCTGGCCCCCTTACTCAGGACGGCAGAGAGAGGACTGCTGTCAGTGCCAAATTCACAATCTGCGCTGCTCTTTGTATGTACATGCCTAGATATCGATACAGACTGCTTGCCTAGAGCTAAGGTGTGCGGTCGACTAAGGGAAGAAAAAAAGACGGGATACCAATAATATCAGAAGCTATGTACCAGCGGCATCGCTTTTTGTCCGTTTGAAAACGTTTTTCCGATAGTACTTCAACTCCTCTATACTTTCCCTGATGTCCGCAAGAGCTCTGTGCTCTTGCTTTTTCACGGGTGCTCGCTCCGCATCTGCACGAACCAGAAAGGTGCATTATCTCACTGCGCATCCTGCCAAATCTGTCCGAAGTACCTGGGACCATCACAAGCAGCGAAACAACAAAAAGCAAACCGGATCACACTTAGTGAAAGCTTCTCTTGGAGATAACGACCACTACGGCCGCCTTAAGTATCTGTTTTTCCTGCTCTCGGATAAAGCTTTCGACCATTTGGGACAGGCAATCAGCTACCGACGACACAAGAAGCAGCAAAGTAGGCTGGGCGTCGAAGCTGGGCAGCAGAGCTTCCGCAGTCCGCAGAGAAAGGAGCCATAGCCGCGGTTCGTAACGGGGTTCCAACTCACTGGGTTCTGAAGACGAGGCTCACCTTTCGGATACCATCGCCGAGCCAACGACCTCAACGTACTCACGTCCACCAACACGTGTGAGAAGTGTGCCGCCAGCTTGGGCATATACCGCTGTGCCAGAACGGAGTAATGAATGTTAACTGCCGGAACTAAACAATCTGGTCACAACCGACTGCCAACTCCTGACTCTCTAACTAGTCTACACGCCAGTGACTTCGATTCTGAAGCTAGTGGTACCACTTGGAAACTCATGGGGGGATCTTCGTCAGGTTGAGGCTCAAAGCAATTTGAAGAAATTTTTCCTTCCAAATGACGTGTGCTCAGTTGCATGGTTTTCACCGTTCATTTTCGCAGGGAAAGAGCACATTCCAGGACTGGGTGTCGTCGGCAGGAGTATACCTTCAAGAACGCCAAGTCCGCATGGATCGAGTTCCCCGCTAGCTGCGCCGCTCCGGGCGTTGTATGCTCTTGCACAAACACCAACACCTGCATGGAAGCGACATGGGAACTTATGATAAAAGACCCCAGATTCGAAATCCAAGTTGTTTGAGACTTTTTTACTGCCAGCTTCGAGGGTCATCCTTCAGGTCAAGTCAAGAACGTTTTAGTGGAGTTTCAACATTCGAAGGACATCCCTCAGGAAACTGATTCCTAGATCTATGGATTCATACGATCACCCAAATTCACGTCTGCCAAGTTGGTGCACTTGGCTTTCAGCAAAGGGCGTTCAGCTTCGCCGATAGTCCTTCTATCTTGGATTGGCCATTGCCAGGATACCAATCAACGAAACCGATCGACAGTTTACAGGCCTGTTTGACCTGCGACTACGAGTTGGGACTTAGCCAGTAGTCCGGAAGGACGGCAAGTGTACCGAAAATTGGTCCGGATAATGCTCCAAGAAGTGGTGATTACTGAACCAGGGGTTTGATTCAAATGATGATCTAAGAACAACTAATAACTCAAGCTCCGATCAGCTATACTTTCAACAAGACGTCTTGGCTGGTCCTCGAAACAAACCTGCACCTACCTTTTCCTCCGCCTCTTCGATAGACACTGTGCTACTCCGAACCCTCTCCGTCAGCCCTGCACAAACACAGCTGCGTCTGCTTAAACTGCTGTTATGCATCCTTTTGAGAAGGGCACCAAACATCGGGATAAGCTTTGTGCGGCAGATGCCTCATTCTCTCAGTAAGTATGGGGCATTCTTCGGCTCACTCTGCTCTTAAGCTAAATTCTAGTCCTTTAATCCTCTTAGGTGAGCAGAAGAGATTTATCATCACTGGGTTCAAATGGGTTTTCAGTCAGCACAAGAGAATTACTGCCTGCGACTTTCGTGAGCTACACGGATTCGTGAACGCCTGATGATGGTTGTAGACAAAGATCTTCGATGGTCAAACAGATTTTTCTTCAAGCGTTTTAAAGCAAACTGCGGCCCTGTCAAACAGGCAAGTTGGTCTTGTCGCAGAAAGGAACACTCCAGAAAGTCATGGGCATTGTCAGTTGGTGTCCAGGAGAATCGGATTCCGCGTGAATGTTTCAATAATGTAGATGGTCATTTCTTATTCAAACCTGTTTGGAAACCCTCCTCAACCTAACCAACTCAGGGGGTGCATACCGCTCTTTCCATGGTGCTCCTTGCACCAGTCGTTCATGCAGTCTAGTGCTGCCTCAGGGGCGTGGATGACAAGGTCCGGACCCTCGATCTGCTTTTCTAGGTTTCCGTCCGTGACGATGCAGGCAACCTCGATGATCTGGTCCTTTTCCACCTCCAAGCCTGGCTCAAAGAAAATGTTAGTTCCTTCTCAAATTGTAAGTCAAAATTTAAAGTCGAGGTTCTTCTTCGCTGGGTTTCCAAAGGCTGTAAATCCAGAGTATCGAAAGATAGCCGTTTAATGGCAATACATCGACTTCCAGAGTCGTCTTGGCGTATGTGCACGGGCAGATGGTGGTGCGATCAAAGATTTAATGATACACGCTTCCTTCTTTAGATGCAAAGCTGCGAATGTCATGATCTTCCTTCTCGTTTTGACAGCTTTAAAACCTGAACAGCAGTCAGGGCAAAGATCCCTAATGAATGAAGAGAGCGAACGCCACCACCTGCAAGCGAGACCCAACTGTCTGCATTCAGAAAAGTAGATATTGTTGACATCAATGGTGGTGCACCTCTTGATTTCACAGTTTCACTCACCCGTCATCTCAAGGTCAAGCCACACAAGGGGCAACTTCAGCCTCGTTTTCCTCAAACCATTCTGGTCCTGCTCCTTCTTCTCCCCTGTTTTAAACCCTTTCCCTGACTGGTTGCCCCCCGTTGCCTTCTTTGCATCATGAGCCGCCAACTCTGCGGCCTCCTCCTCTGGCTGCTCCAGATTCAGAGCACTGAATAGGTTGCGGAACGACAAGCTCATCTTGAACACGAAAGCCGAATCATGAGCGTTTCGTGCTAGAGGGTTTGGATATGTGAAAGATCATACCAAGCGAGTGAGGATTTTGACAACACCGCACTTGCGAGCTTCTGGCAAGTCCTTCAATTGGCGGTGGTGCAAAAGTAATTGACAGAGTTGAAGCACGGCCGCTCGTGGAAAACGCATTGACTGCAGCACAACGGGCACAATCTTGACGATTTCACCTCCTCCGCTAAAGATCATTTGAAGCGGGGGCCACAGCGTCCTAAGATCTTATGTGGCTTTGCCTAGCTGCCTCCAATGCCTCGGGGAAGTTGCGTGCCCGTTGCATTCAAATTCCAGAAGTTGGTTGCAACCTCTTGCATGCAACTTGGAAATGGGAATGGGGGCCCGGGCAGTCTTGAGTCTGACTCCGACTCTGAGTCTGAGTCTGACTCCTGAGTCTGAAGTTGAGTGGGCACTTCGAAGTTTCAAACTCGTTGGCGGCAACGGGTCCATTCACACAAGCCATCTCTGGGAGGTGGTGGCGCGCGGGTGGCATGTAAGCTAAAAGTGTGAATACTGGCGAGTTTTCCCTGATTCTGGGGCAAAGCCCCTGAAGACTGCGCTGCGTGAGCCTAGGACCAGGTATGCCAATGGCAATGCCAATGGCGGGTGTGTCTTGGGAGCTTCGGGTACTACCCAGGCCAAGGAAGGGCAGAGGAAGGGGTCTAGATATCTGAGGCTTATTTTTGGCTAGCCTGCAACAATCAAATCCCAAAGGCACGGTTTCTCTTAAGCGGTACGGCACTTTGCAACGCCGCCGCTGTTCCCGCTGAATGGATTAGCAAGCCCCAAAAGCAAAGCGTCTTTCTGGCAGAATTGAGAGGCGGTTGTTGCTACCTCCCTGCTTTCAAAGCAGTTAGTATAATGAAGCGTCGGTGAAGTTTCAGGCCCAATTCTCCTCTGCGAGAATATCGATAAGTGAGAGTAACTCAGCAAAGTTGGCTTAGGCAGGTGATCCAGGCCCAGTGATATAAGGAGGAGTTTGACCCACAAGTAAGGAGTCAATTTTATCCCTTTTTGGTAGCTACCTTACATAGATGGCGGCTAGACGGTGAAAGTATTCGAAATGACTGGATGCTGTACCGTTCTTCTCGCACTCCGGAACTTGATTCTACACAGTCCCAGGTTCTCTTGTTGAGCTTGTTTCACATAGATTGAAGCACAACCTTTGCAAAGCGCGTCGATCCATGCCCTTGCTTGACGAGCTCTCGTTCTGGGATTTTAGGACTGCTCAAATTCTCTCTATGGAGTTTTCGTGAGATCCTCCCTTTGCCTTTTCAGATTTCTGATTGGCGTTAGAAGGACAGGTTTACTGCACAAGGACCTTCTGTATTTGCGAACTTCTGGGCTTCATAAGTATCCCTTTGAATCTGCTCCTGGCAGGGCATATACAGACTGGATGGCACAAACTAGACTGACTCTCTCAAAAGCTGCCCTCCCAAACCTTCATCGTCTTCAGGATTCCGCCAGCATTGCATCACGGCTTCCTCCTGTCTGCAATCGAATCCCCATGTGTCCGGCACCAAGTCAAAGCCTATGCTAATCATTGCACCCATGAAGTGCCCGCCGAGTTCTGCTGACATCCTCCCCTTGTTCTATGCAGCCAATCATGGCGGGGTCCTCGTTCGGGGACTCCCAAATGCGGTGGGGGGCCCCCCAGCGCTCTATTTCCAATGCAAACGACCTGTCGAGCTCCGAGGGCGAATTCGCCCCCCCCGAGATCAAAGCTGAGCTCGCCCGCTCGTTTTCCCTGCGCATTCCACGCTCTGATAAGTCCCCTCTCGCAGAGAACCCCCCCGAGCTCTCGTCCCTCTCTCCGAGCACGCCCAAAACCCCCACCTCCGGCAGAAACCTCCGCAGGTCCATCTCGCTGAAACGGATCCTTAAGGGGGGGGACGCTGACTTCAGCGCAGCAGGGATGTCCCCCTCAAAACTATCCCCGCAGGACCGGCTTGGTTCCTTTTCCTTTGCCCCAAGCACTGTGAGCCCCACCGCTTCCCCCCAGTTTGCGGCAAAAACGCCGCCGAGCCCGATTGGATCTCCTGGGGGGGTGGCGGTTCCAAGCCCCGCTGCGGCGTTCTACGGCTCTCCGGCAGTCAAACTGCAGTCGCCCCTGAGCAGAAGGGACGGCGATTCGTCGCAGCCAAGTAGATTGAATACGGGTGGAACTGCCAGGACGTTGTTTGAGCGACGGGCAGAGAAGCAAAATCAGGGGGGTAGCGCGGAAGTTGGGGAGGAGAAGGAGGTAGAAAGTTCGTCGGCTCCGAGCGGTGACATCAGCGAGTTGAGGCCGGAGGAGACGGTTCGAACTTCGGGTGGGGAAGCAGAAAGACCGGCGCAAGGCGGTGGGGGAGAGATAACTGGGGAAACGGCAAATTCGGATGGGGGGGGCCCTTTGCCTGTTACTGATGAGACGCAGAGTGCCACATCAGCGCCTGTCGAGGAGAAAAGTTTTAGCGACGTCGTGAACAGTACGCACGAGGAAATTTTCCGGAGCATGCTAGAAACCCCCCCCGAGCAGCCGTCGCCCTCCCCCTCAGGGGCAGTTGATTTGGGCTGGGGACGAGACGGATCGTTTGCGCTGGCCAACGACGCGGCGCCAGCTGGCGCGCTTAGAACTCGGCCAGAACCCCTGACGCCGGAGAGTGCCGCCAGCGAACCACCGTGGGGGGAAACCAGCAGCTTGGAAAACACCCCCACGCCCGAGAAAAGCGCAAAGCCCGGGCACCGACGGGAGCTGAGTCTGTCGAATTCGGCACCTCTGATGGTGACGCCCCTTCAGGGGACAAACTCGGACTTTCCGTTGACGCCTGGGAATATGTTGGTGAAGCGATCAAATTCAACGCTGGAGGCGCGAGCGCTCCAACGAATGAAGCAGGTGAGCGACGCCAGTGTCCAGATATGACCGGCGGCGCTGCATTGCAGGATGCAGCTTTCAAAGCCTGGGCGTCGGCGCCTGTCATCCTATAGGGGGTCCAGCTTTATTGGGATGCATGGTTTATGCATTGTCTGCACCGTCTCTTATCACGGATTGTGCGAGCATGCTAGCAGTGAGAAGGATTCAAGATAGGTAAAGCCGTTGTTCGGTCAGTACGTGTCCGAGAAAGTCGTGTGGCGGACGTTGTGAAATAAGTGGCATCTCGTCAGGCTTTGAAACCCCAGAAACGGTTTCGGCTTTCGTCCTTGTAGCTGGTGTAATTTTTTTTTAGGAGGACCCAGAAGTAAGGAACGACGTAGCTATCAACTCTTGGTGTTTACTCTATGCTATCCTGACGTCCCCATTCTTTCCCTTGTGACATAATGTTTCTGATTTCTGCTTTTTCCTTCGATCTCGGACGCCTCCCACAGCAGCACTGTCGCCGGTCGCGACTACACCTTCAAGGTCGACGTCATTTGCATCAACCAGGATCTCATCATCAGAGTTTCGTTTTTCTTGTTGCTGACATGCGCCTTTACGTCATTCTCCAGGACGCCTTCATCCAGCAGCTCCTGCGCAGCAGCACCGTCATCGGGCGCGACTACACCATCAAGGTCGACGTCAGCTCCGCGCACCTCCCCGGCTTCTCCTCGTTCGACCTCTCGGACCCGGGGGACGACGAAGACACGTCATCTGTCGACACCCCCTCCCGCCTGGCGCTCACCAACTACTCCGAAAGCGGCCACGTCATCCCCCCCCTCACGATCGCGATCCTGATTGTGGGCACACGGGGCGACGTGCAGCCGTTCATTGCGATCGGGAAGAAGTTGCTGGCGTACGGGCACCGCGTGCGGTTGGCGACGCACGCGAACTACCGGGAGTTTGTCACGGAGCAGGGGCTCGAGTTCTTCCCGCTTGGGGGGGACCCAAAGATTCTCGCCGAGTGTGAGCGCGGACTTCTTGGTCTTCTCGTTCTGAAGTGGTCTCGCTTAGCCAAGATGGGCTTGCGAGCGTGCGAGTCGCGTGAGCTGCTGCGTTGTTTCATCGCTGTGCGGCTTGGGAACCTTTTGAAGGCGTTTCGAGAACCAGAAGACATGGGACTTTGCTGTGCCTAAGGCTGAGGTTTTGTTTCGAGAGGCAAATGGTCAGCGGTGCGTCAAATGTTGCGTTTCTGGTGTAGATCCACCATGTTGGACTCACAATCCGCTTGGGGACGGAGTCTATGCTAACCACTTCGTCTTCTAAGTGCTGGTAACCTGCAGAGTGCGTATCAAACTGTCTTATTGCGTGTTGTGATCCGTATCTGCAATCTTCAGTACTTGCGCTCAGATGAAGCCCGTCTCGCCCTCGTCCTTGACCGCCATCTTCCGAGCCTTTGGTCTCTAGACCCCTCGAAAGGTCGAGCCTTCACTATCCGCACAATTGAGAAGTCTAGAAGCAGAAATTTCTCCGGATCCAAGTCGCGAAGGTGGCGCTAGCAAGGGCTTCTTACAGTGATTTACACTTTATGACGTTCAGATTTCCCCGACACTTTGTAAACAACATTCTGTTCTTCTCAAGATCCCTCCGAATGTCGAAATATCGAACCTTCTCAATACGCCCTGCGCAGACATGGCAAAACGCAAGGGCTCTTAGATGTAAGCCGCGAGAGAAGCGTCCCGGACTCCTCGAAAAGCCTAGAATCCTCCTGCGCAGACATGGTGAAGAACAGGGGCTACAACCCACAATCTCTTAAAATTCTCTGAGGCTAAAATCCGAAACTCCCCCTGTACAGACATGGTGAAGAACAAGGGCTTCCTGCCGTCGTGGCCGAGCGAGGTAAAGGAGCAGCGGCGGCAGCTCAAGAGCATCATCTTCTCCACGTGGGACGCGTGCACGTCGCCAGACTGGGAATCCAACGGCCGCAACTTCATTGCAGAGGCAATCATTGCAAACCCGCCCGTCTATGGTGAGCCGGGCTCGGATCCGGGCAGATGCCCAATCTGCTGACAGCAATTAGACTCGATGCTTGTTGCAAAAGTTTTTTCGTGTCCAGTTGACTCTCTTTTCAAGCCCCGAAAATTTTCCAAAGGGAAGAGAAAGGCAAAGGAGCGCCTGCGTATCCTGCTTGTTGTGAAGACGCATCTTTGAACCTTCTTAGCCGCAAGGTAGCCAAACCTCCAGCCTCTTCAGAGCACACCTGCATGGGAAAGCGTCATCAACATCGTTGCTTTGAAGACCTTTGAAGCCTTTCCTTTGGGCCGCATCCACGTGGCATCCAATCCTCGTCACCCTTTCATGCCTACACACAGATTACCTTAAACCCCTCAGATTCCAGCACATATCTCTCGAACCAACACCCTGAAATCCCGACGAACATTGATTTCTGCCATGAAATGTGCAGTGCACATACACGTGGCAGAGCAGCTGCGCATCCCGCTCCACGTCTTCCCCACACCCAGCATATATCAAGCGCCTCAAACCCCGAATCTTCAAACCCCTCGAAACCCCAACGAACATTGGATTCTTCGATGTGCAGGGCACATCCACGTGGCGGAACGGCTGCGCATCCCGCTCCACGTCATCTTCACCATGCCCTGGTCGCCCACCGGCGCGTTCCCCCACCCGCTCGCGCGCCTCACCCAGTACGCCGGCTTCGAGAACCGCCTCTCATACGCGATCGTCGACTCCATCACGTGGCTGGGCGTGCGTGACATCATCAACTCGTTCCGCAAGAAGAAGCTCAAGCTTCCGCCCATTCCGCTGACGGACCGCTGGTCCAGCTCCATGCTGCAGACGAACCGCGTGCCGTTTGCGTACATTTGGAGCCCCTCTCTAGTTCCCAAGCCGAAAGGTGCGCCCTTGTCAAGAGCTTGCGGGGTACTTGCTTGTAACTTTTGAATTGGGATCTTGAAGGGGACGTGAGCTACGCTTCGACTCTAAGATGGCACGATTGCAAAGACCTTTTATCAAAAATCCACCGGGACAAACGACGTTGTTAGCTTGTACGAGTGACGCCTGTCGAACCCAGACGTCGATTGATTTTACCCAGACTTATCTCGATTGGTAGTCCATTTTCAGTGCCCAAGCTCATAAGGTGTGAAATGCAGCAGCAATTGTCCAAGCGTTGCAATACCGAAGGATCAAAGCACTTAGTCTCTTCTCGGCGAGCCTCCGCATCTCATCAGCCGCTGCATTCCCATAGATTCGTTCTCTGCCCCACGCGTTTCCTTGCCTTCTTGGACTTCGTCTCTTGTCCTATTTCGTGCTTTTCTAAGCCCGTCAAGGGTGCAAGCCCGTCAAGGGTGCAAGCCCGTTAAGCGGGGAACCGAATTCTTATAGCGCCAGTCTGCAATGCATTAGAAGGTTGTCAATTGTGACCATATTCTCAGATGGCTATCTGGCGAGGTTCTGAACACCGTCGATGTAGAACACCGTCGATGTAGTCCCTGTGTTGGCGCGGCTTGAGCTTGCACTTCTTGCTTTGCACTTCGCTCTTGTTTTTTCCCACCCCATCCCACAGAATTTCTGCACTTTATTATTTTATCTCGCGAGTCTCTGCTTCCGTCCTTTTGAATCCCTTGACAAGGGAGCCTGATCTTGAGTTCCTCCGTCCTTTTTTGGTTCGTGCAGACTGGAGCAGCTGCATCGATCTCCGAGTCTCTGCCTTCGTTGTTCTGAGCAATCCCTTGTCAAGGAAGCCTGATCTCGAATTCTCCATTCTCTTCTGGTTTGTGCAGACTGGGGCAGCTACATCAATTTCGTAACTCTCTATACCTTGGCAAGGAAGCCCGATCTCAATCTTCGTCCTTTTGTGTTGCGTGCAGACTGGGGCAGCTACATCGACGTCGTGGGCTTCTGTTTCTTGGACCTCGCCACAGAGTACAAGCCGCCCCCCGAGCTCGACACGTTCCTGAAGGAGGGGCCGCCGCCCGTCTTCGTCGGCTTTGGAAGCCTGGTGAGGACCAAACTTTTCAAAGCCGCTCTTCACCCCCTTCTTCGAACTATGCTCCTTCGTCTTCAGTGGTCAGGGACCATTGTTTTGCCTGTCTGCGTAGCTGAGTGCTGACAGGTCGATTGAGGCGGTGGTAGTCCAGAGAGACTAACTCACGCGTATCGAAGAATGTGATTCCTCGGGGCTAGGAACTGCGAAGCTTTATAGGTGAATGGGCGTCGATCTCAGCATCCACTGGGCTTCTTTCTAGATGGGCTTGTTGCTATCGTTCCTGGCGCTAGAATGAGGCATGGCTTTGTTTGCTTCGCTCTCCTACGAGCGCAAGCGAAGCGACTACGCGCAACTTCGTTCCAGAAGAGACCAAGCAATCTGGAAGAGGACTTCTGGCTCATGGGAGATTATAGTCTCGTTGTCAGCTACGCCCTTGACACTTACTCGAAGAACTCAAGCAAACCAGTTTCGTGTTCGACGTTGATTCCCACAATCCGCGAAGCTGCACGCTTTCTCCTCTTTTGGAAGTTTCAAGCTCCGCCCTGACATCTACCCCTGCCCAAACCATGCACCGAGAACGAACCAATCTTACCAATCAACACTAAAAATTCCATTTCCTCCCGCTTTGCAGCCGGTAGGCGACCCCCAGAAGATGACGGCGATCATCTTTGAGGCGCTTCGGAAAACGGGGATGCGGGGGATCGTGCAGAAGGGGTGGGGGGGTCTCGGGGAGGGCGTTCCCGCCCCCCCGACCGTGCATATCGTCGGAAACTGCCCCCACGACTGGCTGTTTCCGCAGTGCTCGGCGGTGGTGCATCATGGGGGGGCGGGGACTACTGCGGCCGGCCTGCTGTCAGAGGTGAGCACGGGGAAGTCTGGCCGGTGTTATGGCCGAGCTTGAAAAGCATAAACTCGGCAAGTGAGTGGATGAAGTAGTATGTAAAAGCCCGTGCCAATTGAGGACGTGACGCAGGTTGCGAGTACGGATATGGCATAGTGCGGAGTCGCATGCTTGCGCTCGTTTACATTTGCAGATCTGCACGTCAATAGTGCTCTCAAGACCTTGCGGGGTAGTCATCGACATCCATGTGGGATTATGATGGGAGTTGTTGTTTGAATGCAGTGCGCCGATGGTGTGACTCCATTTCGAGGCTCAATCAGATACAGACGTTGACCGAACGTGTTCTCAACCAGCACCCTGATTGTTGAATCTCCCTTTTCGAAAACAAATCTTGACGCTGGAGAAGCTATGGTTCCTCCCACTGAGATTGCCTCCACAGTCATGCCCTTATAAATTGACGAAGTCTCCGAATGCAGTGCCCCACAACGGTAGTTCCATTTTTCGGCGACCAACCCTTCTGGGGAGACGCCGTTTTCACTCAAGGTGTTGGCCCGAAGGCGATCCCGGTCGGCGACTTCAGCCTGGACCGCCTCGTCAAGGCGCTCGAGTTCATGGCCCGCCCCGAGGTAAGGGCCCTTTTACGTGTTTGGTCGAAGATAGTCCTGTTTCGAACCGAATGGCTGCAGGCTCAAGTGTTGGGGGATTGTCGGTTTGCGATGAGTTTGTCAAGAAGCTCCTACGTGGCTGCGCACAAGTGAATTCCCGCCAGTTGAAGCTACATTATAGATGTGAGGTGCGATTGTCGTGGATGTTTTTAAGCCCCTCGCGAGCAAGGTAGAGGATCGAAGTTTGCTTTGCTTTGAATTGCATGCAGAAGCAGTGGGGCAGTCTTAAGATGGACATGGGTTCCAAGTTTCCTCATTTGCCATACTCCAGGTGAAAGAGGCTGCGGTCGTGCTGGCCGCCAAGATGCGGCAAGAGAACGGTGTTGATGGGGCGGTTCGCGCTTTCCACAAACATCTGCCCAAGGATATCAAAACCACCGGGCATAAGATGCTGTGGGGGCTTACGCGAAAGCAAGCGGCCAGGGCGCAACCAAGACAGTGCGGTTGCTTTGGGTGATGACCCAATTGCGGTGTTTTGGAAGTGACTTGCGTAGTCTATGGCTGGCGTTCATTGTCCCTGATTGGGTGCTCCCCGCAGGAAGCGTGATACTCAGCAGGTTCAGTCAGATCTTGTAGATACGGCAGAGAGTAGACCATACTAATGTTATTGGGCCGAAACGAGCCTGAGCGTAACGGACCACGGCTTCTAGTTGCTGCACGCAGAGCTATCCCCTTCACAACTGTTCTGCATGATGTCGTGCATGAGTGAACGGTTCCAACACTGATTATCTATGGTGCCAGCTGTTAGTAACACTGGGCCCGCATCAGTCAATGATCGAGCGCTGTCAACCTCTGTGAGGCATGCACATGATTGAAGGACACATGGATTACTGAGGGCTGGCTGCATGGTTGCACTAGATGCATATATGGCAGATCATGCGGTACCAAAGATTGAAAACTTACCGCATGTTCAAGCTTGATCACGCACATACGGAAATTCTTGCAACTAGTTTACAGGATCATATGCATCGATTGCCCTTTATAGGATATCATATACGCATCGATTGGCCAGCTAGTTCGCTAGAGCCGCAGCTGCATCAAATTACTTAAGCTGGTATGCTGGCCCGGGGCCGGCACGCAACTTCAGTCACTAATCCCATCTATAGCTAGCCTAGGCTGCAGAGACGTCGCGATCACGTGGTACGTATGAATCATGACATGATCCATAGTGCCTCTCAGTAAGTCAATCTTCGAAGCCGATGCATGTCTTTACATGTTAGTAAGAATTTATTATATTAGAGAATTCTGTACATGGCAAATCAGAAGCTTGCCTCAAATCTATCCGTGTCTTTCCAAAGCAGCTGCCAGCAGTGTCACCACGCTGTTGTATACAACGTGAACAACGAAAGGCGAAAAGAGATTGCCGCTCACATCGTACACTGTACCTAAAACAAACCCGAGGATAAATAATGGCACAAAGGACCTCGAATCTAAATGGGCTACACTGAATGCTATGGAGCTCACCACAATCGCTCCCCTCGACGACATGTTCAGCTCTCGCAATGAGCTCTGGAAGAAGCCCCTGAAGACTGCTTCTTCAACAAGAGGGCTCGAAAAACTCACGAGAATGAAACTTATCAAGGCACTATATACACCTCCTGTGCCAATTGCATTCTCTAGAAATTTCCCAAAACTATCTAAATCCAACCCCTCATTTTGGTCGACATACGAGGAGAGAAAAGAGGCGGTGGGGACCAGAAGAAGGACCCCAGTCCCTACCAAAGCTGGATATAGCCAGCCTTCCTTGCCAAGTACAAGCTGCGGGCGGAACCTGTCATTTCTGAGCCGACCGAGAGCACTCTGAGCTGTTCCCCCGGGCGCCACAAACAGGAAGTAGGTGCCAGTATATTCAAGAACCGCAAGTAACAGCATGAAGGTTGCCTACAGGGAAATGAGGAAAGCCACAATAAGCTTCAAAGCTGAGCAGTGACGTCCACAAGATCTCACGTACACATCCTAGTCCATTTGTCGCAGGCGTCATCAAACCACTGATGCAAACAACCAATGCTATCAGCTAGTCATTTTCAGGGGCCTTTTGATTACCTTCAGGTCAGGAATCGCAAAGCTGAACATCCATGTCCACAAGCATTCAAACACATCTTAGTCCACCCTTGACAGGTGTCATAAGACCTCTGGTGCGAGCAACCAATGCAATCAGCTAGTTACATTCAGAAGCCTTTTCCTTACCTTCAGATTGGGGTCCAAGCTCGTGAGCGGCTGTCCTGACAGCTCAGCAACAAACCGCAGCCCCAATATCTCGCAGCCCGTGCGCAGCGCAAGAAAGAGAATGAGTGGGCGCACAACTCCCTGGATGCTTGTTTCTGACTCTGTTTCTTCCACCACCCCTTCATCGGATGAACTGGTTGGCTGAGAGGGGGGAGTTTGGTCTAACTTCTCCTGAGAACCAGCTCTGACTCGAGTGGGCCTATCAGCGCCATGCTTATCCTGGTTAGAGCAGTTTGTTGAGGCATTGATTTGATGCCAACGGAGCTTTAAATGACTGAAGCGACGTACGCTGCCCGTTGTGTATCGCCGCCGCAACTTTCGCGCTTTTCTGAAAGCACTGGAGGGGCTTGGAAGCTCATAGACGCTCAGCTGCAGAGTACTGAAAGGACATTCAAGTACCAATCGCTGACCCTGGCATTCTGTTGGAATCAACGCAGCTGCTCTGGCAGAAGCCCCAAGGTGGCAGCTCAGGGACGTCATTGAGGTGGAAGACAGGAAGGCTGTGTGCGTCCTGGGGACTGCGATTGAGAAGGACGTCTACAAGGGCGTTTATTTTATAGGCCCCCAACCACACGAACAGTCTCTCCTATCTATGAGTATTGACTTTTTGGTGCCACTTGTCTAACATGCTGCTAGCATCAAACTCCCATCTAACCCGGCAGTCTCAGCTGCTGGAGCGCTGCATACCTACAATAAGTTAGACCCAATGCAGATGGCCGCACACTCTGTCTTCCTTCTGCATTGCCCCCGATCGATGACATTGCGAGCGCCGCTGCATAATACAAGCTGTGGAATATTGCATATATTTCGATTTCATGAAGGGTTAAAGCGCCATGGAGGATAGAAGCAACACTTAACTAAGACCCTAAACTAATGGTTAATACACTCTTCGCACCCGTACCCACCCTATTACCCCCTAACCAACCCTATCCGCCCCAGCTACCCTTCATGGCACTTTAACCCTTTATGAACTATATCAAAATATATTGCCAGCGCCTGCGTCGTCTGCTTTCTTGGTGCCACGTCGGACTAGAATCTAATACTTAATTGCCATGCTGTACAAAATTTTTAACTCTCGACGATTCCGATGAACCTAGGCACTACAGTAGTGGAAGTCTGGTTGGCTAAGTCACTCCGAGTCCGAGAACCCTTGAAGTTGCCACCCCTAGTTTTCTGCTGGAAGCAGGGGCAAAAATCCCATATTTTTGAACTTAATAATTTAAATAGGGCAGCAGAGCAGCCAGAGCAGGAGTTCCTAGCTTGCATGATCTGCATGAAAACGAAGTAGCGAGGATTCTGCAGGTCATGGCCGCCTTTTCTTAGGAACTGCATAAAGTACCCCGCGTGTGACAAACGGCCCTGCCGGGGCCTGTGCCCAGCTCGACTATCTTGGCCAAGGGCGGCTTTGAAATGTGAAGCGACGTTTGGCATGACATGAGACAATCTTGAACCTGAGCTGGGTCGTTGAGCAGGGACGCAACATGAATAAGCTGTTTGGTTTTCTTGGACGAGGCGCTGGGATCGATCTCCCATACACAATCGGAGAGGCGTACTCAACAGCATGGGGTTCTTGGACACATTCCCGAGGGACCAAGAAGGTAAAGAAGGAAGAATGTGTATGGAAGAATGAATGAATATAGTTGCTGAGAGGGAGTCGCTATGTGAGGTGCACCTGCTAGTGCGTAAGCTTTCGGACACACGTTGATCGATCTGTCTATGTGCTGTAAGCTGTGCGCGTTCATTGGGCCCTATGTGCTTTTATGATCAAACTAGAATCACCAAAGCATAAAACATGATTTCAAGCTGGGAGATTCCTGATGAAAGATACTTCGCCAAGGAGTGGAGCATAAGAGATCCACAGCTCATTTGTGCCTAGTGGTCATCTCTGACGACACGCCTTTCTGCAGGAGGATGGGAGCCCCGTGTCGGTGTTCTCATTGACTGCCACAAATGCTGGAGATGGCAGACTAGCAGCGGCAAGGAATGGCGTGAAGCGACTCAGGACGGTACGTTGCATCACATTATCGCATCTGTGTCTTTGCTTGTTGATTAAGGATGTTGCTAGAATGCCCCGTTCAATCCTCTCAAGAGGGGCGCAATCACCAGGCAGCGGCAGTCTTCTGTGTTTGTTCTCATTGAGAGGGCTCCTAGCAACATCCTTGTTGAGCGCATGTTGTGCTCCGTATGCACATGCCTTTGCAGCTTAGGAAGTCAGAAAACCAAGTCCCCTCTGACACCGTGTTCAACTTTCTTTCGTCGGTCATCAGGTCAGGAGTGGGAAGCTTTCTTGTCGATGCGCACTGATTATACCCTACGTTGCTCTCCCAATTTAAATGCAGCCGCTCCTGTCACAACGTTAAAACGCACGCAAAGTATACCCTATCTCTGCTCTAATTTTATCGCTTGCCAGGCATGTGTCTTAGAGTGCATCTTCTGTTCTTTCCGCAGGTCCGGCATCCGAACGTGCTGTCCTTCTTGCACAGCACGGAGGGCGAAGTGACAGAGAATGGTGTCACCAAGCCAATCATCTATGTTGTCACGGAAGCGGTGATGCCGCTGTCTGAGAAAGTCAAGGAGCTCGGCTTGACTGGCGTTCAGAGGTACGAGCAACTGATGTTTTCAATGACGAGAATCTGGTTGAGGAGCTGGAAAGTATATTCTCAACAAGTGTTGTAGATCTGGCACCGGTGCCCTTCTATATCGTGACAGATTGATTTCAAGCCGTCTCTAGGTGCTTTCCCGGCGCCCTGGGTTTCGCAGAGGTAAGGAGCGACAAGTGAAACGTGGTTTTCCCTGCATTGTTTTGCCACACTGCCACCATCTGTTCGTTTGGTTTGTGTTTGCCCAGACATTGTAACCTGTGCTGAGTGCCTTTCAATCTGGCTGCAGAGATGAGTACTTCGCCTGGGGCCTCTTTGAGATAGCGAAAGCAGTCAGCTTCCTGAACAACGATTGTAAGCTGGTGAGTTTTCGTACTGGCCTTGCCTAAGCCAAGTCTAGACTACTGGCTTATTGAAGTGCACAATCTGTCATCACCATGAGCAGACTGAAGACAAGCGCTGTTGATGCTGCATGGATTGGGCTTGATTGTAGGCCGAAACATTGCTCTCACCATTTATGCACAATCATCGGAAGAGGGTGACTGTAGCTCGATGCTTGAGGGAGTCGAATCGCCCTGGTGCAATCGGCCGAAGCCTGTTGAATATTGCTGGATAAAACACATTTAAGCACTCTCAGTGACAGAGTCCACGAGTGGCCTGACGAACGACCGCCACAGCGTCGCCCACTATAATTGAACTTGTTTTTGCGCTCTTAGGGCTTCTGGAAAATTTGGGGCTTAATTTTCCTCTCACGCGCAGGTACATGCCAATGTGTGCGTTGCATCTGTGGTGGTCACGCCGACACTGGACTGGAAGTTGCATGCATTTGATGTGCTCTCTGAGTACGACGCAGGGACGCCTGCTTCGGAGGGGCCCGGCGCGGCGCCTATGCTGGTGAGTTGACTCCTGAGTGAGTCAAGAGTGGAGCAATATTAGTTCGCTCAAAGCGGCCATGGACGACTATCCTATCCGACTTGAAAGAGGGTAATTTCCGCCTTTCTAGTTCAGCCTTGAAGCCGATTGCACGCAATGATGGCATGCGTACCTTCAACGGCATGATTGAACAGGTTTTCGGACGCAGTTTCACAGGCCTTGACAAGCTACTGTCTCGGCCATTAGTATCTGTAAGGTCCCAACAACGCAGGGAACAAGTGCGAAACTCACTGTCTGTGGAACTGATGGAGGTTCTGGTTTGCAGCCGTTCGAGTGGCTTGTGGGGGTGCAGTACAAGCCAGTGGAGCTCACCAAAGCGGACTGGCCCCTCATCCGGCGCTCGCCTCCTTGGGCTATTGATGCGTGGGGTCTAGGTAATCACGAACGTCTTCTTTGCCACCTAGAAGGAGAAAGCTCTTTTCGTGAACTGACGAAAAGCCAAAAGGCTTTGCTGAGCACAACTGGTTGCTTCTATGTGGGATAGTCTTATGTACAGGCTCATGCTGCCGCTCGTTTGATTCTGAGTACACGCTTCCCTAACGGCTCTCCTTGAATTACAGAAGGACGTCAAGAAGATGCCGGATGCGGATATAGTTTCCGTGGGAATGCTTATCATCAAGTATCTTGGCTTGTCAACCCTTAGCATGAGAATATATCCTGTCCTTTTCCAGGTTGCCTTATCCAAGAGCTGTTTTCTGCGGGGCCGCTGAGAAAGACGGAGGACCTTCGTAACACGGGTTCGATCCCCAAGGCCTTGTTGCCGGACTACCAACGCCTCCTGGGGGCGGCCCCCAATAGGAGGCTCAACCCGTCCAAGTTCGTGGAAGGCAGTGGTGAGGGTTGAAGCTGGTGCTGGTTTTCTCTTTTCGTCTTTTGGCAAATCAATCGAACCGACCTAGAGAATCTGGGCGTCGAGTTTGAGATTTCTGGTAACGACTGTCAGGGGCCAGAGTTTTATTGAGCATCTTATGAGGCAATGTGCGTCACGCTTCGCCCACAAGGGATGGATGTGGCGCAATTGTAAAATACTTTTGACACGCCAAAGAAAGCACTATTTGAGGGCAGTACGCATGCTTGACTTTCTCAAAGGGTAATCGGCGGAAGTCGCAAAGCTCCCGAAGTCGATTTTGTTGCTCACGTCACACTTGATACCGTCTGTTTGCAGAGTTCCTGCGCAACAAGTTGGTGGAGACGATCCAGTTCATGGAGGTGCTGAATCTGAAGGACAGCGTCGAGAAGGACAGCTTCTTCCGCCGCCTGTCCGGCCTTGCCGAGCAGCTGCCGCGCCAGATCGTCACCAAAAAGGTGAGCCGCTGTTCAGTTCTTGTTGCGGCGTTATGGATTGATTTGCTGTTAGCAAGCATCGGGGACGTTGCTCCTTGTTTTCAAAATTTGCATTATGGCAGCGCGAGGTGCAGTCGTTGGTGGCGGTAGTGATTGCGGTTCAGAAAATCTGGCGGACGTCCTGCCCGAAGCGAAAGCGGTTCGCAATCTTTTGACTCATTTGCATTATGCATTCCCGTCCTGCGATGTGCTCAAAGACTGGTTCCGAGGACCTTTCGTGAAGTCATTCGGCTGAAACCGTTTTCTCAAATTTCAGTGGAAGCATCCGGCCTTGCATTGTGCGAGTTCTTGCGCCCGCACCGACGTTTTCAGCAGAGGCATTTGGCGCTTGCTTACTCACTTTTGTTGACGACTCCGAAGTTTTCAGTAGAGGCATCTAGTTTTATGAACGCGTTTCTCTTGCCGGCGCTGACGTTCTTGGTAGAGGCAACTGGCCTTGAAGTACGAGATTCTTTCAACGCAATCGCCCATTTCGTACATTCAACTGGCCCTGTTCTATGCGTTTTTCTTGAACCGACGGAGGCAACTGGAACTCGAAGTATGCGATCGCCCGGAACTAAAGTTCCTTCTACAATGTGCAGCTGCTCCCGCTCGTTGGCGCCGCGCTCGAGTTCGGCTCCGGCTCGTCGCTCGCTCTCCAGCCGCTGCTCAAGATGGGGTCTCTCTTGCCACAGGACGAGTTTAACGTCAAGGTTCGTGCATTCCACCCGCCTGAGAAGCTGGAGTGCCCTTCTGTTGTCAGTGAAAGCTGCCTCCGTCTTTGAGGAAAAGTCTGAAAGTCTGCTCGGAAGAGCGAGCTCCGTATCTCCTTCCAAATCGACGAAAATCCATTAAAATCTGCTCGTCATCTGTCGCACCCCGTTTTTGCGTGGCTTCACGAAGCTGTTCGCGCCTTTTCTTTATGGGAGCTCTCGGTCTCATCGGCCTTTCGATGCAAATCAGCGGCCAAGCTAAGACCTGCTCTTCGCCGATGAACACAAAACCACCCAGGTTATAAAGTCGACAGAAACATGCGCTCCTTCTTTTCTTCCCAGGTGCTGCCGACCATCACGAAGCTGTTTGCGTCCCAAGACCGCTCGATCCGCGTGGGGCTCCTCCAGAACTTTGACGCCTTTGGGCCGCACATCTCGGCGTCCGTCATGGACGAGCAGGTTTTCCCGCAGATCGCCACCGGCTTTGCAGATTCTTCGCCGTTCACGCGGGAGCTTACGCTCAAGTCCATGCTCACCATCGTACCGAAGGTGAGGCTGGCTCTGAGTAAACGCTTCGGTGACAAACTGCGGGTTATCCTGTTAACGGCGCTTTCGCAGATCCCGCGATCGCTGAAATTTTGACCATGTCATTGTTCACCACGGAGTTAGGAGTGGTTGTTGCTCAGCGTACTACTGAGGAAGTATTGTGGCTCCTTTCATTTTGCACGCTGACAGAAGCATGCGTCCAGAACGTGAACAATGGCAGCGACTGTCAGACGTTGTCCAACCATTGACCAAAGCAAGCCGGTATCTCCTCGCCAGAATCAAAGGGCACGATTTGAGACCGCAGCCGAAACAAGCGCCAAGGTCCTGCAAAACTCTCAATGCTCAGCCAACCAGTAACCATGACTAGGCTTCTCTTGTGCAGTTGTCGCAGCGCACGCTGACGGGCGCGCTGTTGAAGCACCTGTCGAAGCTGCAAGTGGACGAGGAGCCCGCCATCCGCACCAATACCACCATCCTACTCGGCAACATCGCACGGCACCTCAACGAAGCGGTTAGCCCCCGGCTCTTTCTGCTCCCATTCCTTTGGAATCATAGTGCAGATAAGTTACAATGCAGCTGATAGAACGGAAGGAGGGAGAACATGGACTCCCAAGCCGATGTTACAGACCCCTCCTAGCGATAACCCTCTAAGATCGACAGTCTAGATTGAGGAAATTGACTAAGTTTGACCGTCGATCGAAGGGGGTCCGAGTCAAAGGGGGTATCTAGGGAGTCCGCCGGAAGTCCCTGTTCTCCTTTCATCCCTTCTGTTAGCATCTGGTAGCACTAGCTTCGCCTGGGTCAGCTTCCTGCAAGCAAAATCTGGCGTCCCAACTAAAGTTACCAGGAGAGTCGAACGACACGCCTACTCGTTTCGGACCCGATTAGGAGCACTACCTAATGAGCTTCCTTTTCGACGTTTCTAAGCGAGCACAAAGGTTGCCCACTTTCAAAGAAAGGCTGCTAGTAGTGGCGACCTTCCAGGTTTCGACCTTGACCCATGCTAACTCATCCCCATGCAGACCCGCAAGCGTGTCCTCATCAACGCCTTCACGCGCGCACTGCGCGACCAGTTCCCCCCCGCCCGCGCGGCCGGCCTGATGGCGCTCACCGCCACGCGCGAGTACTACGACCCGACCGAGACGGCGACGCGCATCCTGCCGTCGGTCGTGGTGCTGACAATCGACGGGGACAAGGACTCCCGCGAGAAGGCCTTCCAGTGCGTCGAGACGTTCCTGCAGAGCATGCGCGACCACTTTGCGCGGGTGGGTCTTGGGCGATTCATGGCAAGCGTGTGTCTCTCTTGAAGTTTCTCTGCTCGCGTGCGGTGGTTCCGACAGTCATTTCTGGATGCAGCCTAATTACATGTTTATCTTGGTTGAGCAGCTTCGGTTCGTTCTCCTCGCGATAATTACATCCTTTGCTGGACTATCAGGCGTTTTGCAGTGCCGACCCATACTTCTATGCTGCTTCAGTGGAAGTATCATTCTCAGCCGACGTCATAAGCAGATATTGCCCATTTGAAAACGCCGTCCCTTTTCTCTGCGCAGCTCGCCAACGGCGACTCGGGCCTCCCGTCCCGCACCACCTCCGCATCCTCCGACAAGTCCAGCGGCTCTGCTCTTCTCGGCTGGGCCGTTGGCTCCCTTATCGGCGGCAAGGGCTCCGCTGCCCCGGCCCAAACCCTCGAACCCCCAACCTCTTCTGCGGCTGCCACGTCATCAACCGCGTCAGCGGGGTTAGCGTCGCCCGTCAGCCCCAGCCCCCTGACCCGGAGCATTTCGACAAAAGTCACCCCCCGGCAGTCTATGTCCGGGGCAGACGTCGCGCCGGCTGCGAGCGTAGCTGGGGGGGAAGATGGATGGAATAACGACGAGGATGAGGGGGGGGGAGAGGAGGATGCGGAGGGATGGGACGATCTGGATGCGGTCGATGAGCCCGCGCCGCCGCCGCCGCCAGCTAGGAGCCAGGTATGTGGTGCTCGTACTCTGCGCTAATTTCTGTTAGGAAGCCGTAGTGCTGGCGGACAACGGTTTACTTTTTCTAGTGCCGAGTGAGCGAGTAACTCTTAACGGATCACAACATGACTCCGATCCGGCGCTAGTTTCTCTGAGAAATGCTTCAGTTCTATTCGAAGCTTCTTTGGAGTCCCTCGTCGAGAACAAAGGTTTTGGCGAGTACAACTGATGTTCCTCTTTTTCGGGTTCAGATGGGTCAGCTTTTAGTCGTACAAGATTGTCAAATCAGGGCGTGGAATCTTGTCCCTTTACAACCTAGTGCCACAACTTACGCTCAAAGCTTCAGCGTTTTGTAAAGAACGACTGAAATCTTTTGTTGCCCCGTGCAGTTCCAGCCTCGGCCGCCTTCCGCATCGACCAGCAGCGCCGGCAGCGTCCGCAGCCCACAACCGTCCGATGATGCGGACCCCTGGGGCGAATCAATGGCTGCGCCCGCTCGGCCGTCTAGTTCGGCCGTCAGCAGTAGCAGGCCCGCTCGGACGAGTGCCACATCAGCAAGCCGGCCCGCCTCTGCGAGGGCGCCGGCGGCGCAAACGGCGCAGCACGTCTCGTTGGAAAGCATGCTCGGAAACAGCATGACGGCCGGCGGGCCCAAACCGGGTATGCAACAGGCGAAGCACGTGTCGCTGGATAGCATCAAGGGGGCAGGCCGAGGAGGTGCCATGAAGCTCGGAGCGCAACGGTTGAACCGGTGACATCAGGTGGATCTGGATCAACGGGATTGGCTCCGGAAATGGTTTGCGCTTTCTACCCAACTCTCTGTTCAAGTAAGAAGCAGGGGGCCGCCGGCCAAGGCAGTTGGATCAACACTGCCTGGAGCAGGTCAAATGTAGCAAGGCAACTGTGATTCGATGCACGGGACTGTTGCAAGGTGGACGACGTTGGTTACGTGTGGATGCAAGCCACAACTGAGTTGCCCATGTGAAGCTATGCTAGACCCCTCTGCAAAAATAAGGCTTCGAGTAACTTGCCTCAAGTAGACTGTCTGCTGACATTGCCCCGACCTTTCTCAATATCAGATGCTTTCGCGCGCCCACCTTCGCAAAGTCGATTCGCCATTGAGCAACTTTTTGTAAATGTACTTGTTCATTGGCGATGGTCGAACGCTCTCCAAGCCGTTTATCTACAGGGAAATGGTACCGGCCTGTGGTGTGATCGTGATCTGAGACGGACGGTCTGCACCATGAACTTGCATGTGACTAATTGAATAGACATAAGCATTGTGGTTCTGGCTAGTTGGGTTGGCCGCGTTGGTTACGTGCTGACATTGTGCAATGACCGAAGAATTGTCAAATCGATGACGGGGTGGTCCGTAAATGGGACAGACCGTCCAGGCGGAATTTGCATGATGCCTGAACTGCACCTAGTGTGCTGAGGCCGCCATGAATCTGTTCCATATGCAGACGTATGCATCTGGGTTAATCGAGGCGTACCATACGAAATCCGTATGGCGGCAATGCACCGCCGCCTGGAAAAAGTGATGATGCAGCCTCACAGACGGTGACGATTCCGGCCTCCTTCAATCATGATAATCGTGGCTAGCTGATAATCTAATTGGCGCACCTGACGCCGACCGCGAGCGCGCGCTTGCAAGGACCAAATTCAGTTCGTTATCCGTACAGGTGCACGGGAATTGTTGCGTGATGCCGTCTCATTTGTTGGACGCCCAACACGCAAGGTAAGATTGTATATAGTACTGGTAGCTCAACCGGGCAATCATTGCTTCGATGGAGTCAACCCGACGTTGCCAGGTTTGCAAGCTTGGGCCCGCGAAAGGGGTGAAATGATCTCAGGCCCTTAAACAGAGGGTGCAACGTTTGTGCCTTCTCCCAGAAGCGCGTGTTGCGAGATAAGATATTGTTGCCTACGCGTCCCCTCTGGCCACGTGTGGTGAAGTCGTCATATCTCGGCATTCAGTCTGGGCTCGTTTGAATCGGTGTGCAGCAACCTCAGAGCCTCGGGCGCAGTCGTTGGGCGGGCGTTGGGCATAGTTTCTTCCGACCTCGGGGAGTGTGATCGAAAATCGCCCAGCCCTACGCCAGCGCTTCCGCTGCCGTTTGCTCGCTCAGCATTCTGCATATCACCTCAACTGTGTTCGGCTCAGCGAATCCTATCGTACTGCCTCCGATTCAATCCTCCTCTATTTTGTCAGGGATCGAAATAATTTGACTCAAGCTCGTCTTAGTAGTGAGAGCTCAGTTTTCTTTCACAAAGTTTCAGAACAAGGATGTTTTCAAGAAATAAAGAAGAACCCGCTTCATTTCTGTATCGCAGATCCTTCCCTCGGATGTAAGCTTGGGACGCGTCAATGCAAGCCTGTGATTCCCTCGGCCTCGGTGTCTATCGTACCTAAATGAGGCAATACAGCTTGTCTTGTAGAGCGTCTCTGGGTACTACAACTTTAGTCTCTCATATTGAGGGGTCGGAACACGTCTGCGCAAACCTGTCTGAATGCTGCGGGCTCAGTCGGTCCTTTATTCCGGACGAGAGTAGAAAGCTCGTCTAGGCAGTGCGGTCCTTCACTTTGCAGCGGCCTAGGGACCCCGATCCCTGTATCTTTGTCTAGGGGTCAAACAAGTGAGTCCAGACATGTCTGGATACTGTGGGCTCAAACCCCTTTCTCGTAAATTGTTCCGATGAAAGAGTGCTGCTGTCTAGAAGAAGCGGCTCTCCTCTTGTAGAGAATCTATGTTAGCAGATCTCGTCTCTCAGTTTAGGTGGCGGCACAAGTCGGCGCAAGCCTGCCTAGATCCTGCACATATGTCCCTCGTAAAGAATTCAGGTGGGAATCAGGTCGAATGAAGCCGTCAAGCGCGTCTAGCTCTTCTTTCATGCCGAATGTCTGTAGGCTATCAGTGCCGATACCGTCTCTCGGATCAGGGTTGAAACAAGCCAGCGGAAATCATGTCTAGAAAGTGCGGGCGTCAATCTCCCGTAAAAGGATCCCACGGATTCGTGAAGCTGTCTCAAAGATGCACTTTTTCCGCATGGAAAATCTCCTGAATGTCGTCTCTCAGTTGAGGTGCCGGAACAAGTCAGTCCGAGCCTGTGTCGATTCTGGGGGCTCTTGATGCCTCCCTCGTGCAGGTATCCGCTATTTCCCTGAAGCCCGTGTAAAGAATGCACTTCCTTGCTCGGTAAACGTCTCTAGGCCATCAATGCAGAGCGGGAAACTTGCCGAGACATGGGCGGCCTCCGAGACTCTTGCGCGCATGGGCATTTCTGCTTTCGGTTCCGGCGCCGTGTCACCAGCAATCAGTTCGCCCTTGTTTCAATGCGGGCCTGCTCTCAGCGCTTACACAAGAAGAGCATAACGCACCTGACTCTGGAACAACAGTCTTCAGCCCTAAGCAAATGCATTGCAGCCTACGCAAGCATCCTTTTTTAGCCCTGCTCGGCTCAGTATTTGCAGCCCCAATAACGCCACTATAGAAAGCGTTGCTTCTCCACAAGAGACAGCATTTTTCATACTCTCTGAAAGCTCTCCCTTACGAGCCGCTCCCCTCTCCCAAACCCCAGCTCAGATTCCCGGCACCATGGCGGCTTTGAAAGGCGTTTCCGTTGCTCTCTTTGCGCTTTTTGGCGGCGCTCTAGTTGGCTTCGCGGCGGCGGCCGACCCGGACCCCCTGGTAGACTTTGTCCCGGTCGACGCTCTAGGCGACGCGCAGTTCAAATTCGCCCTGGGGAACTCTACCGGGATAGTCGGCCCGGGGGGGCAGATCCAGCCGGCGAACGTCATCAATTTTCCGGCGCTGACGTGAGCAAATACTTCCCCGCTTTCTTTCTCTTTCTTTCTCCCGTAAACTTGCATTCCATTTCACTTCCTCTCTCTCTCGTTTGCTCTTATCTCTATACAAACGTGAACCTTAGAATCATCAACAACTCTTTGACCGTTCAGCAGGAGTCCCTCTTCTAGCTGTTTAAGCTGGACCAAGAAACACACCAGTAACGATTCTGTTTTTGAAGCTTCAGAAGTCTCTCATCCAGCTGTTACCTGAGTCAATCCGCTGAAAAAGGGCGCTAGCTTTCAAATTAACTGGCAGTGAAAGAGCCAATCATATGCGTCCACGTGCAGGTCTCAAGGGCAATCCCTCGTGCGATTCAACCTGAGGCCGTGCGGTCAGAACCCTCCCCACACGTAAGCGCGTGATATCTCAACCTCCTGCTGATTAGATTGTTTAGCTTCAGCTCATTGCACTTTGAATGGTCCTACTGGACGCTAGTTCTGCGCTCATGCTTTGAAGCTGTTGAATGGAAGCTTGTAGATGTTTTGGTAGGAATCGTTGGCAGTGGCGGCAAAGATACTTTACGTCCGCTCATCTGCTTGATCTGGGATGCACCGGCTGAATTTGGAGGCAAACAGTTCTCAAAGATTTCTGGCTATAAAACAATCAATCGCATCCTGGATTTAGCCTTTTTTCTCCAGCCTTTTTCCTCGTTTGCAATTCAGCGATGTATCTTCTGCTTCATACTTCAAAGGACTTGTCGCGCTTAGACGTACCCGATCTCTAGATCGAATCCTGCAATACAGGCAGATCCGAATTGCTAAGAAAGTAAGAACTCCGCACACCGAATTGCTAAGAAAGTAAGAACTCCGCACACTGAGAGTCGAAGATTCTCCAAAACCATCAAAGCTTTTGCGGCTCAAACGACGGATTATGGCTTGGACTATGGAACAGACCTCAAAATTGGTACTATTTATCATTGTGGGTCTTCTCTACAGGCACCCCCGTGCAAGCGAAGTGATCTTCCTCATCTCTGGAGGACCACTTCTGGTGGGCTTTGTTGACACTACCGGTGAGCCGCCTTCGTCGAAGATCAAGACAGCGACGATTGAGTGTCAATCGCCTCCTCACAATATCCGAAATCCTAATCAGCTTTCGTCACTGCTTCCTTAAGGAGAATAACGATGCGAAGAGCGCCCCTTGAAACGTCACTGCTCTCATAGAGAGAATATCCATACGAAGAGCGTCCCTTGAAATCCTTAGCTTAGACGTCTTGTCTAAAGAACCCATAGCCTTCAAACGCACTAAAACCTTTTCTGTTCGAACGACGCCCCAACCCATGAACATGTTTCGCCCAATACCTGAACTTAAAAAAGTCTGAATGGTTTAAGACACTAATCCTCCGCCCCGTGTCCAAGGGATCCCCCACCTCAACGCGCTGATGCCCGGAGACGTGACCGTCTTCCCCCGGGGGCTGGTTCACTTCCAGCAGAACTTCGGCACGGAGAACGCCATCTATATCGCCGGCCTCAACAGCCAGAACCCGGGGGTCCAGGTAAGGGGCGCCGCAGAGGGATCCCTTCGTTGCAGTACAATGTTCACAGTCTCCGATTCTTCAATGTTGTCGGCCACTAAATACATAAAACCTCAATTTACTTCGCCCGGTGATTAGAATCAGAGCGGTCTCTGAGTCTCCTTCAAAGATCTATTTGTCGCCGGAGATTAGACGCAGGACGTCCTCTAGGCACGAGACCGTGACTAATCCAACGTCGCACCAAAACCACTTGGAACAAGGACTCAGAAAGTGCGGACGTCTACTATGATAGATCGACGAGGGGGTCATCAAGTGCCGTCTACCCGGCCCGTCTTTCCTTACTGGGAAGAAGATGAGCAGCTTTCTTTCCTCCTCTTTTGTAGCCAATGTTCACTGTACTGGGGGCCTTCCGGGCGCCCATCTTGGCGACCGCCCTTAACACCTCTACGGCTAACCCGATCCTGACCGCGCTTTTTAAACTTAACTCGAAAATTTCTTTTCCTTTGCAGCCCATGTTCACCGCACTGGGCGCTTTCCCGGCGCCCGTCTTGGCGACAGCCCTTAACACCTCGGTGGCTAACCTGACCCTGACTGCGCTGCCCAAGAACGGGGCGCCTCCCCTAGGGTCGGCCGCCTCAGGATGCGTGCCCGGAAGCCTCCCCCCGGGCATCAGGGTTTAAGGAATTGGAGGTTAATTCAGGGGTTTGAGGCCTTTTGGGTTTGCTAGATTCTTGAAGACTTCAGGGAGTTTGAGATTTTTGGTTCCAGGATCGGAGGAGGGTAATCGATACAATGTCCGGGATGCTTCCTTCGAGCATCATACGTTTTAAGTCTCACTCGACTCATGAGCATCAGGCCACTCCTGTACAAACCTTCTTGCTGATTTAGGTTTTTTGGAGAAGTTATTCTTAAATCGAAACGCAGAGACTTCATATAGGGTAGTAACAGTAGCATAGCCGAAACGTATCGACGACTTGACCCTACGAGTACTCTGGAAAAGGAGACTGTGCCTTGAATAGTGTTCTGTTGTAGGCTTGACTGTTGTTTTGCTGTAGGAATGTCTTAAGATTGGCTTTTTAGTCCTTTGCCACGAAGGGCTTACATTGCTTGAATCAGTCATCCTCTACCGGCTTAGGACTGCCCAGTACATGCTTTCTTAGAATGCTTGAGTGATCATCCGACGTCTATTGTTGCGAAAGTCAGGATAAACCTGAAACTTAAGCAATCATCATATGCATCTTGAGTCGCGCGCCTCAAGAAAACATGCCAAGAATGCTTCGATCCCGAGAATACACTGCATTTTTTTGGGTCATCGTGATCTGCCCCATTTGAAGGACCTACATGTATAGTAATGCCTCGTCCATATTTGCGTAGGACTTTTGCCAGAAGATATGTAATTGTTAGGTCGGTACGTTTTCACTTAGATTTCTTATCCTTGACCGTTCATCCAAGGGAGAATTAGCTGCTGATCAAAACAAGCATCACTAAATTGAGCTATGATAAATATTCAGGACTGGAAAAGCAATGCCACAAGTAATCTATGACAAGACACTAGCAACGTCTTGTAGATGCATCCAATTTCTTTGACGTTACTTATTAGACCCTAGATGACTGAGGTCGGCGCACTGGTTAGCCTGCTCACTCCGGTTTTGGCGACCGCCCTCAACCTTACTCTGACAACGCCTGACGCCGTCAGAATCCTTGCCTCGGTGCCAAAGACCGGGGCTTCAACGCTCGGGACACGTTAAGGGATGCGTGCCCGGGGTGCTTCCCTGGGCGTTAGACCTAACGGGAGGCGGTCGGTATCGCTTCCGGAATACTTTCCCGAGCATTAAAAGGGAGTGTTGATCGGTCTATCAAGCTAGTTCTGTATAGGCGCGGTGTATATTCTGAAAAAGTTGACGACCATACTTCTATCATTGAAGGAATCATGGGGTTGAAAAGACTCATTCAAGCAGAACAAGCAAGCGAATGACCAAAAATGCAGAGATTGTTTTGCAACGAGGTGATTGTGCAGTGGATTTCACTATATTATGTAGGGAGCCGTCAAAACAATGGGCTCTTAGTCTGACCACGAAACCTCCGAAATGCTTGGGTCAGAAGCCTCTTAAGCGCTGTATATGTTGAGAAATGCCCTTTCCTATCGTGTCGGAACGTGGGATGCTCCGTATCCGTTTTGGTCTGCTGAAATGCGGGCAGTTGTAGCATTGAACCAATAAAGCGGCCGGCTTCCTCGACGCTCTGCTCGCAAACGACAACAATGTTCCATCAATACATCATGATGCGAGAACACTCCTCATGCATGATCAAAATCTAAATGCTGAGATCCGGCCTTGCTAGAGAAGAGATACAAAGCACACCACACTTTTGTATGGATTTAAGTAGATCACAGGGTTGTTTACACTATCAAGTACGTCCTGTGCTCACTACAAAGAGCGCAGCATGAGCCACCGTACTCGAAGCAGAAATCTATCCTACGACTGTTCGAATACGATACTAGCAAACTCTTATGATTACGTCTACGGTCCAACGCTCGTCTCCGGCAATCTTCTTATGAGAGTTACCGGCGTAAGTTGTACCGGAGCATGGGTACTCAGCTCATTGTCACCAAAGTTCAGGATTTCGTCCTTTCAATCGGCAAAGGTCCTTCTACTACGCCCTTAACTCGGTGACCCCCCTATTGCGCACACTCATCTAAGCACACTCGTACTTTATGACGTACACGATTTGTCCATAATACACATGCGTCCTGACACACAAACTGCTTTGAGAGTCGCTCTCGTCCTCCACGTAGAGGTACTGCGACCTTACCAAACCAAGATGTCCAATCCACAACTCTTTTCCTACCTGCCTTAATTCAGCCCTCGACTCGACCGGTTGATCCTCCCAGGCTCCACAAACCCTCACTATCTCCCCCCTTTATTTCTGCCCGTTCCTTTCAACCGGGCCGCCGGATCAAAATATCCTCTCCCTCCCGCTTCTTGTCTACTAGTTGACATCTTGAGAACTCCACTCCTGACGTCATGCTACAGCGCTGACGTCACGCCTGCTTGCTGGGGTCAGCTTAGAACAGCTTCCGGCCCCTGGACTCCGTTCCGTTTCCGGCGGCGCAACCGGTGGTCGGGGTGCCGACGGCGTTGCCGGACGCCGGAAAACCGGTCACGAGCTTGTTCACTGTCGCGGCGTCCTGAGCGAGCGCCACCTGGACGACGTTGGTCGGCAGGCCGCCGCCAAACATGGTGCGGGCCAGGAACTGCTGGGGAAGAGGGGTCTAACGTCAGCCGTGTTGGGCGTAGGATAAGGGTTTCAGTGGTCCAGAGAACGGTGGAGGAACGAAGTGGAAGGAATCGAGGCTAGGGAAAGGGTCTACGGAAGAGGATACAAATGCTAGAAGACGCCTCAGGGAGTGTAGTCGAACGTGCTCGCAAAATGTCGGGACCAATCTCTAGACGATCCACCTTCAGAAAGCCGAGTGCGAATTCAGTGTCGTCGAATGTAATTGGCTGAACAACGTTTACTCTTCATCCGCAAGTTACGGATCCAGACACGAGCTGAGCCCCGTCGAGTCTGAACGGCTTTCCTCCACGTTCACAAAAGCAAGGACCACCAGATTCTCAAGCACAAAAATCGATCCAAGTAGACAGGCCGGTTCAACCAACCGAGCACCGTGTCTCAGTGTGACAGTAGGCCAGAACCAGTCCACCGACCTGAGTCCCCGGGTTCTCAGAGTTGACAGCGGCAAGCGCCACGGCGGGCTGGCTCTGGTTGAAGTTCTGTTGGAAGTGAACCAGGCCGCGGGGGAAGACGAACACGTCGCCCACGTTCAAAGTTGCATCGAACAGTTTGTCTGCACCGAAAGTGGGAGAGATGAGTGAATGGGCGTGAACGATGGCGCGGTGTCAATGGCGGAGGAAGAAGTTCTGACGAAGACAAGGCAAGGTTGTTGTTGGGCTCCGAAAGCAGCCACAAAAGATGGATGTCTCGAATACAGGATACAACGGTAGGTGAACCGCCCTGGAAGTGGATCTTTCATACATTTCCTACCCAAATCTCACTCTTTGGACAATGATCTGGGTGAGACAAGAAGACCTCGAGTGGTAACGTTACCAACCCGCACAACAAAATTATACTGCACCAGCATAAATCTAAACCAACCCGCAAACCGACACCTTAACCCGCTTACCAAACTATCTCGCAGACTTCGGCCAGACGCTTGGGCAGCAGACTTACTGTTGGAGTCCACGAAGCCCACGTAAAGCTGGCCCGACACGACGTAGAGAATCTCGGTGGCGCGGGGGTGGGTGTGGGGGGGGATCTGGCCGCAGGGGGCGTAGGACAGGTACACGTAAGCCAGGCCCTGACCCCTGAAAACGAAACGGGGGGCAATATGTCAGATATGTTTGGGGGAGGTGAAACGTCAGTTCTGCTTCGGGGTTGTGATGAAAGTGCGCACTGGAGAGAGGAAAGACCAGACCTTGGGCTTCCGGGATTACAATTGTGAGCTTTATTAGACACCACCCGAAGTGGGTTTTTAGACAGCCAGCCACAAAATCTACGATTACTCCAGAGATCTCAGTACCCAGTGCTTCAGTGTCAGAGGCCTAATCATCCGCAGTGACGGCCAAAACAGCAATAACATCAACTGTTCATTGAATTTTTTCGCAAACACCTTTGGTTGATTGTCTATCCAGACCACAGCTTCTAAAGCAATAGGACATATTCGAATGAACTTCGAAGGCGCTTCTCGCCAACATCAAACAAAAGTATTTGACCCCACATGATTAGGAACAATTTCAGGCGCGGGCGGGTGAGCTACCTAGTCGATTCCATCTTTTGAATTGGCAGCTGCGGTGATTTGGAACAGCATAAGGGTTCCGCTGATCAGACTTACTTGAGGCCCGGGAGGGCGGGCGGCGCGGCAACCGCAGCGTTGGCCCCAACTCCGGCGGGAATGGTGACCTTGTTGAGTCCGCGGAACGTGAAGTCAGCACCGGTGGCTAAAGAAAAGAGACAAAGCAGTCAAGTAGTCAGCAATTATTGGATAAGAAGATTGGGTCAGGCAGCTTGAAGCTTAGGAAAGCCCGCAAAATTATTTTTGTGGTTTAGAACAGTATGAGGGCGTGTAATGACTTGAAGTGATATGATTGGTTAGTGGCAACACCGGTTTCTTGAACGATTGATTTTCCTTCAGAAACTGAAGCACTGGTCCAACAAGGGTACAGCAAGCCTCATGGATCAGGAGACAACATAGTAGCGGCTCATTGTCACGCAAGGTGCATAAGTCAAACTTGATACAGGATGTCACCAAGGAGGAAACAATTCTATACAAATGCCGAAGGTGTAGAAATGAAGGACTAAACTCTGGCATGCGCACTCCGACCCCACTTCCAATTGAAACATCAAAATCCTTTACTCATAAGCTGCTTTCGAATTTTACAAGAGTCAATCGGAACGAGAGACAGAGCCACGCAGAACTACAATTCCCACTGACTTGAGTAGAAGCCTTACGGAACCTCATATCTTCCTCATATATTCGAGACCAGTTGGACGGTAGGAAAAAGGGCACTGGGCAATAGTCAAACCAGCCAATCAGGGCAACCGACACCTCTAGTGTGCCCGGCCCGCAATTGAGAGCAATCCTTTGCAGAAATTAACCATCTTGCAGCCTACTTCTCACAATTGACGGTGCTTGACACAACAAGACACCTTCCCCTTTGCAGCATTGAAAAGAGCCCGCAATGGCAAAAGAACTGAGCAAGGATCGCCAAGCAACCCCGTACTACCCCTGAATACCAACCCCCTGATCCAGTGCTACCAAGCTTGATTTTCACCAGGACAATTAAGTGCAAAACTTCGTTGCTTACCTGTGGTAGCAGTTTTTCCGTCAATGATAAAGTCCGCCAGTGGGTCCGGGTCGGAAGCGGACACCAGGAAGGCCGGAACGGACACCACCAGGAGCAGTGCCGCCAGAACTGACGTCAGCTGGGGAGCCATTGTCTTGCAGATTCTTGGCCGGCTGTTGCGCAAAAGAGCGAGGCGGATGGGAAGACGTTGCTATGAGTGAAAAGAGGAGGGGGCGAAGGGCAATTGAGAATGTTGGGAATTGAGGACCAGAGATTTGTGACGAAGGGCTGTTCCGAAGCGCTGCTTTTATAGAGGGAGGAAGACGCACTTGCACTGAAGTGCAGTTCGTGCTAGCTGAACGTCTTTCAAGCTCTACGGTACAGGTAACAGCAGTGGAGGATGGGGCACTGGCTGCTGGCTCCTGGGCCGGCGGCCCGCCAAGTCGACGATGCGGCGCTGACGCACGCGGACGCAATCGGGGCAGGCACAGAGGCTCACGTCCTCTCGACACGTCCCGATTTCAGAAAACCCGTACATTATCGTCAAAGTCGGGTTTTCGCCGGCCTGCCGGGCTCGTGCGACCGGGAATGTCCTTTCTTTACGGTCGTTTTGGGGTTTCCGGTCAACCGGGTCGCTGTTATAACTTATCAGACCTGTCAGAGATATCGTAAAGACTGGAGCAATGTGCCCGGGAGCCTGGGCAGTAAACGCTTTGGGGCCGGCATTGAGTTTCGCGGTCGATCGCCCGTGACGGACTGTACGGAAAGAAGTCTGGTTTGCTTTCACATGCCGTCTTGCTTCCGCGAAGCTCAGCATGACGTTGGTCACATGGCTCGTGACGATTCTTTCTATGACGTAGCTACCGAGCAAACTGCTTGCAGATTGCATCTTCGAAAATCGCTGTCGAAGTGGACTCTGCAACGATTGGCACTTAACATTTCGACGACGAACCGGGAGCGACTTGCTGACCTCACCTGCATCCGCATTTCTGACGTCTTACATTTGTAAACGTCAGCATGTTCTGCTGTCATTGCCCGTAAAGTGCGGCCTGAGCTTCTTCAGGATGTGAAGCATCACGTGCAGCAGATTGAACTTAGCCAACTCATAGTCCCCAACTTGGTGTGGCCGACGGCCGGCGAAAGTTCTCAGTCGTACGGAAGTTTTGACTTCATTTCCTGATAAATTACAAGAAGTCCGGAATCCGACCTGGCGGCAAATGCCTCTAGGCACATGGTGAACACGGCCATCTTCAATATGATCTTGAGTTTAGATGGTCGTGCATGGCGTCGCCCATATCACCCAAGGCTTAACCAACGATCACCATGTTTTCCGATCATGTTGATTCACAACTCCCTCTTTATATGCGCAGCTAACGGATGGTTCTGCACACGTCTGTTTTTTGTTCGCGCCCGCTTTGGCTTCCAATAGCAAGTCATTGTAAGCTGGCCATAATGTACTTCAGTACGTCATGTGTGTGCATCATCCCCACATGAGGATTGCACATATAGTTGCCGTCAAGAGCCTGGCATTACCCGTTTTGTTGAACGACTCTTACGCACCTTTAAACGTGTGTTTAGTGGAGCGTTGGAATTCAAGGGCAAATTTGCACCACTACTATGCGAGGGCACTGCTCGTAGCACAGTGGCTGTCACATTGAATCGTTCTTCACAGATTGCATACTCCATTCCCAGGCTGGGACGGCCATCGCTTGCGGTCAGACTAAGTTTCATCTAACCCAGGCTTCTCCCTGGCGATTGCCTCCAAATTCGACCTCTTCTGCAAGACGGGAAGAACGCCCGTTCAGAACTTAACGGTTGCAGACTCAACAACGTACTGACGCAGCAAGCAATTAATTTGACAAACCTTTTTTGTGACTTTCGCTACTGGACAAAGCGGACGATACTCAGAGATGCTTCGCCCATTTGTGATTGCAACATTCCGAACCCCCCAAGGCAGTGATGCAATAAGTGTTTGAGCAGCCACAACCTCAGAATCCCGTAACACATTTGAGTAAAACCTAAAAAAATTCTGACTGCGGATCAAAAGAAGGCCTTATCCGGCCATCTAAGCCGGAGGCTCAACATTTCCCCTCTGCTTTTTTTAATTTACCCTCAAACCGGTGTGATATGCTAAAACTCAGATTCACTCCCTCAACGAACCAGAAACGTCGAAGATTTGTGCACTCTCCAACTCGATGCGGCCTCAAAAGCACCTTCTCACCCTCGAAACCTCGTCGAGTCCCTCCCTCCCTAGATTACCCCTGTCTTGGCCCCTGGTCAGCATCGAACCCGAGAAAGAAAACGACATAAATTGATAAAATGATAAAATGATGAAATGATAAAATGATCGCACTCGGACGGTTGGATCGGTTTTGGGGCTGGGGTCGGTAGGGGTGCGGAGCAGGTATTCTTTGGGGTTGCGGTTTCTAGTTGGAGTTTGATATCAACTTCAGCTTTCCGTGACCTAATTCCCCTTGAATTCCAGCGTCCATCTCACCGCTTCGACCGCCGTCATGAAGGCGTCAAAGAGCCGGTCCGCTTGCGGAGGGATCCCCTCGTAGTTGTACGTATGTGCGTTCGCCCGGATCAGCTCCATGTCCGCGACGAGCTCCTCCACCGACTTGTACGCGGCCGCCTTGAGAGCCTTTTCCTTCATCACTGTCAGGCACATCGGCCTGCATCCGGGAAAGAAATAAAAAAGTAAACAGATAAATCTCAATAAACATACTAGATAAATGAAGGTGGGGTTATTTACGATTTGAAAGCTCTTCGGAGCGTGGGCCTGGGTTTCTAGAGCGCTCGAGACCTGGAAAAGTTCAGAAGTTCGATCTCCTCATGTTCATCCGATCCATATCTTAGATTAGGATAGCTCTGCTTTCTGCTACAATTCAAATTCCACAAGACGCAATCTGCTCAAGCGCGCCAAATTGAAACCCGATGTAGAGTCTAGCTGTCTCTTGTTTGAACGACCTAGAGGCTCCGCGGCAAACACTTCAAGCGTCGCTTTAGACAACCAGGGGGTAACAGGATTTTGGCAAATCCAGTGGGCAGGAAATCGGCTGAATGCTCACAAAAGTGAGATGCTAGGCCCAGCCGTTTTTTCAAAAGACAACTGATCTGACGTCACAGTCGTACAACCGAACGAGCGCATGATGCAACGTCCGCGACAGACGGTCAGACTTGAGGTTGGGCTCACTGCCCAAACAAAACTCTCAAAGTAATCTGATTGCGAGGAAAAATAGTGAGCGAGCCAGCAGCGATCTTCCCACCGTGTGATAATGTCGTAGTAATCAGGCACCAATTTCTCATCCACTGGGTCGAGGAACGGATACGACTCCGTCAACTTTTCCTCCAGCCGTTTCAAGATCCTGTAGAACTCTCGGTTCAGCTTCCGATTCGGCTGCGGCCGCTGCTTTTTTTCCGGGGGGGACGCCTGACTCCTCTCCGCGGGCCGCTTCTGACCCCCCGAAACGTCGCCCTCTGCACGACACACGAAGCTCAACGTCCCCTTGAGCTTCTTGGGCTTAGGTTCCGTTTCCGTCGACTCCTCTTCCGTTTTCCGCGGCCGTTTCAGCGACACGAGCGTGCTCGGCGCCCTCCGGGGGGCGTCGACCACCTTAGGTGTGAGCCCCCCGAAAGAACCCCCCGCGCCGGGGGGCTTCTTTCGCGAGATCGCAACTTTCGTCCCCTCAACTCTCACCGCTTCATTCACTAGCAAAACCGTCTGCCTCGACGGCCCTTCTACCCCATCCGCATTATACATCGGACACGCACGGTTCGTGCTCATATGCCCAACTTGCCCGCACTTGAGACATACCCTATCCGTCCCCTTCCCCCCGGTCTTCGGCGTCGGCGTTCCCTCGCCCCCCCTGTGCTTCAGCCCTGTCGTCTGCACACTTAGCCCCCCTTTGCCGAACTTCTTCCCCTTCACGCCCCCCTTGAACGGCGACTTTCGTGACTTAATCATCGCTTCGTCTTCCTCCTCCACTAACCCCGTCCGCTGAACCTTCTTCTTCATCCCCGGTTTCGGCCCGGGGGCCGCCTTCGCCCCGCCTTTCGACCCCCCCGCCGCGGCCGCTTTCTTCTCCTTCTCCCGATAGAACTCGGCAATCTTCTCAGGGTCTCGCAGAAACTCCTCCACACGGACTTCCTTCCCGTCCACTTTTCGGATCCGCACGACTTTCACGACTTTCGGCAACTGCTGCGCGGGCGCGGGGGCTTCGGGCGGTTCCGGCAGCTCCGGTTCGACCTCGCCCTTGTCCTCTGCGGTATCGGTGTTCCCTTGCACCTGCTCGTCGTCCTCTTGCAGCATCTTGCGCAGCTCCTCTGCCTCGGCCTGCAGAGGACGGGCCGAAAAGACATTCAGAGCCCAGCGGCGGTACCAAAGTTAAAGCGGCCTACCAAAGAACAAGCGAAGGAAGTCAGAACAAGCGGCGTACCAAAGAACAATAGCGCAGCTCTGCATATCAGGCCCAGCTACGTCCAGCAGACCCGAAAGTGAAGCATCTGCCTGCGAGTTGCAAACACGCTTGTCAACAAGGATTGCCTTGATCGGGCCATGGGCTGTCCTGCCAAGCAGCTCACAATAATCGGCCCTTCTCAGGAACACACGACACACGATGAAGGAACGCCAGACCCTTGAGTTTCGCCGTCCTTCCTTTTCGGCTCTGCCAAAGATTACCGCTCCTTTCCGATGTCGACAAAGCAGGTTCAATCGGTAGAGCTTCAGCAAAAACCGCCCGAATGACGTATCGACCCTCAAGCCCTGGAAACTCACGACGCCAGAACAGAAAGCTCAACCCCTTACTCTACATCTTCTGTCACCCCATCTTTTCGTCCTTTAGCGGCTCTTCGTGCACCCTAATCTGCAACTCCCAACACGCCAAAGCCTTGAAAAGCAGAAGTCCTGAAGCCTACAAACTTACAATCGAACAAATGCTCTGCTAAAAAACGCTTGCGGTACCACCTTTTCGTCCTCCAGTCGCTCTTCCCGTTCGCGCGCGCTGCGCCTCCCTGTTAAAAAGCTCAGACCATCAATTCTTACCCCCAAAACCCTTCAAATCCAGAGACTTGTAGCCTCCGAAACCTCAGAAACCCTAAACCGATAGTTCCCACCCACCTCCCTCGTCCTCCAGTTGCTCCTCCCGTACCCCCGCCTGCAGTGCCTTCTTGTTGGAAGCCTTGTAACTCAAAACCTTAACCTCGGATATGCTAACCTGAAAACCCTTCACCTGAAAAACTGAGAAACGAAAAAACGAAACCCAACCCACCTCTTCGTCCTCCAGCTGCTCCTCCCGCACCCGCGCCTGCAGCGCCTGGCGTCCGCGCCCGAACCCCTTGGACCCGTCCTTCTTCTTGGCGACCTCCTCGTCTTTGTCGCCCTCCTCGAGCGCCGCCTCCAGTTCCTTCGCGAACGAGTCCATATCGCTGCCCTCCCCGTCGCTGCCAGCCTCCTCGGGGACTTTCTCGTCCGCCAACGCCTGCACCAGGTGTTTAACATCAGTGCCAAGATTCTCTTCGACTTGGTGCTCATTGTCATTCTGCCAGTGAGCCTTTCGTGGGGATGAGAATCCCAATCGTTACGTCCAATTGAGTATCCAAGTGTGTCAATGCGAGCTCAATACTTCATTCCTTACCGTAAAGTGACTGGCAGGCCACAATCAACCCAGTGCTCTGAACAGTATCCGCGCCTTATGGTTGATGTGACTGACCGTCCGAAACCAGTGCTCTGAACTGAAATTCTACGCCTTGCTGATGATGTGACTGGCACCTAGACGTCAAAGGCGCTTGGCTCTTCGGCGGACTCTCTTGCAATGATCGGAAAGAAGCGCACCCAGAAAACATAAAACCCCAACACGTTTGCCTGAATGGTGCTCTAATCTGAAGTAAAGCGTCAAGTCGCAAAAGATTAACACCCTAATATCCCGAACCGGAAATCCTAAATCTTAAGCCCTCCTCACCTTGAGCTGCGCGTCCCAGATCTCCTGCGCCTTCTTCATAAAAATCTCCTGCTGCTGCATCAGCGTCAGCCGGCTGCCGCGCGCAAACTTGTTGGCGGTCGCGCCCGCGCGCCCCTCGAGCGCGGCCGCGCTGCTGAACTTGCGCACCATCTCGATGCGGCGCCAGCGGTTCTTCGGGATGTCGGCCTCGCGCACGCCGAAGTTGAGCAGCATCTGCCGCGATGCGGCCATGCTCAGCCGGCGCAAATCCGCGTCCGTGCCTGACAGGTACGTTTAAAGTCAGGGTTAGACCTTTAGAATTAGGAAAGTGAAGTTTTTCGAACTCGTCTTTCGAGTCCGCATCGGAGCTTGAACAGCAAATGGCGCAATGCTCAGCCAGCAGAAGTCCGCGTCCGTGCCTGACAGAGAGGGTTTGAAATTAGGATTCATCTTTGTGACAGGAGTTTGGGGTTCTCCGAATCCTTGTTCCGGGTCCGCGACCGAACTTTAGCAGCATCTGCGGCTACGCCGCCATGCTCAGCCGGCGCAGGTCCGCATCCGTGCCTGGAAAACAGGGTTATGCCAAGCCTCAAGCTTAGCGTTGAGAAATTGGCATGAGGAGTTTACAATCTGAGAGAGCTGATGCTGGTCTGACACGTTGGGTTTCCAAGCGCAGGGTTTTAAAGTAGGAGCGCGAAGAAGGTTTCTGGGGATGCGAAGTAACCCCAGATGTGGAAGAGGCATTCAGAGGGTAATCAAACCCAGCAGTTGGCTGCATCGCCAAAGATCCCTCATCACGGCCTGGACTGGACCAGCCCTCTTGGGCTCTGCCGCAAAAGAACGGGGACAAATTTAACGCCTCTTGTGCAAATGAAATTAACGCCGGGGGCAGCACTGAGAACTTTCATGCACGGTCTGGCTGAACATGATCGGCTTTCTTGCATAGAGAGACAACATCCAAGCAAAGATTGGTTCACATTCTGTGGCACCCCTGAGCCAGACACATCAAACCTACTGAGATCAACGTCAATACAAGGTCCTAATAAAATTGACCAACGTTAGTTGCTCTCTGGAGTTCCCTGGCCCAGTCCCCATGATCCACGAGGAAGCCAAATGTCCCTCGTCATAGCCTTTGACCGTCTCGCCTTCGACCGTCTATTTGTCAATTTTGGCATGAAAGACCCTTAGGGAAACGCCTCCTTCAACATACGAACCTAAAACAACTCGCTTCCTGAGTTCCTCTGGTCCACCATCAAAAGCGACTAGAGAACGTCGTCAGCAAGAACTGAAAGGCGTCAGCATTTACAGGTCGGATGCTATCGAGGTAACTTGCAATCTCTCAGAACCGCTGCGCCTATTCCACCCCGTTGACAAAAGTTCTTCAGGCCGCGTTCCAACCTAGACTTTCAGGAAACAACATCGTGATTGTCCTGGGGTGGACAGCCAGGAACCCTAGGCACAAAGTTGGCCATCTTTCTTTTGCCAGCTGTCCCTCTTTGGAGCCCACAAAGACTCGCCACAAAAACTAAAACTTGAAATCGAAGCCATGTAGGAGGCATGCCGTTACCGAGGCAACACTAAACCTAGAATCGTTTCCCTACAAACCGGTAAAGGGGTCCTCTTTGCAAAGTCAAGGGTTGCTGAGTACTCCAGCTTGGCAAGAATCATAATCTGCCACACAGCGGGACTATTGTTGGATGGTGCTGGCATTTCACAACCCCACCAATTGCAGCCAGCCAAAGAAGAAACTCGACGCTTTGACTGCAAGCCCAAGGATCGTGACCCGCTTTTGCCAAGCGGCACAAAAGTTGACGACTGACAGGGCCGACAACGCAGTAATCCTCCAAGATGTCTTCACGTCAGCATACCTCCTGAGATTTCGTTTCGTAACTCAACTAGCAAGAAAGCGCTGCTTCTACGAGAAAAGAGTCAACGGAATGCTGTGGGCAGTCAAAAGTATCGGCTGCGTTCTGACGCGTCTGCCAGTCTTGGAAAGTTTCATTGCCACAGATCACGATCGCTGACCCGGTTACTCAAGGTCGATGCGAATCATGCCGCTAAAGCACGCTGGCGAGCCCTTGATCAGAAGAAACATTCAAGAGATGCCATGACCAAGGGTCGAAGGGTCCGTAAGTCGCAGCACTTCGGAAAGGAGACGGCGATGAGTCCCGACAGAGCCGGGGGAGCCGTCAACTGGTAGGCGCCATGAGATGCACGCCAACATGCAGTTCTGATTGCTTCACTGAGAAACATGGCTATCCGAGCACGATCGAACGGAGGTTTGCGAATCTGATGTGACGGCCATCAGGAATAGAGTATGGCAAAGGTGCCCTTGCCAAGCCGCAATTCCATCCTCGCCGCAGTCGATCGACGTGCTCCCTCGAGCAAGTCAACATGCTGCAAAAGCTTCCTACTTCTCGAACGGTTTGGCAGTTCATACGGCAAGTTCCTCACCGCAACCAATACGAGAAGGCCTTGGAGCTTTTGACGAATCAAAACTGCTAAAGCGAGGCGTACAAACCTGATCTTCACTCAACTACAAAATGGAGAGAGGCAAACCTCCAGTACAGCCGAGAAACTTGCAATTGCACGAAACAAGCGAACGAATCAAAGACAGAAATTCGGATAATCGGCCATCAAAAAGGTCAGGGCCTATCTGCAGACCTTTGCAGGCATGCAGGGCTCAGATATAGCGAACTTTCATTTTGGCCATCAGCCTCCAGTTACATGTGTGACAGAAGATGCTGCCATGTGTGCGTCCTTGCCAACATTAAGCCCTCCAGAGATCCAGGTTGCCAACCAGAGTGACTCCTCAGTGAGATGCTTCTACGTAAGCCTCGCTGGGCCAGTAAGTCTAGAAACTTGCCACAGCGATGCTCAAAAGGCACATCCGTGACGACCGGACAAAGTGGAGAAGAACAGGAGAACCAGGCTACAGCATGGGGGGAGATCAATCTCAGCAATAAATGGTTCGAAACTTCGAGCCTGTTGGAAGCAATTTTGAGAGGCGCTCGTGGGACGAGGAACGCAAGGCGAATAAGAGGAAACCAAAGTAGACCACCATTACACAAGAAGGGAAACGAGGTGGATCAGAAGGAACGAAACGAAATGGTCATTTCGTGTAGGCAAAGGGTCAGATTATAGAAAGGGATCAGGAAGAGGAAAAAGACAATCGGATCCGCATGCCCACCTGTGAGCTTCCCCTCCTTCTCTTTGAGCAGCGCCTTCTTTTTCTTCCCCAGCTCGTCCTCCTCCTTCCTCGCCGGCAACCGCAGATAACTAAACCCCTGGCCCCGCCCGCTCGGGTCCGCTAACCCGCTTAGTTCCATCTGACCCCGCCCCTCCATCCCAGTTAGGAAACTCGCGGTCAAGTTCCACGGGGTTAGCTGTAACTCTCGGTGGATGTAGTCCGCGAGTTCTCGGGTTTGGGCGTCGACCTCTTTGGCTATCTGCTCGAGCGCCAGGGGGATCCCCCCGGGGGTCGTAAGGACGCTGATGCCCGCGCGGCGGAGGTACTCTTGGCCAGCTTTCATGGCCTCGAACATGCAGACCTGTGGAATGGACAAAAGGAGATGGATGAAAATACCAGAGCGAGAGGATTCCGTAGTCAAAGACGAGCGATGCAGCGCAGTTTCTCTGGCTTCAAGGTTGATTTAACAACCGGGAAGAGTACGAGAGAGCGATGAAGTTGGTCGTGAATCCAAGTGCGCTCTGTCGCTAAAGAAGGCAAATGAGGGCTGACCGAGATGCAAACACGGTTCATTGAAGGCAACCATAGATACATTCGAACGCGTCCTGCAACCATATCAGTGACATGCACCGACAGCGTCCCTTCAACTCCAACAGGTAACAACTTATCCCTTCGAGCATACTCGTTTTCATTCAGGGCCACCGACCAGGTACCTTGAGACTTAAACTTGCTCAGAACTGCAATTCTCTATCCTCAGACCAGAACCTACAACACATTATCAAAAGCAACCACCCAAGGCGGTCTCAGACGGTCTGATCAGCAACTTCCCAAACCCAGAATGGTAACCAAAACCGTTCCGCCCACCTGTTCCGGCGCCACCATCCGCCGCAGCTCGTCCTCCTGCGGAATGATAAACCCGGGCTTCTTGCGCAGCATCCCGAGCGTCGTGAATTGCGCAAACGGCCGCAGCCATTTGCGCAGCGTCTGTTCCGCTTGCCCGGGAAACTGGCGCGCGAGGTCGTGCATCGGCAGCGCCGCGTGCTCGCCGCCCTTCTTCTTGCGCAGCTGCGCCGTGAACTCGCGGAAGACGTGCAGCTGGAGACGCGCCTCCGAGTACTTGAGCGCGGCCTTGCTGTTGGGGACCATCACCTCCTTCGACGGCTCCTAAACGAAGAGAACGAGAAAACTGTGAGGTTCGGCGCAGTTTATTGATTGATGGTCTGATTCGGGAGAAGTGGGCCGCTGGGTTGAAACAGGTCTGAGGGTTGCTCTCAACAATAGTCACTCGTTAAGAAATGGTCAAGTGTTTCTCACAGTCTCAGGCCTCCTATTTCGCTAAGTCTCACTCTCCTCATTCTGGTCGGTCAAAAATGGCGTCAACTGGCATCCAGCAGATGGGCAAACTTGACACCTAACATGATCAAAAGAGCAGCAGGCTGTAAGCTATCGGATGGGAATACAAGGTACTTTAAAGAAACAGACTTCCCTCGACTCCCTGGCTCGGCAAAGGTGTCATGGATCGCGAAAACAAACGAAAGGCCCACCTCCTGCCCGACAAGGTGCAGCCCCGTAGCCTTGCGCAGGCTCAGCTTCCCGTGATTCGACCGAATTAGCACAAAGTCCGTCGTCGGGACTTTGTGCCGGAACGCCGGCGCCCGGTACAGGCTCGTCTCCAGACTTGTTACCGACTGCCCCTCCGGAACCTGCCCCAGGAACGGCGTCGGCTCCGCGGGTTCCAGGGGGACGATTTGGCCCAAGAAACCACCCCCCGACTTGAGGGACGCGGCGTTCCCGTCCGCAGAGCTGCGCTTGCGGTAGTAGGTCGCGAGGCGGGCCCCCATCCCGGGAAGGCTTAGGAGGGGGGGCCGCTCCTCGGCGTACTCCATGAGGAGAACGTGCCCGTCTTTTGCGGTGAGGTCGACCCTGGGGCAGAAGTCGGTGCAGGTTAAGAGGGGTTCCGTCCGAGGATGAGGAGTCAATGATTTAGAGTAGGTCTTCACGTTGGACGGTACTGATTCTTAAAACGGTAAAATCGTGCTCAAAATCTAGGTTGAAGCGAACAGAACTTGACGTGCCTCGTTTGCTAACAAGTGGAGCTCACACGAAGCTGCAACAAAGTTCATCCAACCCACCCTGCGAAAGCAGGGCGTTTCTTGAGCAGTACATGCTTAAGTTTGCAAAGGAGGATAGGGGATTACAAAGGATTGACGAGGCCAGCAGCCGGCTGGCTAACAGCTTTGAATCTTGTCTTCTCTAGAACTTTGATTCCAGGACCCTTGATACCCTCAGCGTTTCGAAGCAATAAAGTCGACTCAGTGACAAGCTGCAAAGTTCCCCATGATAGCAACTTTGAAAATGTAAAAGACCTCGTAAATGCAAGAACCCACTTTTTCTTGAAGGCCCCCGGGGGCCGGGACGGCTGCTCGGACTTGGGCAGCTTGTTGGCCTTGAGCAGCGGATGCACCTTGGTGCGGATCAAGTGCACAATGGAGTCGTGGCGCAGGGACTGGTCAGTCAGCGGGGCGCCGTCCGTGATCTCCTTGCCGGCGTGGAGGAAGCGCAGGGTTTCCTTCTTCACGTCTGCACAGAAGTTGACGGTGGGCGAATCAGAACTAGCTTCCTGTTGCCTTCGTTCGCAATGCGTCTGCACAAGCGTTGATGGTCTTAAAAGTTAGCTTCTTCTGTCGCCTCGAAGTGGTAAGTTGCTCGAGTCGGTCCTCGTCATTGACCGTCGGGTTACTCGGAACACTCGTCGAGCTTACGGTGCTCGTCGATTGCAGGTTTTGACTCATGTTGTATCTTTTTCGAGAGTGCACTATAGCACTTCATAAAGAGTTTGTTGACTAATCAGCAAATCTCAGGTTCATTAGCCAAGCGTCTCACTTCCTGCGGCCAAAAGGCACCAGCTTCGTCGATAACCCCTTATTTCCAAAGCTCTTCCAATCCCTAGTCCCCATTAAAAGTCCTCAAATCCGGTTTCTTACAACCTCAAACCCCTCGGTTTCATATCCATCGGTCCCGCTCACCTTTCCACTTGCTCATCACCTTGCCCCGCACCGCCTCCAGCGCCTCCGACCCCTTGACACGCACCGTCACGCTCTTTCCGATGTTCCCGAGCGACTTCACCACCAGCCGGATCTGCCCCCGGTCGCCGTTTTCCTGCTCGAACGCGCGGTCTTTGGACACGGGGAACCACACCGCGCGCGGCCGGTGGAAGTTGGCCATCTCCTTGAGCAGCGGAGTTGGGCGGCTGGTCTGGAGCTTGAGCGCGGGGACGGAGTGCACGATCTTGACGCGGGTCTCCTGGGCGCGCTGCCGGGCCTTGGTCTTCTTGACCTGTGGCGGGTTGAGGGCGGGTCAACGGCGGGTTATAGAGGTGTCGAATAATGATGTGCCAGAGTCTTAGGACGCAATACAGCGAGGACCCGAACAAAGAAACGGAGGAACTTCAAAATAGCCGATAGAAGCGGGTGTCTGGGCGCGCTGACAGACCTTGGATCTCTTGAGCCGGGGAAGTTCTTGGTTGGGTTAGAGAGCGGTTCAAAACGTCAATAATGGGCCAGAGTCCTGGGGCGGGACTTCAAACAGGCAAAAAAAGGGTCCCACTTCGCGATAGAAGCGGGCCTCTGTGACCTTCGGTGCCTTCTTCTGGGATGTATAAGGGTTGACTTAGAAGGAGGTTTGAAAGTCGCCAAGTAAACTGATGCTAAGTCGAAAAGCTTGAACCAGGCGGAGAGCAGGTGCAGTTTGTCCCACAGTTTGTCTCAGAATTCAATGTTCAGGGCCAGTCTATGTACTTGAAAACTGCACATCTCGTGGGGTGGCCGCCTGCTTCCTATGGCCGTCATTCACAAGCCCAAAAGACAAGCCGTTTTCCCAACGTGGACGAAGATGCCATCTTACCTGTGTGGTCTGGTAAAACCTGTCGTTTGACACATTGAACCGGACCGCTGCACCAGGATGGGGGGCAGCCGCCGCCTGCTGATTCTCCCCCCCTGCCAGCGTCGCCGACGGCGGCCTCTCCTTACTATTTGCCGTCAGAACAATTGCTGCCGCATGCGCTTTCACCTTAAGACCCTCCTTATCCCCGTCCCTCACTTCGAAGACCATGTCCGGGTCGTTAAGATCCAGGACGAGTTTCGCCCGCAGTGCGGGTTTGTCCAAACCGTCTTTGATCAGGTCCAAACCCTCCTCGGTTAACCAGTCCTCGGGCCCCAGCTCGAGTCTCGTCATCCGCTTCAGCAGCTCCTGCGCCGAGACAGCTCTCTCGCTCGCAGAGCCCGGCGCTCGTTTCTCGAGGCGCAGCATCTGCGGGTGCGCGCCTCCATTGACGTCACCCTCCGCAAAAGTGACGTCATCTTTCGTCAGCTTCTCGAGCACCACTGGCGGCACGGACTCGCCCTCGGTCGCCTCCGCTAAAGTCGCCGACTGGTCCGTGAGGTTCTTCCCTGCCCCTCCCAAACTCGATGACGTCAGCTCGCTCTCCTCTTCAGACATCGCCCCATTCGAAAGCGCCCCGTTTGGCAACGACTGCGTCCCGTTCTGTTCCGCAGCGTAAAAGCTACCATCTTCCTGCCCCCTCGGATTCTTCTTCCGACTCACCCTCATCGCCTCTGATGTCCGCCCATCATCCCACATGATGTTACGCTCCCAGTCAACTTGATGCACCAGTGCAAAGTTTTCCTCTGGCAGCGACGCCCTGAGACTCTCCAAAACCTCGCCGTTCTCCGCACGAACTGGCTGATTCCCTCCAAAGGCCCCCCGCCGGCGGCCCTTTGGCGCCCGGCCGTCTCTCGGTCGGATGATGACGTCAGCGGACGTGCTGGCCGCTAGGTGTGAGGCCCGCCTCTCATCATCAATGTCCATCAGTTCTCTTCCCTCCAACAAACCGTCTCCCAGACCCTCAGCCGAAATTCCCTCTGGGGCCCGCAAATCGTGCTCGCGAACGGCGACGTCAGCACCCCCCTCGGTGATGTCAGCGGCGGAGCGGCGGCGCTCGTCCTCCTCGGTTGTGAGGCCCTCTTCTCCGGAGGAGCGCGCCTCGTCCGGCTCTGGCTCAAACGCCTCCTGCACAGCAGAAAGAGACGAGCGGAAGCTCACAGAGCCAGTGACTGGGCGTGGCCATACACATCGCGCCACTTGGCATGCTCTCCTCGTTCCAGTCTGCTCCCCTTTCTCTTGTTGGGCTTGAACTTCACTTCCAACAGAACGTGTGCTGGAACTCTGGTAATCACCAGTCAGGTGCCCGGTTATTAATAACCACGGGCACTCACCCGTTCTTCCTCACTCTCGTCGCTCTTGGCCGGTCGGCGCGCTCGCCAATTGAAGCTTCCCCGCTGCTTCAAACTCTTAAACCCCTCTCCGCTCGGCTGCCTCGCTAAGTCAGCACTTGGCTCCTTTCTCAGTTCCGCTCGTGGCTCCGCACGAAACCACGCCTCGTCATCGTCGCTCTCTTCATGGTCAGCGCTAACCTGGATCTGAACCCGCTTCTTGACCGCCTTCTTCTTCCGCTTCGTTGACCGCTCGACCCGCTTGCTGAAGATCTCCGAGAACCGCAGCACAGGCTCGCCGCCCGCCTTCTGGAACAGCACCGGAAGCTCTAGGGGTCCCGCAGCCTCAGCCGGCCTCTCCGAAACCTCTAACGCCTCCTCGTCCTCCTCCATAGGAATCCCCTCAGAAAGCCCTTCCGAGCTCTTCGCAACACCTTCCTTCTCCCCCGTCCCCTCCTCGTCGTAATCCTCTTCTTCCGGGGGGGGTACTTGCGGCCACTTTTCTGTGGTGGGTCCCCGCCCCTCCTCATCGTAATCCTCTTCCTCTGGCGCAGCCACGTTTGCCGCTATGATTGGCCCCGGCAAAACTGGTAGTTCCGTTGCTCCCCCATCATCGTCATAATCATCTTCCTCTGCGCCGGGGGCGGCCGGTTGCTGGGGAAGAGGCAGCACAAAGTTTGGCAGGGGGGGTTGTAAGGCGCCAGGGTCGTCAATCACCTCCTGTTCGTCCTCGTAGTCACGTGCGTTCTCTGCTTTCACGTCGTAATCTGCAAGTGAGGCAGAGTGAAAATTGGTGTTGTGACCAGGATTTGAGAAGTTGGAAGATAGCAGCGCAAAAATGAGGTTGACGATGACTTCTGGGTCTCTACTTCTACCTCTGAAACCTTGCGGCATCACATTTGCAAGATGTCAGAAGTAAAGCCTTGACGGAAAACGAGAATTAGAGCTGAGAATTCGAAGAGATGCCCCAGTATGTCCCAGTGTAAATTCCTGCAGAGCTTGGTTCTACTCGAAAATCAGAACTGTCTGAAAGGAATATTGCCCTTTCCTTTTCTTTGAGTCACTATGCTTGAGAAAATGCTTCACTTGAGCTGCGGCATCCCAGATCTTGGTCGAGCCCAGACCCAAACGCTGCTTCCCAGAGAAATAAAAAGTTTGATTTGAGATGCTTTCCAAAGTCTTGGTACCAAGCTGCAGAGCCCATGCACGAAGGATACTTGGAAAGCCCATAATTGACTGGTATCCAATTTCAACACTTTGAGCTAGGACAGGTGGCGACGATGAATCTTAAGACTGACGCTGTTGTGAGCCAGCATGTCTACAATTACATCAAAGATTCTCACCATCATCCTCCTCGTCCCGGTGATTCTCAGACACGAGCCGCTGCAGGTTGAGCCGTCCACCCAGCCTGGCGCCCAGCTCTCCCAGCTTGTCAATCGCATCCTGGTCAGAAGAGCACACCAGTGAGCGTGCTGATGATGAAAGTGGGATGATGAACCTTCAGATATCTCCTAGTTGCGAAGGTCTCCCCAGACATTCTGTAGCATCTGGTTTATGCTCCGTCTCGCTACAGCTTTTGTTTCTTTTTGACTGATTCAAGAGAACCTGGTTCCTGAAGTTTGTGGCACTTGTATGGTAGATCGTGAAAAAAGGTGATGTCCAACAAAAGTCCAAAAGTGAGATGGTGTCTGTGCTTCGTGTGCGTCGAGTGCGTTTTCTAAGATCGCAACAAGACCTCGTCACCTTCTTGATGTCAAGAACAGGGTATAAGCGACCGAAGCCTGTGGTGCTTTTAATCCTTACAGTCAAGTAATCACACAAACCAGGTATGTGGGACAGCAAAAAAGAGGAAGTTGTAGTGTCAGCAAAAAACAAACAGTTCCGGTGGTTGTCCACAAGCTGCAACTTGGAGATAGAGGTTGAGTAGCCGCAGCCAGAGCAACCTTTAACCTGCTCTTCGTGTCAACTTGGATTGCTATCAGACTTAGATGGTGACGCAACCAAAAAGTTCTTGGGTTGGTTTCGCAGCCATACAGGATTGTGTTCCACTTGTCATTGAAGGAAGAAGAAAGAAGAACTAATAGGTGACTAAATTGCACACTGCGGTCAGACGGCATCTCGGCATATCTCAGAAGCACTTTCAACAAGGAGCCCATGAACAAGCATTCAACCTCACACCTCATTCAGCCTGTATTCGTAAGACAAAATGCATGCTGCAGGATTCAGGCAATTGAAACAGTGGTTGCGATGAGGTGACACGAAAAAAAAGCACCTACTTGGTCAAGATAATTCTCTTCCAGGCGGAGGTTGCGGTCCACGTTCCCAAACATAAACCCTCCCAGCGCGTTTCCTCCACCCCCTTCCTCCTTCTTTTCCTCCTCTTCATCTGTGTAACCCCCTTCATCCGTCTGATCGCCCCATGAGGTTGCCATCTCTAAACCACCCTAAATAGGTGAATTACATGGTGAGCTTCATGCAAGAGCTCACATTTGACCACTACTGGCCAGCACTTCCTCTCGTAAAGTTTACGCCAAAACAGGTTGCAATTAGGAGTGTGATACGCTGGATGGCCCCATTGATCAATCTCAGCTGTCATGGGCATCTCTGCCAGCAAGCAGCTCGTGCGCCCACCAGAGATAGAAAAACATGCTCATTGCTGGAGCAACCAAGCTGATCACCGAAGGGACCTGAGCGGCATTCACAGATGATTCACAAGAAGAGAGCGCCTCCAAGCCAGCGCCAGTGGCAGCAGCGTCTTGACAATGCTCTCTCAGTCTGGCAACTTGCGGAGTCACAAAGTCTGCTGGCTCTCATTGGCTTATAAGAATTTGAAACTTGAATGTGGTCCGCCTGCTTCGACGAACTGTACTTACATGACCAATGCGAGCTCGATTCTCAAACGAGTTTCGCAGCAGCTTGCCTGCTCTTCTGCTTTAGAATCAGTGTCCCCTTGTGGGGAAATCCTGCATGCAGAACGTTGAAACAGAAGTGTTTTTAAATTTACGGTTTCAGCTTCAATTTCAAGTCCGTTTGGTTGTTCAAACTTCAGGGGTCGGGACGTTTGTGGTGCCTTGCGGCCTTCCTCTAGGTTCATTTCCAACAGGTTTCTCTAGAAAGCTCCTCCGCTGCAATCATGGTGGTTGCCAGCCCTGACGTCGTTGCAAAGCTGCGGGCACAGGTTTTGGACCCAGCAGCGCCCATCGCGCAGCGTTTCAGGACGCTCTTCTCGCTGAGGAATTGCAGTGGGGATGAGGCTCGGGAGGCCCTGGAAGCTGGTGGGTGAAGCTTGCGCAATATGGAGTTTCATGTACCTATGTACAGCCGTTTGAAGTAGCTGGGTTTCTGAAGAGTGTGAATTCCGTTTCACATTCTTCATTACCACCATTACCATCATGTCGTTCGAGAAATGTGCATTTTCTGCACCAGACGCTTGGATAGACATTGGAGCTTGACCTCTAACAACTTTAAGGGTTTCTTGTATTTGGGGGTGGGAGATCTAAGTTGGGATCTAAATGCCAAAGAACTTCGAACACCTTAGCATCTTGCTTGCATGTGAAATGTCCTCTGCCTTCAGATATATATAGCACTATAGCTACAAAAGTACACACCCAATTTTCGTCTAAAGTTTCTCCTTCGCTGGGTGCTTAAGGATTCATAGATTAGCCCTTATCCAGGAGAAACACGGGGGCCACCATGCCTGCAATGTCAGTGTCTGCCAATATGCCCTTGAAACCCTAGAATCTGAAAATCCTTGCCACCAACTTAAGAGGTGAGAGATTTTGGGGGCCTGTTACAGTGACTACCACCATCGTCGCCATCGCGACGGGTGATACTGTTGCTGACCAGTGCGCCCCAGTTTTCCCCTCTCCTTTTCAGGATGTCTGTCTCAGTTCAGATCTGGTCGCTAATCCAGATCTCACTGGCACCACAAAATCTGCTCAAGGGCAGCCATCTCGTTGACCCCTCAATCAAAGGTCATACTAGTGGGGACGTGTAGCCGCAATTGAGTACTATCGGATCAAGCAGTTCTGACTTTCTGTAATGCAGCTATGAACGACCCATCAGCCCTGCTGGCCCACGAAGCAGCCTTCTGCCTGGGCCAAATGCAGGACGAGAAAGCAGTGCCTGCCCTCCAGGAGTGCCTCAAGAATGCCCAAATCCATGCCATGGTCCGACATGAGGTGCGTGCGATTCTGTGATTCCCGTATGGTCAGCTACAAGTAGACTCGACTGTTGGATCCAACTCACATCTCGCACCGTCAGGAGAGTGTTGCCGTACCTGCTTTTGTATTGGGTATGATGCAGAAGCGTCAGACGCGACAGTTGGGTAGAAGCAGATTATCCTGGTCAAGCTTTAGATTCCCCGTTGGCCAGTGCGGCTAGTCGACGCTGTTTTTCATGCTAGATGGTTGTCATGAGCTGGCAGTCTTGGAGGTTCTAGCTGAAGCGGGGTTTGGTGGCAAATTTCGTAACTTTTCGTGTGCATCTTGACCGTGAATAAGATCACTTATGATAGCACCTAAAAGAACACTTCCACACAGTTTGTCAATTCCATACAGTATGGCAGTGGATCCTCCCTCGCTGAGCGACAAGTAAACGAGATTAGGGGACTGGTCGTGTGTCATTAGGGGACTGGTCGTGCGTTATTAGGGGACTGTCCTGCGTCCTATGTCACTTATCGAAAGCGTGCTCGTTCAATTGGGTCGCAAAGAATGATTGCAAAGCGCCAAGTTCAATTTGACGTACTCTATCTGGTAGGCTGGGGACTTCTCAGGATCTTGCGAATACGCTGGGCCCTTTTGATGTAACTTCTGCTCAGGCTGGTATGGAAAGTTTCCTACTCCTGCTCAGGCTGGTATGGAAAGTTCCCTACTCCATTTTTTAAAGTAGCGGGGCCCACTTTCGTACTACCTCACTACTTACATGGCTGGCTGAAGCGCTGAGAGCATTTGACAATAGAGCATGCCTCTTCCGGCTGAGGAGAGGGCCTGTGATGCAACTGCAACCGCTTATTGACCCTCGCATCTCTTATGCAGGCCGCAGAGGCGCTGGGGGCGATTGGCAGCAAGGAGTGCCTTACTTTGCTACAGGAGCGAGCAATCGATGCGGCGCCCGAGGTCGCAGAAACGTGCCAGCTGGCGCTACGGCGGATCGCGCACAAGCAGGCGGAGTCTGCGGCAAGTACCAGCGGGGATGGGAACTCGCCCTATAAGTCGGTCGACCCGGCGCCGGCCGCCAATCCAAATGCAACGGAGGCTGAGTTGAGGTGAGCTCCTCTTGTTCATTGTAAACTTGTCGGTCTTACAATTTGCTTGCAAAAATTTAATTCATCTCGCTCTTCGACTACTCAAAGGTCATCGCTAACTTGTCGATTGATGATGGTTTGTCCAGGTGTTTTACCGCACAAGGATCTGCATAGTCGGCTGCCGGCCGTGTTCTGTTCATGATATATTTTGCCTACCAGAGATTCGACGCAGGTTGTCAGATTTGAGACCTCCGTGAGACTTTCACAGACCGAAGCAGACTGCTCTGAAGTCGACCGGGGGATGTGACTGTGGGCATTGTTGAGGCTGCTAATGGCCCCTGCAACCAGCTTCTATCAGCTTGACATCTTCCCTGCCTGTCCGGCTTCAGTTCCAAAAGCCTGCCACAAATTCGAGCGTCTAATCCTGGCACTTCTGTGCGTTTCGATGATCTGATTGTATTGTCGCTGCGAGTGGTAGTTCCGTGGAGGACAGTCGGATCGACTTACCGCTGGAATCATTAGACAAGCGAGTTAAGGCTCTGAGGAACGATATGAGCTTTTCGCTATCAGGCCCCGCTTCAAAAATGTGTCCGAAAGTACGAACCCCTGGGAGCGTACTTTTTGAGGGAAGCTCCCGTTCGAAGTCTGGCCTCTTCTCTTCCCTCATATCTGAATCAAAGGCTATCTGATTGCTGTGCAGGGCGAGACTGCTGGACGAAGGCCTCGATCTCTTCGACCGCTACGCTGCCATGTTTGCGCTGCGCAACCGAGGGACGCCGGAGGCTGTCGATGCAATTGTGGACACGTTGACGGCCAAGAGTGCGCTGCTCAGGCATGAGGTGAGCGGCTGCTTATTATCGTGGTCGCATCCTGCTTTTGTATCTTTCTTCATGTTGTCGTAACGTATTTTCATTCCCCTGGATCCCACTGGGGTCTTAACTTGGAAATGTTCAAATTCTCTTGGTTGTTTTCCGAGTTTCCCCCGGGGTCGGGAGACACCTGTCTGCGGTGTTCTAGCAAACGGAGCTCTGGTCGCGAGCACTGCTGCGGAAAGTCTCCTAAGCGGCTGAACGATGGGGATTGTCTGGTCAACGCTTCCTTGTCTAGGGTCCCTACGTTGGTTCTGAGCAGTGCACGGAAAAGCAGGGTCCCTGGCGAATGTGAAGAGAAAGGGCAAGTGTTCGGAAGTTTGTCAACGGCGCTGCACAGGTGGGTTGCATCTGTCAACGTTGACTCACGGCTTGATTATGTCTGCAGGTAGCATATGTTCTGGGCCAACTGCAGAGCGACCGCGCCACTCGGGCGTTAGCGGACACGCTCTGCGATGAGTCCGAACACCCTATGGTCCGACACGAAGCGGCCGAGGCTCTCGGTTCCATCGCCGACCTAGCTAGTGTAGAACTACTGAAAAGGTTTCAGAAGCATTCGGAGCCAATTGTCAGCCAGAGTTGCGAGGTCGCGTTAGATATGCTGGAGAGCGAACAGGCGGGCGAGTTCCAGTATGCCACGGTGGAGGTTGACCGGATGAACGCAGGGAGTAGTGAACAAACTGCTACGATAGAGGTGTGCTGAGTGACTATTGGAACTGCACGAGATTTTTTGGCGAAGACCATTGGTTGATAGACTCATACCGAATCTTGTTGTCTGGGAAATGAGCCGCGGCATGTATAACAAGATTGTCCAACAATGACTGCCCGTGATTGCCGAAGCAAGTGCACTAGCTTGTCGGACCTCAGGTCTTGCATGCCGCAGATCCTGAGTCAAATTGGAAGTGCCGGACGAGGGGCCATTATCGTCGTACATGCCAGATGACGGACGTATGCTCAGTGGCAGGCGCCGCGGGTTAATGCAAGCATGCGAACAGACAAGCTGCATGCGTGAGCATTCAAACGTACATTTATGGGACGACGGTGCCATAGGAATCAAAGCGGGCTTGAGAATTCCGCGGGCCAGCAGCCATGACATGCCCGGCCGTGCAAGTCTTCACTTACCGTCACCATGAACGGTGATCTAGCTTTATATATTGCAATATTACAATTTGCGACCGCATCGACAGCGTCCGACAAGGCGCACCGATGCGGGCCCATGTACAGTTATTGCATAAAATTTGCCTGCATGATTTGGATGCTTGCTAGAAAAGTGCTAAAGACCGGGTCTCTCATGCAGCCTGAGGCCTTCTCACCATGCATGGCGATACAACGTGCCGAAGAAGGCAATCAATTACAAAGCATGCCGGCCATGTTAGCCATCTGCCAAAACTGAAACAAGTCCTCATTTCAACAGCTCAGTACGTAATGTCATGCTCGCATAATGTGCCGAATGTGCGATGTGAGCCAAGGTTTTTGCACCAGACTGATCGCTTTTGCTTGTGCAGATTTCGAACCCGGTTATCACATCCGGAAAAGTTGCGAATGCAGATGTCAAACTTATACCGCACTAGCTACGTACTCAACAATTCACTTTATTTTGTTCATGAGTCCTGTCTCCGTCCAAAGCATCCGCTGAAATTGCACCTCACAACGATGCCTGATCAATCTGCCATTGCACTCATCTGCTTAGACCTACTTCTTGGTTAACGCGTTTGTGAACGTATTGACCATCTCCTGACTTTTGCTTTGATCTTGGGCCCTACCTTGCGCGACCACCCCACAGCGGTCTTTGCAATCCACTCAAGAACGGTCCAGGCGAGGCACGCGCACAGATACAGGCACAGCGCGCGCAGCGCGGCATCCACTGGCGGCAGAAAGCGAAAGAGGCCGACGGAAAAAATGAGAATCACCATGTCGATCAGGTCTCGCTCGCCTTGGATTGCCGCGCGGAGGGAGGGCCACCCGGATAATGCCGCGACGAACACCTGGACTGTAATTGGGATGCCCAGCTCAGAATCGAACCCGAACAGTCTGACCGAAAAGAAAACTGAGGTTAGTTGTGGTCTGTAAACGGTTAAATGAGGTACTCCAGGGAAAGCACCAGGCCAAAGATGACGTCAGCGATGCAGATGCCCCAGATCACGCGGTCCGCCGCTCGAAGCGCAACCTCAAACAGGCGTTGTGACCGAATTTCCTGGTTTAGTGGGGTCAGGATTGCGTCCTCGAGGGCGCCCCCGCTCGGAACCGCAACCGTTTCACCCCGTTCCGCCGCTCCTCTGCGATCCGTTCCGCCCGGAAGTCGTGCCCCGCCCTGGTGCGGCACGATTATTATCCTCTTTCCCCGCCGTGACGCGCACAGCACCCTGAGTTTTGCGAAGAGCTGCTGTGCCGCAGCTGCGCTCCGCGCATAAAAGGCCGGCCGCAAATGGATGACGAAGCGGGCGTCGGCGTTTCGCTCCAGAAACTGAGCGACGTAATCAAGGTCCGCCGGAGCCAGCGGAAAGTCGAGCGCAAGCGCTTGCAATCCCTGGCTAGCCTGCAGCTCTGCGCAGGTCAGAATGGTCCACGCCATGTCATCGTCGCGGGCGAAGTCGTGGCAAAGATGCTGAAAGGTGACGGTTCCGGCGTCGCCCTTGCCAAGCACAACGGAAAGTGAGCGGACTTCCAAGTAGCTCAGCATGCAGTTGCGAACGACCACGCGGTGAGCGGACGGCGCGCCTCGTAGAAATTTGCCAAGCTCCTCAAGTAGAGGTTCCTCGAGATGAGTAACGAGGTGCTCGAGGATGACGGTGTAACTGAAAACCTCCGTCGTCGCGCCTCTAGTTTGCGACCCTCCACCGCCCGTGATTGCTGCTATCTTCGCTCTCTGTTTCACGAGAGAAGAAATCTTCCTCAAGAATCTCTGGTACGCTGCTTCCGAGCCAACGGATTGAGGAGCGACTGAAGCAGCGACGCGCTCAAGTTTCGTCTCTCGATCGCCTCAAATGCGCCAAACGGTTCTTGGGCGGGACCCCACGGATTGAATGGCGTCAAACAGTTCGGCTTCCAGGGGTACGTACCGGACACGTCCTTGAGATTCAGGAGAAATGCACAATCGAGCGCCAGACTTCGAATCACGTCTAACACCGGGTCGTTCGTCAGGAAACCGGGGTCACCTTCCCCGTCCATTCTAACAGTGACTTGGAACGCCGCTGCTGACAGGGCGATCACGCAGGCCGCGACAAAGTTTGGGGACAACTGGACCGCTCCAGAGACGTTGAGAAGGACCTCTCTCTTGGCTGACCTCTGTCGTTCAGGCCTTTCCGGCGGACTGCTCGTTCCGTTTCTCACGAAGGCAGAATGGCTGCTGCTCACGTTCCGCAGGAAGTTGCAGACGGAGCGGACAGCCAGCGGAATCCGCTGCAGCTGGTCTTCCACCCAGAGCGTGCATGTCTCGAGGAAGAACCTCACAGAGATCCAGGACTCAGGCACTGCTGTGTACAGAAACCGCAGGGACATCAGCTGCAAATAGATGGCCTCCCTCCAGAGCGACGCCCGCGTTTTCCGCTTCAGCTGTTCCACCGCCAGTAACTTGGCCATCCTGTGCTTCGTGAAACCCGCGGTGACGTCACCCAGGCTCTCCGCCATTCGCCGTATCTGAGCTGCGCCTTTCTGCATGCGTGGCTCCAGCCTGATCAGCAGAGACAGAAGCTGGTCCTCCGTGCAAGTTTGCGCGTCCACAGCTCCTAGCTTTATCGCATGCCAAAGCTCCGGATCCCGCAGCGCATCCCTGTGGCTCTTGTCCAAGATCTCCAGGCGCAAGCGCTCCTTCAGGCTGATGTCTTTGAGTATCAGACGGAGGACATCCGCAGGCAGCGCAGCTAACGCCTGCGCTTGTGCAGATGGACGAAGAACCTGAGCCGCCATGGTGCGCGCGCGGGAGTGTAGGCGGTGCTAAGCCTTTTGATATCCGACGAACTTGCAGATTATATGAAGCGCTTGCAGCTAACGAGCATTATGGGCGAGTAGGACTCAAGCTGCATGGCAGCTACGGTAGCTAAGGGCCGAAGGGCACAGCTGATGACGTACAGAAGATGTTACAGAAGTTGGTGGATTTTCAAAATCCAACCACTAATAATTCTCCTTTATGAAGCGAGACGTTCCGCTGTGCGCGCCTTATGTAGCCATTTTGAAGACGTTCCACATACTTTCAGGGCAGTAACAATGTTGATGCGGAGTATGAGGCAGTCAAAGGGCCCGCTAATTAGTATTACTGGTGCATGCGCTGCCGGCTTGACGATCGGTGCGGTACAAAAACCTGGTTCCGCAACGCGGACCCCAGCGCCAGGCGTCGCATATACCTAGTCCGATACCAAGCGGCCGCACCGTACGTGCGACTTGCTCGGCCGGCCGCGGGCGGCGGCGGCTCCTGGCACAACCAGTTGGCGCGACCTTGCATTCCCACCCAACCCAGCCGGGTACGTCTACCGGGCGGGCCTGGGCCTGGCCCCTCCGGCATACGCTATGAGCCAAAGAGGCTCAGCCCGTGCCGTTACCAAGCACTCACAGACCGTTCCCATTCAGCACGCCAAAAGAAGACGTCCAGCTTCCTTGCCCATTCAGATGAGCCCTCGCAGTGTGCAAATCAGCCGCAATCTTGCTCACTTTCCACAGTTCGCTTTCTTCGGTGGCAATTACTTCAGCGGCTTCCGTGTGCGTTAGGCCTCTTGCAGTAGAATGACAGAGCCAAAGCAGGCGGCCTTAGAGAAGGTGCAGGGCAGATTGGTGTGGCTCAGGGCTTACAGGTTGGCCGGCAATCAATGTCAACAGGGATTGGTGTTCTGTAAAGCGTTGTGGGGGCGCTTCCTAGTATCAGTCTCATTATCTCTCTTGGTCTTGTAGGAAGCAAATCAGAGCTGGCCCTTCAACTGTGTCGTCATGGCAAGAGGCCGCCCTCATGGCCGGTCCAAGTCTGACCACAGAGTTTGTCAGGCAGCCCGACATGCGCTAGC